CCGCCCCAAGTGCGCTTTGCAACCAAGGTCTTCCACCCCAACGTTCACTTCAAGGTCAGTCAACACAGAGTCAATGAAAGTCTACCAAAGTCAACTGAAGTCATCCAAGGTCTTCCACCCCACTTCAAGGTGCGTCTTGTCCACCAGGGTCTCAGATACCATTCAGACTGGTGTGTTTTGGCCGGTGTGTTCTTGATATTCTCAAGGCGGCATGGATCCCAGCATGGAGCCCCCTCATATCCATGTGCCATGCTAGCATCACATTCTCGCCTTATCCCTTCACCTCCCTCCCGGCCATGCCATTCACTCCAGGGAAATCTGCCTGGACATCCTCTGGACAGCATGCCCAGCTTGGTCGCTCACATCCGTGCCTCATGACATCATCACTCTTGAGAATGCTCATACATCATCACTCCGTTTACCCTTCCATGTTATTCTATGGTAACCACACCGGGGAGATCTGCCTGCCTGGATATCCTCTGGATGGCGTGCCCAGCTTGGTCGCTCACTTCCATACACTATGGCATCGTCACTCCCTCACCCTCCCCGTTTACCCCTCCATGTTATTATAGGGTAACCAGACCGGGGAGATCTGCCTGGACATCCTGTCAAGACGGCATGGAGCCTGGATTGGACCCTCACATCCGTGTATCATGGCATCGACACGCTCTTGCCCTCTCCTTCCCTCTCCCCCCCCCCCCTCTCTGTACTATCCTAATTAGACCGGAGAGATCTGTCTGGACATCCTCAAGACAGCCTGGAGCCCGGCGTGGACGCTCACATCCGTGTGCCGTGCCATAATCACCCTCATGTGCCATCCTGAAGCTGACAGCCCACTCAACTGTGACTCTGGTAAGAAAGACACCCCCCCCCCCACCCCCCCTAAAAACCACGCTCCTCGTGACCTGCCTGTTTAGAGAGATTTCACAATCCCAACCCACCCCACGCGCTCGCTCGCGCTCTTGTGCCATTCTGAAGCTAGAGTGCGTGTCATGTGTGTGCATCCCCCCTGACTCGCCTGTTTGGACAGATCCCACCACCCCGACACACCCAATGCTCTCTCACTCATGCCCCATCCTGAAGCTATCCGAGTGCCCGTGTGTCATGTATGTGTCTCCCCCATGGCTCGTGTATGTGTGAGTCCCTCTCTGCAGGCAACTTCTGAGTCAATTCAATAATCTCCTGAAGCGATACGAGTGTATGGCATGTCATGTATGTATCTCCCACGTGGCTCGCCGTCCCTTCTCTGCAGGCAATCTGATCAGAGCGGGGGACAACAGAGGCTACTGCTCCATGGCCCGAATGTACACGAGACTACACGCCATGCCGCCGCTTGCACGATGATACCTGGCTGAGGCGCGTTTTGAGTCGATTGAATTACCTGTAATTAGATTGTAATTAGACTTGTAATAAGAGCTGAATGTGATTACTGTAATCACCCGGATAGACGCCCCTCCATAGGATAAGTCCCCGGGGCTTTATCTCGTGCTTTGGGCCTTAAAACTGTTATTTGATTAAATGCCCCCCCCCCCCCCCCCCCCCTACTTTTCGAAAGAGTGTACCCTATACGCCCCTCTATTATTTTGTTAAAAACTGTTCAAAAACGAAGGAACGAGTTAGGGTAATTTGCGCAACGGCACTTCGCGCCAGCAGGATTCGCGTCAGAGTCGTCTGCTTCCAGCCTGGCACATTGCCGACTGGACTTTCAGTCCGATGGACTTGTGAATCTTCGTTACCGTAAATGCCCGGATAGAAGACCCCTATGTCTTATCATATACCGACCTAAGAAGTGGTGAAATTTCTTATAAATGGAAAAAACCAGGGGGGGTGTGTATCTTATAAATGGAAAAAACCTTATAAATGGAGCACCAACTTTAAGGGCTGGAAAAAAATCAAATTACGGTTTTTGGGATCGTGCGTCCATAATTCGACAACGAAACACTTAACAAATGGGGGATTTCTCACGCACGCGGCACTCGTTACAGCATGCCAGCGTGACGCCAGGGGGAATGCATCTACTGCAGTGTCACACCAGCTGGCAGTGGCCGTCACGTGCTAGATGCTGAATGATGCTCTTGACAGCAGCATCTCAGCTTCTGGATGCTGCTCCTCATCGAGGTGCGATTCCTCTTCGATGAAAAACACGCCCCGGCCCTGAGGTCTCGGAGGGGGGTGTACCTCTCATTTTTTCATTCTGTTCTCGTTCCATTTCGAAACTCTGCTCCCCTGCCTTAGCTCAGCGTCCTCCCCTGCCTTAGCTCAACGTCCTCTTCTGCCTTAGCGACGCTTCCTCCCATGCCTCGGATTTCTGGCCTGCCTCAGCTCGGCTAGTGTCATCGCGTGTCGCCATGCACAGCAAGCATCCACCTCAGGACAAGGAGTCAGGGTTTAGGCAGCGCGGAACTGATCCCTCACCACCCTGCGTTTATGTGAGCATTTTTGGGTGCCACAACTCCCCTGGCCACACGCTGAATATCCCAGACACCGCAGCCAAGAAAACCGCGGCCTCGCCTGCCAAGAAATCCTCGTCGCCGCCGCCTGACTATGGGATGGCTGGAATGGGCGAGGGGGAGGACGACAACGCTGAGGACGGCGGCTCTGCCAACGCCTCTGATGACGATTGGTGGGCGAAACCCATCGGTTCCGCGGAGGAGGTTGAGGAATGGTATGCTGGCGAGGAGGATGAAGATGATAACCAAACGGGCGAGATGGCAGGCGGTGAAGAGCATGACGGTGATTACGCAGAGGGATACGGTCGTGATGACGACAATGAGGAGTGCGGCATAGGCGAGGAGGGTGCAGCAGAGGAGGTGGAGGACAGGGATGACGGCGAGGCGGCTTGCGACAACATGGGTGACGATGACGACGTGAGCCACGGCGACGGCATGAGTGACAAAAACGTTCCGATCGAGAAGCGCCATGTGAAGTGGCTGGTTGACTCCAAGGTGAAGAAGCAGCGATTGCCGCGCAGCGAGAACGGTGCTACTGCAATAAAGAAGAAGCGGAGTGCAGAACCTGACGAAGTCTCTCCCAAGCGGCAGCGATACACAGTAGCGGAGAAGGGCAAATCTAAGGTGGAGGACATCGCAACAAAGCGAAAGAATTCGTCACCGTGTGGTCCCCGGAAGGCCACACAGCGGGCTGGCGTATCTACTCCAGACGCGGTCCCCGAAGACAACTCTGACGACCAGTATGAAGAGGCAGCCGGCCCGCTCCCCACCTTCCCTGAAGGCAGGAAGCCGAAAGACCCGCAGGAGAAGAATCCTGATGCCCAGCCACCGTCTCCGCGAAACCGACTCTCGAAGAAGTGTCGTCGTAGCTTCACTGTGCAAGAGAAGACGAAATGGGCCCGCCGCTATTACGAGCTCAAGTCCTTCAAGCGGACTGCGGCGGAGGCGGGCGTGGGCGCGTGTTCCATCAAGCGGTGGGTGGACCAACAGATGCTTGGGTGGTACAGGGGTGCCACCAAGTGTCGCAAGCGACTCCACGGTGCGGGGCGACATGCTCATCACCCTGTCATGGAGGAGAAGCTGTACAAATGGATCTGCGAGCAGCGGGGACTCGGCTTGGCAGTCGGCGTGAAACAGATCCGTGAGTGGAGCCTCAATTACATGTGCAAGCAGCAGCCGAAGGGCCATTGGCAGGCGTCCAGCAGCTGGAGCCAACGGTTTCGCAAGCGCTGGGGATTCACCATGCGCTGCCGCACTAAGATCGGCCAAAAGCTCTCTCCAGGTGAGCATTTGCTTGCGTTCCCTTGCTGGCTGATCGTCTCTACTTGTTGGACTCATCGCCCATCCCCGCTCCTTCTCTTGCTTGCCGTGCATACGGTATCGACGGTTCCGCTAGCTAAATAAGGTCTGATCTCTCATCCCCCTCTCCCTCCCCCTCCCCCTCCTCCTCCCCCCCACCCTTGTCCCTCTTCCCCTATTAACAGAGTGCGCTCATGATTGTGAGGGGTTCTGGAAATTCGTCCGAATCAACCGCGCCCGCCACAACATCGACATGCGCCGCATCATCAACGCGGATCAGACGCCGCTGTTTGTCGAGATGCCATCGGAAAGGACTTTGGAGCACAAGGGATCGTGCTCCGTTCCAGTGAAGAGTGCGGGATACGAGAAGCAACGTCTGACGGTAATGCTGGCTTGCGCGGCGAACACGGACAAGCTTCGTCCGTGGGTTTGGTTCAAGCACAAAACCAAACCCAAGTGCGAATGCCCTCCAGGTAGGTTGGCCTTTCCCCCTTTTGCATGCCCCTTTTACCACAGTCCTCTACCACAGACAAACCGCAAAGCTTGGCTATGTATGCGTGCAATCATGACTTTGTTTTTTAATTGCACCTGCCTTGTTCCCTTGTGTGTGTGTGTGCGTGGCAGGCGTCGAAGTTCAAGCACAAGTCAACGGCTGGATGGACGAGGAGGTTGTCAAGAAGTGGCTTTTGAAGGAAGTGCTGCCGTTCCTAAACCCCAAGTGTGGATCAGCCGCCCGACGCAGCATGCTGGTCTTGGATTCCTACAGGGGCCATCTCACTGACGGGATGAAGGCTGCCTACAGGACACACAGTATCGTACCTGCAATTATCCCAGCTGGATGTACCCCCCTTATTCAGCCCCTTGACGTGGTTGTCAACAGGTGCTTCAAAGCGGGAGTTCGCGCTCGGTACGCCAAGTGGTTCGCGAAACACGGCATAAACTTGAGGACTCCGAGAGGTACGGTATTTTGCTATCCTGTACACATCTTTGTAGCTGTATGTCATACCCACGGTTTTTGCTTACCAGGATTCACTTTGAATGCATCTGTCTTTTGTGCCCCCAAATCCAACAGGGAACCTTCGACGCCCACCTCATGCGGTCGTGCTGAAATGGGTCGACGAGGCGTGGAGGGATGTCCCCCGTAACGTCATCGTCCGTGCATTCAAGACGTGCGGCATCTCTAGCTCCATGAACGGCACCGACAACTACCTTGTGCTTCAACACATGCGCGAAGAGCCTGTGATCAACGTATTGGAAGACATGTCGCTGCGCGGCACAACTGGGGACAACAGCAGCTTTGTGGCGGGGCAGGAGAGGGGGAAGGAGAATGAGGAGGGGGAGGCGAAAGGGGAGGAGGATGAGGTGACGGAGGAGGAGGAGGAGGAGGAGGAGGAGGGAGGAGGAGGAGGAGGAGGAGGAGGAGGAGGAGGAGGAGGAGGAGGAGGAGGAGAAGGAGGAGGAGGAGGAGGAGGAGGAGGAGGAGGAGGAGGGAGGAGGAGGAGGAGGAGGAGGAGGAGGAGGAGGAGGAGGAGGAGGAGAAGGAGGAGGAGGAGGAGGAGGAGGAGGAGGAGGAGGAGGAGGAGGAGGAGGAGGAGGAGGAGGAGAAGGAGGAGGAGGAGGAGGAGGAGGAGGAGGAGGAGGAGGAGGAGGAGGAGGAGGAGGAGGAGGAGGAGGAGGAGGAGGAGGAGGAGGAGGAGGAGGAGGAGGAGGAGGAGGAGGAGGAGAACCCCGCGGAGCCAGCCCGTACCCTGAGACAGAGAAGTGTCGCGGTGCTACAGATGAGGCAGACAAGCTGCATGAGCCTGAGAGTACTGCGCAGCATGCTTGGGGGGTGCCTGACTTTCGGAAGCCCGCCCCTGCAGAGGTCGTTGATGAGGACGACTGTGATTTCTCGACGATGGACACTTTTGAGGATTTCTAGGCCCTTTAGTGTGTGTGTGTAATCGAGGTCTGTTGTTAGCCTTTTGGACAATGCAGTGTGTTAACACATGCGACACTGAAACAGCCTTAAAAGCAACGTAGGGTATCTTATCTCATACCTCCCTCGAATCAGTATCTTATAAACGGAAATGCCTAATACAAGATAGACGCCTAATAGAAGACACTATATCTTCTATTCCATGGGGGTCTTCTATCTGGGCGTTTACGGTAGAAGTGATCCCATCACATGAAACAAATAAAAAGATACAATTTGATGTAGAAAAATCAATTTGCTTATATACCCTTTTAAATGCCCATGGGCTTATATATGTTATTCAATTAGACGCCCCCCCAAGTTTTAAAAGCAGTCCTATAAACGCCCCTAGGGATGTCTATCTGGGTGATTACGGTACTAGAGCTGAATCAATCGATACTGTAGCTTTTGTATCCTGATGGGTGAGACTGGTCGTGCAGCGCTCAGCCCCAGATCAACAGAGAATCGAGGAAGAGGAGGAGTCGCACGCACAATCAAGCCTCAAGACCATACCTCCATCTCCCTGTATTGCCCTGTCGTCCAGCCGTCTGCTCGACGGTATTGCCACTCCTCGCTGCAAACAGATCTACAACTGCAGGCACATGAAAGCAAGTCCCCTCGGAAAACATCAGCCGCCCAGCATATTGCTTACCAAGATCTTGCGAGGGCCTTTTTTCTTCTTTTTTTTTCCAGGTTCGTTACGGAGCATTGCTTCTACTCGAGCCTCCCCCCCTTGCGTCGCCACCACCGTCTCTTTCGTCTTGCCAATGTCACAGGATCGAATGACTCGAGGAAAGATTGCACTATCGATCAGTACAAGGCGCTTTTATACTTCCAGAGTACATCAGGTAACCAGGTTTATCTTATCCTAAGGGAATAGACCCTTCTAGAAGATAGAATCACACTGCGTATAAACACGCGAGACCATTGGCTTTAAGGGATTACGGCAGGATTACGCTAGATATAGCGCACCAGTACATCCCAAGCCTGGTCGGTGATATAATTATAATTGCAGGAGAAACCAAAAGTTAATGGAAAAGGAAGAATAGGAAACCAAATGAGATGAGATAAAAAGAGAAATGAAATAGGAAGGAAATAAGAAAAAGGCCAAGTGGTGTAACAGGGTCATACTCTCACACTTCCCCCCCCTCAAAGCTAGGTGGTAGAAGTAACACCCTGCTTGACAAGGTAGTCATGCAGAGGACGACGTGCGTTACCCATGTCGGACTCAGGTACCCAGCTGTCCTCAGAAGGATCATAACCCTTCCAACGGATGAGAAGCTCCATGGTGCCATTCCGACGACGGCGGTGTGCGAGCACGGACTCGACCGCGTACTCGGGTTCATTCTGGACGACGACGGGGGGTGGCAGCGGCGGTTGGCGTCCGACGAAGATCGTGTTCGGATCCCGATAGGGCTTCAGAAGTTGGACATGGAAGGCGTTGTGAATCTTCCAGGTAGCTGGCAGGCGTAAGCGGAAGGTAACAGGAGTGACCTGTGCTTCAACGAGAAAAGGCCCGCAGAAGCGAGGTCGAAGTTTAGATGGGAGATGGCTGATGTCAAGGTTGCGGGTGTCAAGGAGCACCTGGTCTCCCACAGTAATGGTGTGGTCGTTGCGATGGCGATCGGCCTGGCGCTTCTATTGCAGTTGAATGTCGAGGAGGCGCTTGTGGGTCCGATCCCAAAGCTGATGCGTGGTTGTGATGAAATCATGCGCTGGTTGGACTGTAGCTGATGCTATAGGTTTTTGTGGTGTGAGTGGGTGGCGTCCGTAGCAGAGGAAGAACGGCGTCTGTCCAGTAGCGGCATGTGTAGCGTTGTTGTAAGCAAACTCTAGAACGGGCAGGTGCAAGTCCCATTTGGAAATCTCGCCCTTGCAGGCTGATCAAAGGAGTTGCTCGACAATCTGGTTGAGGCGCTCGGTCTGTCCGTCTGTCTGCGGATGGTAAGCACATGACATGGCGAGTTTGGTCCCGAGGAGAGACATAAGTTCCTTCCATAACTTGCTGGTGAACTTGGGGTCTCGGTCAGAGATGAGTGTGGTTGGAATGCCATGCTGTGAGACGATGTATCGAACGAAGAGTTGTGTTGTTTCTTCGGTGCGTGCTGTCGTGTGTGTCGGGATGAAGTGTCCCATTTTGGAGAATTTGTCGATGACGACAAGGATGGCGTCATGACCGCTGGTGGTAGGTGGGAAACCGATGATGAAGTCCAGGCTAACCACTTGCCATGGTTGTTCTGGGACAGGAAGAGGCTACAGTAGTCCCGCCTTCTTCTGTTTGCTGCTCTTCATCCGCTGACATGTATCACACGAGGTGACGAGCTTCTGGACATCCTCTGCCAAGTGGGGCCAGTAGTAGTGTTTTGCAATACCGGTTAGCATTTTGTTGTTACCGAAGTGTCCGACGTAGAGGACGTCGTGGTATTCTTCGAGTAGTAACTGGCGCAAAGGAGGGTAATTGGGTACCCAGATTTTCGTTGATCCTTTCCGGTACGCGATGTCACTGTCCCACTGTAGCAGATGTCGTTTCTCTGCCAAGGGAATTTCGGGGTCGATGGCGTACCCGTGTGTGAAGAGTCCCTTGAGTAGTGGATTCATCCCTTCGATCTGAATAGCGGCAACGTGTGCAGGCCGGCTGAGAGCGTCTGCTTTGTTTTTGTGGCCGGGCTTGTACACGATGTCGTAGTGGAAGTGTGTCTCGAGGAAGTCAACCCACCGGACTTGCCGCCTGTAGAGGTTGGGTTGTGTCTTCAAGTATTTCTGGCTGCAGTGGTCGGTGTAGACGGTTGTTCTTCGTCCTTTGAGATAACATCTCCACGCTTTGAAGGCGATGATAATAGCCAGGGCCTCCTTGTCGTGTATCGGGTAGTTGAGTTCTGCCCCGTATAGTTTCTTACTCAGGTAGGCGATTGGTTGCAGTCCATTCCCTTGATCTTGCATTAAGATTGCTCCCACTGCTTGGTCGCTGGCGTCAGCTTCTATTACGTAGTCGCATTCGGGATCTGGCAAGATGAGTACAGGTGCGGACGTGAGTGCTTGTTTCAGCTGCTCCACGGCTTCCTGGTGCTTCGGCTCCCATTTGTAGGGTGTGTTCTTCTTCAGCAGATTCGTGAGTGGTGCTGCGTGTTTCGCACACTGTGGCACGAACCTGTTGTAGTAATTAGCGAAGCCTAGGAACTGCTGCAACTCCTTCACGTTCTCGGGTGTCTTCCACGTACGTACGGCTTCGATTTTCTTGGGGTCGATGTGAACTCCTTGAGCGCTCACCATATGTCCTAGGAACTGGACCTTCTCAATGGCAAATTCGCTCTTGGACAGTTTGACGTAGAATCGTTCTCGTCGAAGAATTTCGAAGACGCGTCGCAGGTGTTCGACGTGCTGCTTCATGTCGCGCGAGTAGATGAGTATGTCGTCCAGGTATACCACCACGCACTCGTCCAAAAGTGGTCGTAGAATGTGGTTCATTTCGGCTTGGAACGTTGCCGGTGCGTTGGTGAGTCCGAACGGCATTACCAAATACTCGTACGATCCATAACGAGTTCGGAAAGCAGTTTTGTGGATAGAGTTGTCCGCCATCAGTATCTGCCAGAATCCGGACCGCACATCCAGTTTGGAAAATACCGTGGCTCCCCGAAGCTGGTCAAGCAGGTCATCGATTCGCGGTATTGGATATTTAATTTTGATGGTCTGCTTGTTAAGAGCTCGGTAGTCGATGCACATGCGCAGGCTTCCGTCCGGTTTCGGTGTGAAGAGTACTGGGGCACCGTACGGCGAAGTGGATGGTCGGATGAGTCCTTTGGCTAGAAGATACTCGATCTGTTTTTTCATGTCGGTCAAATCCGTAGGGCTGAGCCGATATGGTGCTCGGAAGGTTGGCTTCGAACTCGGTTCCTCTACGATCTCGTGTTGATGCGTCCGGTATGGCGGTAGCTCATTCGGAAGATCGTCCGGAAGAATGTCTTGGAACTCCTTCAATAATTCCTTCATCTTTCCAGGAGGTTCCGAGGTTTTTTCCCTGTCGTTCTCCGCCTCTGTTGCTATTGCCAGGAACCTGGTGTCGGTTCGCTTCACGTCCTTCTCGAATCGTGCGAGTGTCTCCACTGGGATATCTCCTGTATCGTCCCAGTTGGGTAGCTGTACTCTCCGTCCATTGTTGTAGATGCTTGCGGTGCGGTTCACCCAATTGATCTCGGGGTTGAATCTTTTCAGGAAGTCTCGCCCGAAGATCAAGTCAAGCCCTTTGATGTTGGTGATGGGGAGTGCATGTCTCCAGCGCAACGGTCCGATTTGTAGGTGTAACGCTGCTTCGCCGTGTACTGGTAACTTGCTGCCGTCCACCATCGTTGCAGAGAATCCTGAAGGCTTGTACTCTTCCCGAAGTCGGTCGATTACTGCCTTGTCGCAGTCGGTGTGTGATGCTCCGCTGTCCACGAGTGCTTGGAGGCATCGTCCTTTGCAGATGACCTCGAGCACGAGGGGCAGGTGTTGCTCGGAGTACCCAAAAATGGTTTCATTGATTGGGTCATAGGGTACATCCCAATATTCCGTACATACCTTTGTGTTGCTATCTACTCCTGAGCTGGCAGCTGGCCGAGGCTGCTTGGAGAACGGCTCTTCTCCAGGGCCCGGAGTTTCCTTGACGACTGTGCACGTCACTGATGCCGAAGAACTGGATGCATCCGGAGGAGGAGTTCGGGGTTCGTGCAGCTTCTTATAAACCCCCAGCTTCCTCTTGAGCTGCTTTAGCTCCACCGACGTCTTCCCTGGGGAACGCGTAGTCGTTGTGGTCTGGTGTCGGGAGAGGACGTTGACTCCGTGGAAACGTCGGCTTCTTTCCACACTCCTTAATTTTTTCCCCAAGTTGTCCGGTACCGGTATAATCTCCACAGATGTCTGCTTCTTTTGGAGTCCCTCCCAAAATTTCTCCAAGGCTCTAGCCCCTCGAAAATCATAAGTTTTCATTAAAGCATCTTTATAGGATAACTTTAACGAATCCTTATAATTTCTTGGGGCTTCAAGAAGTTTCCCCGTCTCGGCAGAGTCTTTTTTCGCGGAGTCGTATTTTTCCTCGGCAATTTTCCCTGGCGAAGACTGGTCGTGGGGTGGAGATTTTCCCCCATCATTTCCTCCTTCTCGCATCGAATCAGCTTCGTCGTAGTTGATTTTCCCGGAATCCCGCAGCCGCTTCCGGATCTTTTTATTTTCGCCAGCTAGATCCGCAATCACTGGCGACTCCCATGTTTTGTCTTCTGATTGGCCGAAGGAATTCCGCCACTGTTGCGTGCCCGATACTCAGCGCGTGCGGTTTTCATTTTGTTGTAGTCGAAGATTCGATGACCCGGCACCCCGCAAAAATCACACGTGTAGTTGGTGTTTTTCGGACGTGGCCGCCCCTCGAACCTGTCGACTTCCATCAGGTCGGCGAACGTGGGGTGAGCCGAGCGGTCGCCCTGTCGCGTACTGCCGACGTGCGTCCGTCGTGTCCCGGCGTTGACCATGTCGAAGCGCTCCGCTGCCAAAACGACGTCACTGTAGCTCGCGTAGTTTGACGCTGCCACTTGTCGTTTGACTTCGGTCTTCAGCCTGGCGAGGTACGACTGTAATTTTTCCCCTTCGGTCAGGTCGGGAATGCGGTTATAAAATTCCTCCATCTGCTGCGTGTACTGTGCTACACTCCCGAACTGTCGGTGTCGATGATTTTTTCCCGGGCAAGGAAACTGGAATTTATCGGCTCGAAACGTTTCAGCAGGTCAGCGTGGAACTGCTGCCACGTGGCTTCACCGTGGATAAAAGTGTTGTTGCCGCCAATCCACTCGAGTGCCGGCCCTCGCATCAGTGTCGCCGCGAGTCGTACACGTTGACCGTCCCAGACTGGCGAGCTCCATCCGACGGCTGCGAAGTAGATCTCCATCCCGGCGATCCATCTGCGGGCGTCGGAGTTTCGATCGCTCGGATCGAACGGCTCAGGTGGGCGCGGTTTCGGAGCCTCGAGAAACTACTGCGACTACTGCGTCGTCGCCGTTGTCGAGTCGTGCTGCGCTCCGGCGAGTCGAGTTACTCGCTCGAACTCGTTTTGCCACGCTTCGCGATCCGCTCGCATCTCCTCTTGAAGGGCTGCGATGCGCGCGAAGAGCTGCTAGGTAACCTCGGCGTTGTCGAAGGTTGCCATCCTGTTCAAAACACGCACAGGGGGGGTGATTCGAAAAAACACGGAGCTGGTGCTTACCAGAATCGGCGTCGAATTGGTCGCCCCCGGCGGTTTTTCGAGGCAGGTTTTCCCGCTGCTGCTGCTTTGTTCAGTGCGGCCGAGTGAGAAAAACTCTTATTACCAAGTGTCACAGGATCGAATGACTCGAGGAAAGATTGCACTATCGATCAGTACAATGCGCTTTTATACTTCCAGAGTACATCAGGTAACCAGGTTTATCTTATCCTAAGGGAATAGACCCTTCTAGAAGATAGAATCACACTGCGTATAGCCACACGAGGCCATTGGCTTTAAGGGATTACGGCAGGATTACGCTAGATATAGCGCACCAGTACATCCCAAGCCTGGTCGGTGATATAATTATAATAGCAGGAGAAACCAAAAGTTAATGGAAAGGAAGAATAGGAAACCAAATGAGATGAGATAAAAAGAGAAATGAAATAGGAAGGAAATAAGAAAAAGGCCAAGTGGTGTAACGGGGTCGTACTCTCACACTTCCCCCCCCTCAAAGCTAGGTGGTAGAAGTAACACCCTGCTTGACAAGGTAGTCATGCAGAGGACGACGGGCGTTACCCATGTCGGACTCAGGTACCCAGCTGTCCTTTTCTTACTCAGCCGTCGTCGCTGCCCTCTTCTACCCGCCCAACGTCGCTGCCCTCTCTTACCCGGCCGTCGTCGTCGCTACGCTCTCTTACCCATCCATCGTCGCTGCCCTCTCTTACCCATCCATCGTCGCTGCCCTCTCTTACCCGGCCGTCGTCATCGCTACGCTCTCTTACCCATCCATCGTCGCTGCTCTCTCTTACCCATCCGTCGTCGCTGCCCTCTCTTACCCGGCCGTCGTCGTCGCTACGCTCTCTTACCCATCCATCGTCGCTGCCCTCTCTTACCCATCCATCGTCGCTGCCCTCTCTTACCCGGCCGTCGTCGTCGCTACGCTCTCTTACCCATCCATCGTCGCTGCTCTCTCTTACCCATCCGTCGTCGCTGCCCTCTCTTACCCGGCCGTCGTCGTTGCTACGCTTTCTTACCCATCCATCGTTGTTGCCCTCACTTACCCATCCGGCGTCGCTGCCCTCTCATACCCGCCCGTCGTCGTTGCTGCCCTCTCTTACCCAGCCATCGTCGATGCCCTCTCTTACCCAGCCGTCGTTGCTAGTACCCGCTACCCTCCGTCGCTACCCGATACCCTCGCTTACCCATCCATCGTCGCTGCCCTCTCTTACGCGCCCGTCGTCGTCGCTGCCCTCTCTTACCCAGCCATCGTCGATGCCCTCTCTTACCCAGCCGTCGTTGCTAGTACCCGCTACCCTCTCTTACCCATCCGTCGTAGCTGCCCTCTCTTATGTGCCCGTCATCGTCGCTGCCCTCTCTTACCCAGCCGTCGTTGCTAGTACCCGCTACCCTCTCTTACCCATCCGTCGTCGCTGACCTCTCTTACGCACCCGTCGTCGTCGCTGCCCTCTCTTACCCAGCCGTCGTCGATGCCCTCTCTTACCCAGCCGTCGTTGCTAGTACCCGCTACCCTCTCTTACCCATCCGTCGTAGCTGCCCTCTCTTACGTGACCGTCGTCGTCGCTGACCTCACTTACCCATCCGTCGTCGCTGCCCTCTCTCACCCATCCGTCGTCGCTACCTTCGTTTTCCGTGGTTGTCACCTCCCTCTCTCCCTGTTCGCTCTCCTCCCTTCCGTTTCCCCACTTAACGCCACCCTCCCTCGCCCTTCCACTTCCTCCCTTGCTGCAGTTGACAGCAGCGGAAAAGCACATGGGGGAACGAGAACGGCGGTTTAAGGAGAGCCAGTCAGTGTTGGTCGTCAGTGGCGGTGGCTGTGGCCTTTGAGTTCACCCAAAGGTCGTCAGTGGCTGCGGCTGTGGCAGTTGAGTTCACCCAAAGGTCGTCAGTGGCGGCGGCAAGGCTGCAAGAAATAGCTTCGCATGGTGAGTAAGCCTGTTAGCATTTTGAGTCGAGTCAACAGCAAGTCAGCCAGCAATGGCTTTGCATGGTGAGTAAGCCAGCATTTTGAGTCCATGGATGCATGGGTGTAAGTTAGTCTCAAATCGACTAGAAACATTGGCTTGTCGGCAGGGGTTGATACATTTTTTTAATTCTCAAAAGTCGACTGAAGTCGCCAGCCTGTCGGCAACGCCATCGATGGTTTGACTCGCTGAGTCAACGCCATGGTTTGACTCGCCGAGTCATTTGAGTCATCCGAGTCAGAGCCATGGATGGGGAATGGCAAGCAATGGCTTGCCATTGTCATGCCGTGAATCTGAGCAATCCATCGGCGCCGGGAGTTGTCGAAGTCATGGGGGATGTTGGGTGTTGGAAGCGTATGAGGCTGCAGCCAGGACTACTTCCCTGGGACAGCAATCTGTGCGGATCTTTCTTATCTCTCTTGTGTCAGTATTTACGAGTCAAGTACGGCGACTCAAGAAACCACCAGACCGGCTCATTACTGACAGCGTATTTGCTTAGTAGGCGGATTGTGAGAGAGGAGTGTGATGGTGCTGCGCAGAGAGGAAATTTCGATGGTGCTGGCTGGGCAGCTTCCCTGGCACATGAGCATTGCGTTGCAAGCGTTGCACCTATGCACTCACACACCACACCCACCCATAGCTGGGTACTGGCGGTGCCAGGGAAAGAGGCGCAGGGAACTGGTTAGTGCGAGATCCCCGCTGTTACTGAATCAGCGATATGTGCATTCTTTCAAGTCGACCCAAATTGTTACTGAATCAGTGATACGTGCATTCTTTCAAGTCGTCCCAAATTGTTACTGAATCAAAGATATGTGCATCCTTTCGAGTCGACCCAAATTGTTACTGAATCAGTGATATTGCATTCTTTCGAGGCGACCCAAATTGTTTCTGAATCAGCGATACGTGTATCATTTCGAGCCGACCCAAAATGTTAATGAATCAGCAATACGTACTTTCTGTCCACCGGCATAGCACGGTTGTGGCTGTGACAGAGCTGCTGGTCTCTGCCTCTCCCCCAGTGTGCCGTGCAAGAGTGTTGTGCACACGGATGTCCCTTACACATAGGATGAGCCATTAGGAAGCGGGAAAAGGGCAGAGATGCTAATGAGCTCTGCTTCTCCCCCAGCGTGCCGTGCAGGTGTGCTGCGCCCACGGAAGCCCCCCTTAGGCGTACGATGAGCCTTTAGGACACGGGAAATGGGCAGAGATGCTAATGAGCTCTGCTCCCTCCCGGATGTGCCTTGCAGGATTTGCGCCCGCAGAAGGATGCGGATTTGGAGAATCAAGTAGCGTGCCTCACTGACCAGCTGGCTAGGGAGTGCAGACAGGCCGCTCTAGTCTCTGTGGAGCTGCAAGCAACTAAGGAGAAGCTGAAACGGCTGGAGGACTCAGTTGCGGAGAAGGACGCCATCATTGCTGAGAAGAATGATGTTATCTCGGAGAAAAACCCTGTTATTCTTGAGAAAAACGCCCTGATTAAGGCGAGGAATGCCGTTATATTGGAACTCCAAGTTGCTGCCAGAGCAGCAAACGCTCGAACGACTGAGTCTTGGAGCAAAGGCCAGGAGCTTAAAGATACCGTCACAGCGCCCCTCCGGCCTGGTGAGGAAACAGCCAGCTCAGAGGGAACTGCCTCCTTGCGTGTCGAGGAAAGCAAGGAGGGATCTCTGAGAAGAGAGGAAGCGGAAGAAGGCGGAAGGGGAGGAGGAGGGAATTCGGAGGAAGGACGAGGAGGAAGGGGGGGGAAGGGAGGGCGAGGAGTAAGAAAAAGGAAGGATGAGGAAAAGGAGGACGGAGGAACAAAAAGGATGAAGGCTGAAGAACGAGGGGAAAGGAAGAAGGCAGAGGAAGAGAAGAGGTTAAGGGAGGCGTTGTACGAGGAGCAAGTGGTGGCACCATGGCGGTCAGCGACCACCATTGAAAAGGCATGGCCGTTGTGGGACAGCCCGTTGCCGCACGGAAAGTCCGGGGAGAAGAAAAGGCTCGGCGACGTGTACGGCGAGACGGGGTTCATCACGCGGCACTCGCGCCTTGGGAAGTCCACGCCTTGGGAAGTCCACGCCTTGGGAAGTCCATGGATGCGGCGAGCCAAGAAATGCAGAGGATGAAGCGGGCGATGGACGCCGTGGCCGCGTACCGCAAGAGCGCCTCCGAGGAAGACACGGCTCTCACGATCAGGAAGCTGGATGGGATTGCCGCTTCCCTGGGGCTTACCACTTTCTGCGATGGGCTGGTGGTGTTGTCGAAAAGGGTGTCGAAGAAGGGCCCCGTTCTAGGGGCTGGAGCTGTGGTGGGGAAGCGTGGGATTGCTGCGCTGAGCAATGTGCAGAGGAGGCACCTGAACATGGCGTGGCTCTTGGTCTCGCAAGGGCTAGCGGACAAGGCCTGGGCGGAACGCCTGTTTCCGACTGCTTGGAGGGAGAAGGAAACAGGTGCAGCTAAGGAGCATCGGCCTTAGCCCTGAGTTTTTTTAATTTTTTTGCCTTTTTTTTTCCCCTGCGGTCCTATGTGGCATCATATGCAGTCGAGTGGAATGCTGCCCTCTTCTTTTGAGGCGCCCTGAAAGCAAGGGGCTTTGTTACCCCTGTGTTCTGAGTAGACGTCAGGTAACTCTTGGATTCCTCGGTTTTGTTGGCGAGGACGTCAATTGCTAGGGTTTCATCTTGTTGTCTTGTTAGGGCAGTGATAATTGTCTCCTTCCAGCTGCTTGCAGCGCCGTTCATGGATTTTACCGTCTCAATGTCTTCACACCCCACACAACCCCAGGCGAAGAGGGAGGCGCGGGGGTCAGCCGATGCTGACATCAACCTGAGCTCCGATGAAAGCAACATCTACATATGGACGGCGGTGATCAAGGTACGCATGGATGGATGGCTGTGATGAGACAAATGTGCACGGATGGATGGCTATGATGAGACAAATGTGCATGGGTGGATGGCTATGATGAGACAGATGTGCACGGATGGATGGCTGTGATGAAAGCGCCATCTACAGATAGACGGCGGTGATCATGCTAGGCACAAACGGATGGCTGCGATGACAGCAACATCCAAGGTATCTGACCGGCCGACTTTCAGCCATGTGTCATTGTTCGCCATTAGCTCTACCCTCCAGGTCTATTTCCACGTTTATCATTCCTTCTCATTCAGTTGCATCCTCCCTTACCCCCCCATGCATTCAATTTCTCCTTTCTTGTTTGTCCCACAGTCACCCTCGGAGTGTTTTTTACAGTAAGTGGCCACAGTACCCTTCCCCCTCCTCTCATTTGCCTGTTCTGGTGCATTCCCCTTCTCCCCCTTTGTCCATCTATCCTCTTAACCCAATCCCTTCTGTTTTTGCCTATCCTTCTCCCCTTGTCCGTTTCCCAGGGCCCAGCTGACACTCCATGTTATGGAGGGCAATTTACCCTGACAATCAACGTGCCTCAGCAGTACCCCCTCGTGCCGCCCCAAGTGTGCTTCGCTACCAAGGTCTTCCAACCCAACGTGCACTTTAAGGTGAGTCAACACAGAGTCAACCAGGGTCAACCCGGGTCAACAGGAGTCGACCAAGGTCTTCCACCCCAACGTGCACTTCAAGGCCAGTCAACTCCAACTCAACCAGGGTCTCACATGCCATTGAGATTTTTTTAATTTCTCAAAAATCTGTCGACTCCAAGTCAACCAGGGTCTTTCATGCCATTCAGACAGGTGTGCTTTGCCGGCATCCTCAAGACAGCATGGAGCCCGGCTTGGACGCTATCTATGTGCCATGCCTTGCGCCTTCCACCTCTCGCTTTTCTTGCTGCCTTGTTTCTTCCAGACCAGGGAAATCTGTCTGGACATCCTCTAGATGGGGTGGAGCCCGGCATGGACGCTCACATCGGTGTGCCGTGCCATAATCACCCTCATGTGCCACCCTGAACCCGACAGCCCACTCAACTGCGACTCTGGTACGGCATATTGGACTTTAGTAGGATGCTCACATCCATCTGCCATGCCATCTTTAAAACGAGGTGACTTTTGAGTCGACTCAAAAGTCACTTCTTATGTGCCGCCCGGAGGCAGACAGCCTGCTCAATTGTGAATCAGGTACGACACACACGTTCAACGGACATTTGCGCTGTAAGCCTTCAGCCCACAACCACACACCTCGTCTATGTGGACAGATCTCACCAGCCCAACCAACCCCAGCATAAATCTCGTGTGCCATTCGGAAGCGGTATTACATGTCATGTATCTCCCCTGTCAGGCCTCTCCTTCGCATGTATCTCCCGTCAGGCCTCCTTCGCATGTATCGCCCTCTCATGTGACTTCCTCTCCTGTTCTCCCGCATGGCTCCTCATTCGCCTCTTCAGGCAACCTGATCCGAGCGGGGGACAACAGAGGGTACTGCTCCATGGCTCACATGTACACTAGACTCCACGCCATGCTGCCCGCTCATCGATGAACCTTGAAGCGCATTGGAGTTTCTCCGCGCCTCAAAATGTACAGTAGACTCCGCGCCACACCAGCCACGTTGAGGAGATTTTACGACAATTTCCTGTAGCTGCATGGTCAATGGGCACAGGGCACAGGGCACAGGGCACAGGGCACAGGGCACAGGGCACAGGGCACAGGGCACAGGGCACAGGGCACAGGGCGCAGGGCACAGGGCACAGGGCACAGGGCACAGGGCACAGGGCACAGGGCACAGGGCACTGGGCACAGGGCACACGGCACTGGGCACACGGCACAGGGCACACGGCACAGGGCACAGGGCACAGGGCACTGAGCACTGGGCACAGGGCACAGGGCACTGGGCACAGGGCACTGGGCACTGGGCATACGGCACAGGGCACAGGGCACAACATCTTAAGTATGCCACCTCCTTTGATAGGCTGACATGGACGCTTGAGGTGGTAGTGTGAGGCGATTTTGTGCCCCTCCGCACCACCCATGCTCGACACATGCCACACCCACCGCCCTCGTGTGCATATAACGTCTGCATCCTTTCTTTCCCTGGGCATTTCATGGTGTTAAATGTTACTAGGTGACTTTTAAATGTTACTAGGAGTCGACTCTAAAGTCACTTCTTTCCCTGGGCATTTCATGGTGTTAAATGTTACTCGCGTTAAGAGATCATTTGGTCCACTGCTGCTGTGCTTCTGCCCAGTAACGAAACAATGCCTTGTCTTCTGACGGAATAATTCAAGTCAGGCTGCTGCTCACACGCGCCTGCAAATTTCGTTTCAAGCGGGGATGCCATGGCATGGCACGTGCTCTTCGTGCTCTTGCCACCTGAATCTTCGTGCTCTTGCCACCTGCATCTTTGCACACACCACCCCCAACTGGAAATAGATGTGTGGACATAGCTGCCAGGTGTCATTTGGACAGGTATCACTTGGACAGAACAGCTGTCACTTGGCGGACAGGTGTCACTTGGACAGGTAGCACTCGGACTGGTGTCACTTGGACAGGTGTCACTTGGCCAGTTGCGCCTCCACGTCCTCAATGCTTATTGGTGCATGCAGCTGCGGGGGGATGGTGACGGGGTGCGGTGAGAGGGTATGAGAGATCAAGGGGGATGGAGCATTACAAAGCTGGTGGGGAGGTCCCATGGAAGCAGCAGCTGCAGCGGCAGCTCTCAACGTCCCCAAGGGGCATCGGTGAATGCAGCTGCGGGGGGGATGGCGATGAGGGTGTGGTAACGGTCTTGACTCATGAAAGCGGGAGCTGCAGCTGCCTCTTGGCGTTCCCAAGGGGCAATGGTGAGTGCAGCTGTGGGGGGATGGTGATGTGGGTGTGGTAACGGTCTTGACTCATGAAAGCGGGCTGCCTCTTGGCGTCCCCAAGGGGCATCGGTGAATGCAGCTGCGGGGGGGATGGCGATGAGGGTGTGGTAACGGTCTTGACTCATGAAAGCGGGAGCTGCAGCTGCCTCTTGGCGTTCCCAAGGGGCAATGGTGAGTGCAGCTGTGGGGGGATGGTGATGTGGGTGTGGTAATGGTCTCGACTCATGAAAGCTGGAGCTGCAGCTGCCTCTCGGCGTTCCCAAGGGGCAATGGTGAATGTAGCCGTAGGGGGATGGGGACTGGTTGTGGATATGGGAGGGCAAGGAGAATGGAGCTTTGACGGGCTGGCTGCATGATAGTGGCATGGAGGCATGGAGGCATGGAGCATGGAGGCATGGAGGCATGGAGGCATGGAGGCATGGAGGCATGGAAGCATGGAGGCATGGGAGCATGGAGGCATGGAGGCATGGAGGCACGGAGGCATGGAGGAGGCATGGAGGCATGGAGGCATGGAGGCATGGAGGCATGGAGGCACGGAGGCATGGATGCATGGAGGCATGGAGGCATGGAGGCAGGCATGGATGCATGGAGGCATGGAGGCATGGAGGCATGGAGGCATGGATGCATGGAGGCATGGGGGCATGGAGACATGGAAGGTTGGAGGCATGGATGCATGGATGCATGGAGGCATGGAGGCATGGAGGCATGGAGGCATGGATGCATGGAGGCATGGAGGCATGGAGGCATGGGGCATGGAGGCATGGAGGCATGGAGGCACGGAGGCATGGAGGAGGCATGGAGGCATGGAGGCATGGAGGCACGTAGGCATGGATGCATGGAGGCATGGAGGCATGGAGGCATGGAGGCATGGAGGCATGGAGGCATGGAGGCAGGCATGGATGCATGGAGGCATGGATGCATGGAGGCATGGAGGCATGGAGGCATGGATGCATGGAGGCATGGAGGCATGGAAGGTTGGAGGCATGGATGCATGGATGCATGGAGGCATGGAGGCATGGAGGCATGGAGGCATGGAGGCATGTAGGCATGGATGCATGGAGGCATGGAGGCATGGAGGCATGGAGGCAAGGAGGCATGAAGGCATGGAGGCATGGAGGCATGGAGGCATGGAGGCATGGCGGCATGGATGCATGGAGGCATGGAGGCATGGAGGCATGGAGGCATGGAGGCATGGAGGCATGGAGGCATGGAGGCATGGATGAATAAGCACATGGCTGTGTTGCGAGTATATTGAGAGAGCCTAGAGCACAGTGACGGTGGCAACGCCGCATGGTTCTCACCCATTCACACAGCATCTCATTACCTCCTTGGCGATCCTCAGCCAATCACAGGCTCTGGCGGGCCCATCCCCAGCCTTGGGAACTCCATCGTGGTTCCAGTAGGCGAACGACGAGAACCGCCCCACGGCCTGCCACTGCGCCGCATGCGGGAAACAAACCTCCCCTGCCTCTGCTGCTGCCTCTGCTTCGTCTAACCCCTCCCGTCCCTCCCCATCTCTGGCTGCAGCGCCGCTGGTCCCATCCGTCTCCTCTCTTGTCCTCGCGGCATCGGTCGCCTGCCGCTTGCACGGGGGTTCCACACCTGCTGCTGCTGCTGCTGCGTCCATTTTCTCTAGTATGAGGCCTGGAAAGCAAACGGAGAAGAGAAGCGTTCAGGATGTCAGGAGAAGGTCACACTTAACAGCAGCAGCAGGGCAGGGAGCAATTGAAAGTACACTCTGCTCTTTACTTTTGAGGCGCCTTAGAGATAATAAGGACGCTAGGAAGTCACACTTAACAGTAGCAGCAGCACAGGGCGCAATTGAAAGTACGCTCTCTGTTGCGGCCTGCCTGCAAGAAAATCAGATGTGCAGGGAGAGCTGCTAGAGCGAGAGAAGCACACAAGAGCATGATTTACCCCGTCATTGAAGTACCATCATGGCTAACAACACTTCATTGAAGTACCATCATGGCTAACAACACTTCATTGAAGTACCATCATGGCTAACAACACTTCATTGAAGTACCATCATGGCTAACAACACTTCATTGAAGTACCATCATGGCTAACAACACTTCATTGAAGTACCATCATGGCTAACAACACTTCATTGAAGTACCATCATGGCTAACAACACTTCATTGAAGTACCATCATGGCTAACAACACTTCATTGAAGTACCATCATGGCTAACAACACTTCATTGAAGTACCCTTCACCTGTGTAGCCTTCGGGAAGGGGTAAGCGCCTTCCCAGAAGCCTTCTGCCTCGGAAAGCAGCTTCCAGCGGTACAGTACCATCCGCCATTGTAACATCTGCGATGCCAGCACGTGTCAAAACTATTCCGTTATAGTGGCGGTGTACAGAAATCACATGAAAAAGCGATTAGACCGACTTGAAGCCACCAGTTGAAAATTCAAGCCGCGAAAGTCCCACCTTTGGCCTCCAACGGACGGAAAAAACGCGATACGGCAGCAGGCCCGTTATGCTCAATGCAGCAGGGCAGGAGATGCACGTCAACGTCAACGTTAGCGTCAGAAATTGACGTCCGACAGTTTGAACGCTCAGCGGTGCTGCAGTTCACCCTGATTTCGTCGGTTATGTCCATGGCTGCCTGTCTGCGAAGACTAGAGGCGACGCACGCAAAAGTCGATTTGGAAGGGAGAGGAAAGTTGATCGCTTTGTGTGCTGCTCGCAACTGGCGAAAGCTGTGGTAACTCTGCGACGCCTCGTCGTGAGCTCTGGTCTGGTGGGGTTAACGAAAAGCCACATTGTTGCAGACAAGCGGATAACACCTCTACGAAGTCTAAGGATTTAGCAGTCCTATACGAAGTTCGGTGAAGATGCTTTTGGCAGAGCCATCTGTTTGTCGTCACCCCGGTCTGACTTGCCTCGAACACCTGCTGTTGTGTGCCCGCTGCCCGTTACAGGTGTGTTGGTGGGTTGCTGGGACAGTGGGTCGTCTGCTGAGCTGGTCGAACGAACCACGTCACTCGTGGAACACGGGAAGGCTGGGCTGTGCTGAGCTGGCTGAGAGAACACGTCGAGACGAGATTTGCGTCGAGATGATCCGCCAGACAACACCTGACCTGTCTGGTCTGGCTGTCGCATCTATCCAGGGCGAGCCCCCAAGAAAACTGGGGAGTGGTAACTTTCGGGCATCGGTATTTTCGAGCTTGCCGTGCTCTGCGGGGAATTGGACGATTGGAGACGTTGCTCGGGTGGAAATTTGGGAGTACATGTGGTGTTGCGTGCAAACAACGTTGGCGGGGGGGACACACTCTTTGATTTGATGAATGCATGTGAGACTTTTTCAAGAACAGAGGGTGCTTCGAAAGTACTGTATCAAACAATTTCTGGAAGATTGTTCTCAAAGTCTACTGTAGCTGTCCATATGCCCCCACCAATTGTCGACAGTGGATGTAACCAAGTACAGTACGCACATCTCCAAAGAGACGACACGCACGCTGAGTTTTTACCCGAATTTGCTGCTTTGGCGTACGCGGGCTCCTCGATCAAGCGCAATGAAACGCTCGGTCGGCAATGATGGGATACGATCCCATGGCACCTGCTTCGATCTGCCACTGACCACCGTTGAATCGAAATGGACCGTCAGATTTGCATGCGCTCATCGCACCAGCTCAATCGTGGCAAAACATCCGTGATTTACCGTCCCACGTGGCATAATTTTCTCAATGTGGGAAGATCCTCGCACATGGGATCCTCGTGCGCGTTCTTCCTCGAGTCGCGCAATGCTGGCCAGTTTTCCTCACCAAATTTTGCATCGGGCATTCTGAGTAGGTTGGGCTGGGCTGGGACCAGGAACAGGCAGCGTAGCAGGAACAGCAGCAGCAGGAGCAGCAGGCAGCCGCAGCAGCAACTGAATAGGCCGCGTCCAGTGGAAAAACGACAGGAAAGACGCACACCAAGCCAAACCTCTTTGATAATGAGTGCTGACCTCAGCGTCTCCTCGTGCAAATCCTTAGCTTCCTCCACCGCCAAGATCCTACGCGTCTAGCCTCGCCGACACCCCTCGCCGTCGTCATGGTTTACATAGTACGGATGACCTTTCATTTTTCTCATAATCGACAATCCTTGCATCCAGTTCATTGGCATCTACTCAGTCTTTGCACCATATGACTAGAAACGTTGGTCTCACAAAGTGCCAGACTTCCTCAAAGCTGTCAAACGCTGCGACAATTTAAGAGGAACCATCTTAGATCATCTCGAGCGTCTTGACGCATTCCTTCGCTTAGTACTCCGAGTAGAAACATCAAGGAGTCCTTGCGATTAGGAAACATCAGTAGTCGATCCATCATAGCAGACCCCATGGAGAACGACGACGCGTTGCTCCCCCACCTTCAGAACCGCGGCGGGCCGCAGAACGCGCTCTACAGGTTCCGCGGGGTGCGCCAGCGCACGTGGGGGCGGTGGGTGGCGGAGATCCGCGACCCCGAGCGCAAGGTGCGCCTGTGGCTGGGCTCGTTCGCGACGGCGGAGGAGGCCGCGCGCGCGTACGACGAGGCGGCGGTGAAGCTGTACGGATCCGACGCGCGCCTCAACTTCCTCCCGCCGCAGGGAATCGACCCGGCGATCGGCGGCGCGCAGAGTCGCGCGGCGCCGAATCTGGACGCGGCTCGGGAGAATTTCGACCGCGAGATCAAGATGGCGCGTCTTTCCGGCTTGTCCGGCTTGGCTGATGGCGGTTTCGCTGACGTCACACCTGGATTGACAGTCACAAAGGCGACAAGGCTGACAGGTCTGGCGGGTTTAACTGGACTGACGGGTTTGAGCGGACTGACTGGATTGACTGGGTTGACCGGGTTGAATGGGATGAATGGTTTTCATAATTACGGAGCGTCTGGAAATGTGATTCCGGAGGGTACGTGGCGCCAGCTGTCTCCGGGAGCACAGGCAGCGCTAGCGAGCATGGGCGCAGGGATTCAAACGGTTGGTGGCGTCGGCGGAGGCAGCGCAGGTGGTGGCGGCATTGGTGGTGGCGTTGGGGGTGTTTTCGGGGGAGTTGGTGGGGGTGCTGCGGCTCAGCCAGCTCAGCTGGTGGGCATGACTATGGCGCCTCGATCCGCGAGCGTGCCGAGCGGCAGCGCCACGAGCCTCACGGAAGCTGCGAGTCCCCGAGTCGGAGTGGAGCTCCCCATAGAGAAGGCCCACAGCCTCGACACGCTCCCCTCGTTCCAAGCACAGTCGCCAAGCCTCCGCTTCCAAGCCGCGACCACAGGACAGGATCATCATGTGGACGAACCACACCCGGAGGAACGGGTCAAGTGGCAGCGGTACCAGAGGAAGCGGCGGGTGGCAGCGGAGGAGCAGAGGGAGATGAGGGAGCTGGAGGAGCTGTTGGATAAGTACAAGCGGCGCCAGAAGGTGCGGCAGTTGCTGTCGCAGGCCGACATCGTGCACCAGCAGGAGATGCTGCTCACGGGACCGGATCCGAATCCCTTGCAGCAGCAGCAGCAGCAGCAGCAGCAGCAGCAGCAGCAGCAGCAGCAGCCCTCTGCTGAGCCTCGCCTTGGAGCCAGTAGTGAAGGTGCTGCCACCAGACGCCACGTCAGCTTCTCTGATGGAGCCGTGAATGCTAGCTTTGAAGGTGATACCGCCAAAGAGCTCTCACAAATCAGCCAATTGAATTCCAAGGACATCGCCCAGTACATCCTGGAACAGACGCTGTTGTCAGGGGGGGGCGCGACAAACCCAGGCTCCTTAGCTCCTCCGCATGCACGCCCAGGAGCTGCTCCCGCGCTGCACCATGGCCAGACAGGTGCCTCTACGGATCGCCATACAAGTGCAGCACAGGCGACACCATTTCTTATGGAGCAGTGGAGAGACGGGGGTGGGATGCTGCAGGTGACCGACAACCACCTGGCTTCATCCTTCGCCGCTGCCCCTGCTGTACGCAGCAGGAGCTACGATTCCGTGCGAGGCCGTGGGGTTGGAACAGAGGTAGCAGGCCATGCAGGGGATTTGGCTTCAGGGATAGCAGCTGGCCTGCCACAGGGTTTTCAGGCACCAATTGTGTTATCTGGGCAACATGGTGGTGAACATATGCAAGGCTATCCACAGGGAGGTGCTCCTTATCAGTTGATGGCTGGTTCTCAACCGGGAATCAGTAGCATTGAGAATGCTCGAGCGTATGGTGTTGGGCAATACGCAGGAAGAAACCATGCAATGAATGTTCCTGTAGAGGGTGTAGGTTCTCTAGGTATTGCATCTGAGATGGAGGCCATTTCAAGTCTCTTTGGGGAAGAGGGCGCTCAGATGCTGCTTCAAGAGCTCCTGAGCAAAAACGAGCTTGCAGTAGCCAATAGTCAGTGGGGCATGTGAAGAGACTACAAACATGCAAGTTGTACCTCCGCTAAATTTTGTAGATAACGAGCTTCTTTGGTCGTAATATTTCATCCTCATTATATTGTTACCGATATACTTGCAACATTCTACCGACGTTCTTGAAATGAGCAGCTCTTTCTGGACTCGAAATCCTACGTGGCACCATCGTGTTTTCTAGAAGTGCGACACTGTCTGTTCGCGAGATTCGCGAACTGGTGTCGCCGCAGCATTGGCCGGCGTTCGCGAATCTCGTCACAATCTGCGCAGGGCTTCTCATTTTGGAGAAATTGAAGTAGCACTCTTACACTTGTATTCGATCAGATCCTCAGTTGTATTCGTCCACTGTCGCTCTAGTGTCTGTCCTCGAGACTCAGCTACCTCCAGATTTCCTCTCGCCTTGCGGGGACATCCTGCAGCGCGAGTTCTTCCATCTTATACTTCCCATCCGATCTCCTTTTCTTTCCCAGCACTCGGCCCCATGGCGAAATTCGGCGAGGGCGACAACCGTTGGATCGTGCAGGATCGGGCGGACGGCGCGAACGTGCACAACTGGCACTGGGCGGAGAAGGACTGCATGGAGTGGTCGCGGCGGCGGCTGGGGGAGCTCATTGGCGGACTGACGGTGCTGGAGGGGGAAGGCGGGTGCTGGATCCGCACAGGCGCGATCGAAAAGGTCGACGGCGAGGCATACGTAAACATCCGCAAGGGAAAGATTATCCCAGGGTGCGTATCACAACTAGAAAGCGCTGGAGGGGGAAGGCGCCGGGTTCTGGATCCGCACAGGCGCGATCGAAATGGTTGACACCGCGGCGTATGTAAACATTCGCAAGGGGAAGATCATTCCCGGGTGAGTGTTTTTACTAGGAAGTGTTGGATGCGAATCCAGCTGGATTTGCACACGCGCGAATGAGAAGGTTGATGTCGAGTCGAGGCGTATGTGAACGTTCGAAAGTGGGAGATCATCTCCCGGTTACTATCATGGTCAAAAATTGACGGAATCTTCGCCGCTGCTCTACAGAATCCCTCTTCTTCCCTCCTCCTGCCTCTTCCGTTCGCCTAACTTCCACTACTCGTCTGTCTCGTCGCACCTGGCTCGTCCACTACCTATGCTCACAATACCTCTACCGTTCCGCTTCCCCGTCACGTCCCATTCCCCCTTCCACCACCCCACCCCCCCTCCGTCAATCCGCCTCGAACCTCGCGATACGAGCCCTACCTTTCCCCTCCCCCGTCTCGTTCCCTCCCCTTGAACTACCAGCTACGAGGCTCACGACACGAACCCTACCTTGACCCTCCCCCGTCACGCCCCTCCGCCCTGAACCAACCAGCTACGAGCTTCACGTGCGCCTGGGCTGGGAGGGCGAGGTGAAAGACTCTGCCGACGCGCAGCCAGTCGCGTCCGTTAAAGGCTTCGTCGAGCTGCCTTATATCGCGGACGAGAACCACGACGAGGATCCCGAGGTGAAGATCGCCCTGGCCACGGAATCCGCGGGCGGCAACGGCGGAGGGTCGGCAGCAGCCAATCGGCTGCGAGATGCCATGCTGGCGCGAGGCAAGCCGCTTATTCTGGAGAAGATCCGCGTGTTCGTTAAAGACATCCAGGCGGGTGGGCCCGCTAGGGAAGAGCTGGAGAAGGCTAAGGCAGGGAAGCCAGCAGGAGCGGCAGGGACAGGTTCGGAAGGGGGGAAACCAGCAGCAACGACGGCAGCAGCAGCAACAGGTGTAGCGGCCCCAGCAGCAGCATCAGCTGCGTCAGCATCTACTGCGAGCACAGCTGCAGCTACCCCCGCCAGCAAGAGCAAGAAAGAGAGCAGCAGCAGCGGCAGTGGTGCTGGAAAGAAGACGATAACCATCACACAGAAGTTCCACTGCCGGCCGGCAGACATTTTCGAGACGCTGATGGATGAGAAAAGGTGGATGGCTTTCACGCAGTCCAAGGCGAAGGTCTCGACGGACGTGGGGGGTACCTTTTCCCTGTTCGATGGGTCGGTGACAGGTGTCAACCAGCGGTTGCAGGAGAACAAGCTGATCATGCAGAAGTGGCGGTTCAGCAGCTGGCCTGACGGTCACTACTCCACAGTGAGTGTGTGAGAGAAGCGGGTGAGACGCGGGTGAGACGCGGGTGAGAATCGTGGGTGCTATGGATCGGCCTCCTTCTCTGCCTGGCTGACCATCCATTCCCCTCCTACTCGCAGTGCGTAGATCAGGATCATTTTCCAGACTTTTCACATACCTCGCTCTCACTCACTGTGTGTGGGTGCAGGTATGCATAACGTTGGAGGAGCCTCAAGTGGGTGACACGATTTTGCGGCTGACACAGACCAACGTGCCTGAAGAGGACAGGTGAGTGACACAGGGACAAGCATGTGTCCAGTCACGCTGTGGTGTAGACTTGTACACGTTTTATCCAACTCTTTATTGTTTCTTGTGTGCTTGTTGACGAATTTCATCTACTGTGCAGGTTTGGCAATGCCACGGTGTTTGAAACAACCGAGCGCGGCTGGAGAGAGCTGATCTTCGCTAGGATTCGGGCAGTTTTTGGCTATGGGGCGTAGTGTTGATCTAAGAAATGGATTGTTGAAGAATGGCGCGTTTGGAAGCAAATAGATATCATCTGAACATCGAACATCGATGTGTATGCTCAATGGATTCAGGTGTGTCGAACCTGCTGCGCGCATAGTTGGTAACGCGGACATTTTCCCGAATCCCGATGCCTGAACCCGCTCAATCCTCCATGACTAGTGTCAGCTGACTGCCGACTTCACCTCACAGTCAGTCGGACAATTTCTGTAGACGTGGTGCAGAGACTGCCAGGACTCGCGAATTTCCGGCCGTACTCGTGTCTTGAAGATCCCTGAGAGGAGTATTATGAATCCGTAGTCTCTGAGCATGGTTCCCTTCGTCGCGAGATGCCTTGAGGCTGCCTGGGCGTCCTAAGTCTGGACTTCTGCCTAGCCGATTAGGCTAACCTGTTGGAGTTAATCTCATCATAGTATCCTGTTTTCGTCCGAGGGCTATTCTGTTGAAGTCTACATCAGAAGGCAGCAATGAGCTCGGTTAACCTCTACCTTTCTCAAATGCAGCGAGTGACGGAGAAGCCGACGCCAGCAGCAAAGGCAGAATCCTCACCAGCCGATTCATCGAGAGCAACGGCAGCTGCGAAATTCGTTCCAGGAACAAGGATAGCCTCGTCGCAGTTTCCCGCGGAGTCTATTTTTAAGGCGCCTAAAAAATCACCTGAGACAAGGTTAGCTTCGTCGCAGATTCCGGCGGAAATTCCTGGAGACGCGGCACCTGGCGCAGAGCAGTCAGGGACAGAAGCAGCCACAGTCGGGTCGCAAGAGTCTGCCGGAGGCGTTGACGGTAACGTTAACGATGACGGATCCAAACGGCTGTCCGTCAGGGAGATGAGGAATCGGTTCAACGCGACGAGCGATCAGGTGCCGTTAGCGCCAAAGGCGTCCATGCGTCAGAGCGGATCGACGGCTGTGGATTGGGTGACCAAAGGCGGGAAAAACGCCGTGCACTGGGGCGACTCGAAGTTCGTCCCCAGACCGGGTGTACGGGAGGGGGGGCATGCTGCTGCATCCACGTCGGCAGCCACGTCTGCAGCCACGTCCTCAACTGACAGCAATACTGCTGCTGACCCTGCTGCTTCTGCTGCCGCAGGTGAGAGTAATAGCAGCAACAGTAGCGACAAAGGCGGCGACACCAGGAGCAGCGACAGTAACAGCAACAGCGGCGGCAGTAATAGCGCTGGCGACGCCACGTGGGAGGCTCGGATTCGCCAGCTGGAAGCGCAGCTAGAGAAGGCGAACGTGGAAACAGCTTTCCTGAGAGCGAGGAACATGGAGCTCCAGGCCCAGCTGAAAGCACGGGATGGAGAGTTGCACGTTCAGATGGTTAGGGCCAGACTACCGGCCTCTACAGCGGCAGTGAAAGCAGCGGTGGAAGCTGGGATGAAAGGAGGAGTGGGAGAGAAAGGTGGTGCAGGCGCGGCAGAGAGTGGCAGTAGCAGCAGCAGTGATGAGAGGAAGAGTGGGGAGACTGCTAACCGGAGCAGCAGTGGCAGCAACAGCGGCAGCGGCGGCGGCGGCATCAGCGGTAGCATGAGTGGTAGTGATGACAGTGGGAGCGAGGGTACTGTGACCGGCAAAGGAGAGGACAGGGGTACCGTTGAAGTTGAAGGCAGTGTCGCTGGCAGCAACAGCGGGACGGCGTTGGAAATGCGGCTGGCAGCAGCTCACGCACGGATAGCTGTGCTGGAGGTGAGAGCACTCCAGGCTTTGCTCCTTGCTGCTGCTTCGGACTTTGCCCCTTGCTGCTGCTGTTTTTTCCCTGGCTGCCGTTCATGTCTCTCTGTGATGTACCTGCCATGACCCCCCCTCAACCACCCACTAACCAGCGGTTGGTGACCATTCTTTCCCCCACCCACTGCCCTCCCAAACCCAGAGACTACTCAAGTCTCGCGCCAACCACTCCACTCTCCCCCGCCTACCCTCCGCCTCCTCCCCTTGGGTGCGCATCCCTCGCCCGCCCATGCCATCCCCCACCTCGCAACCCCCAGTCAAGCCCGAATTCCCATCCACAAATCCTGTAGAACAAGAGCCTAGAGACAGTGGTGGTGTGCTATGGGGAGCAGGCACACGGGTGGAAGGTGAGGGGTGGAGACGGGAGGGGGCCTCAGGGAGCCAGCAGTCAGCTGCAGAAGCTGCTGGCGGGTTGATTGCAGGGGTGGAGAGGATGGTTGCAGGGGTGGATGCTGGGACGGTTACAGGAATGGGTGTTCAGACTGGCACAATAGCGAGCTGTGCTGGTACAGGGCGGGATAATGGTGGGGTGGAGTGCGGAGGGATGGAGCGCGGTGGGGTGGTGCTGGTGGTGCGGCCGTGGGACAGTGAGGGGGTGGCTCGACTGCAGCAGGAGCTGGCAGAGGCACGGGCGGTGCAGAGGGGGACAGCGGGCAAGCTGAGGGAGGCGGAGCAGCAGCTGGGGCGCCTGGCTGCTGTGCGAGATGAGGTGAGAGGAAGGTGCAAGATGAGGTGAGGTGAGTCTTTGAGGGGTCTAAGAAACAGCATCACAAGCACAGGCGCAGAGCGGAACAGCGGGCAAGCTGAGGGAGGCGGAGCAGCGGCTGGGGCGCCTGGCTGCTGTGCGCGACGAGGTGAGAATAGGAGATGCCTTGAAAAACTGTTGGGAAAAGGTGCATTGGGAGACAGTGGGCAAGCTGAGGGAGGTGCAGCGGCAGCTGGGGCGCCTGGCTGCTGTGCGAGATGAGGTGAGTGAATGGTGCTTTATAGAAACAGTGTTACAAACAGGGAGGTGCAGGGGAAGGGTGGGGAAGCTGAGGGAGGCGCAGCAGCAGCTGGGGCGCCTGGCTGCCACGCGTGATGAGGCGTGGGGGAGGTTCAAGATAGCAGTGAGCCTGGGTAGAATAATAGTAGTGCGTGACCTGGCAGGCAGGGGCAAGGGCAGCACAGAGGGCGACAGTGGGTGGAGCAGCAACTGGGGCGATTGGTTGCAGTGTGCCGATAGGTGAGGCGTGGGATTACAAGAGACGAATGAAGGGTATGGGTGAGTGAAGCCTGAGGGAGACTGTAGGCCAGGTGCATCTAGGTATGGGGTGGAGGTGGGGGTGGTGGTGGTATACATCGTGCCGGGTTGTAGCAGTACCAAACCAGATCATTGCTGCAGTCGCAGCTTTTGTATTCCGTGTGGTGCCTCCTTGTTTTGAGGCGCCTCAAAACTTGCCTCCTTGTGGTGCTGTGTTCTCATCATCTCATGCGTGCTGTGTTCTCATCATCTCATGCGTGCTGTGTTCTCATCATCTCATGCATGCTGTGTTCTCATCATCTCATGCATGCTGTTGCTGTGACGATTTTTTAGGCGCCTCAAGAATCACCACCTTGTGGTGTTGTGTTCTCATCTCATGCTGTGCTGCGTGCATGCTCTTGCTGTGTCCTTGTGCTTTTGGTCCCATGGGCAGGGTTACCACCACACGTTTGTTCCGGTGCGCCATGTGTACACTCGCAGCTGGGTGTAACGACGCGCCAGTACCAGTATCTGCAACTTTACAACCTCCCCCTGTTCACAAGGGCACAACCTCCTTTACGAAATGCATGGCCTTAAACTCTCACAGCAATGCATGGTGCACTCTGGCTGGTCTCACACCGGATAAGGCAATGGGATTCCAACTACCGTGCTTTCATTCTGTGAAGTACACTTGGATTGAAACCACACAATACCACATCGTCCACACTGCTGCATCATGCCTTGATGCAGTCACCACCAATTATAATCACATGAAACCCCCTCGTACAATCACACACTGCCTTCATGCGTTTGTGCCCTGCAATTGTGATGTAACACCCTGCTTGGATATGGTTACACCTTGCCCTCGTACTTGAACGATTCGTCATATGTTTGCTTCAAGCGGGCCAGAGCAGCCCTTCGGGAATGACCTGCAGAGGCATCGCACACACCACAGTGAGCAACACCGGACACGATTGGCACACAAGGTGCTGAAATCCATGTCACACACACACACATGGCGTACAGATATCGTAACAAGGCGCAGCAACGGGCTGACCCAAGCCACAGCTCTGTCGCAGGGCAAGGCACCGGGCAAGGCACCGGGCAAGGCACCGGGCAAGGCACCGGGCAGGACACCGGGCAAGGCACCGGGCAGGACACCGGGCAAGGCACCGGGCAGGACACCGGGCAAGGCACCGGGCAGGACACCGGGCAGGACACCGGGCAAGGCACCGGGCAGGACACCGGGCAAGGCACCGGGCAGGACACCGGGCAAGGCACCGGGCAGGACACCGGGCAGGACACCGGGCAAGGCACCGGGCAGGACACCGGGCAAGGCACCGGGCAGGACACCGGGCAAGGCACCGGGCAGGACACCGGGCAAGGATGCCTCTGAGAAGGAGGAGGAGCAGGTGCTGACCTGACCCGAGTGCCATGTGTAGGAATTGCAAGTCATGGGGGGTGCAGGCATCCATAAGCGCGAATGCTGCTGGCTCCAACGCTGCTTCCACGGAGCTGAGGGGTTGGGATGGGTACAATGGTATAACGCGGAAAGGCGGGAGATGGATGAATGGTGGCGGGTGCAGGCTTCTATGAGCGCGAATGGCCCTGACTCCAATGCTACCTCCACAGAACTGAGGGGTTGAATGCGGTGGTGTGGGATGGACCGGAGGTGGTTGCATGTGATGGTAATGCGAGGTGGTTGCTTGGTTGCGCTGATGTGGTGATGTGCTGACATGGTGATGTGGTGATGTGGTGATGTGCTGATGTGGTGATGTGCTGACATGGTGATGTGGTGATGTGCTGTGCTGATGTGGTGATGTGCTGACATGGTGATGTGGTGATGTGCTGTGCTGATGTGGTGATGTCTGGACGGGAGATGGTGCTCAGGTGTGAAGTGAGCCATGGTTGGGGCGAGTCGGATGCGATAAGGGCAGGAGAGAAGGGTTTCAACAGGGGAAGCGACGGCGAGGGTTGGGAGAAGGGGAGCAAGTGAGGGGGTGGTTTTTGAGAATTCTAAAAAAGCTAGTTCAACTCAAGGGAGGGGCACGGATAACCACAGGAGAATGGGAGGTTGAAAAGAGAAGCAAGAGAGCTCCACTCTCCCTTTCAAACATGGAACCCACCTGGGCAGCCCGATAATCTGCTGCTGCTGCTGTTTGCCTAGTTGGGCAGCACCAGGGCTACTGTTGAAGGTGGGATTGGTGAAGGGCGAACTGGCAGCAGCTGCAGTGGTGAAGGATGATGCAGAGGGAGCGGTGACTGTAGAAGTTGTGACTGTAGTAGTTGTGGTGATGGCAATGATGTAATCGGCCAACAGAAGGGAGCAAATCCTGCTGAGAGTTGTGCGCTGCTCTGACACCTGATGACAAGGAGCGCGATGAGAGGAGCGCGGGGGGGATGATGAGAGGAGCGCGGGGGGGATGATGAGAGGAGCGCGAGGGCGATTAGAGCCTGCTTGGCTCGGAATGGCAGTGGGACGGGGGTGAGTGGAGGGTACGGGAGGAAATGAGAAGCAACGGAAGAACCAACGAGGAAGGTGGGAGCAGCAACGTGCACAGTGAGGAATGTGTGATGAGGACAATGTGCTAGCAGTCACCGCACAGCACCGCACTCACCTCATCATAAACCCGTCTCAACCACAGAGCACAGCTGGCAGCCGTGGCTTCGTTGTAGTCTCGTTGGGGAGGCGGAGGAGGAAGGATGGAGGAGAAGGAGGGGGAGGAGGGGAGAATGTGGGAGGAGGAGGAGGGGGGAGAGGAGGAGAAGAAGGGGGAGGATGGCGAGAGGAGGCTGAGCATGCAGCGAAGGGACTGCAAGAGGAGTGCCATGCTGTAACGCACGTAGCTGCTCACACAGGGCGACACGGGGTGACACGGTGTGACATGGGGTGGCATGGGGTGGCATGGGTTGACACGAGGTGACACGAGGTGACACGGGGTGACATGGGAGAGTGAGGTGGGGAGCATGGAGAGGAGGCAGATGGGGTGGGAATGCGACGAAGTGAGTGCCTAGAACGCAAACCACACAGCAGAGAGCAGGCAGCAGAGAGCAGAGCATAGAGGATGCGCATTCCACACAGCAGGGAGCAGACAGACAGGGTGATTGCTCTTAGCAGATAGCAAAGCAGCAAGAGAGATTTCGCCAGCTGGCACATACCGGCTCCGCTGGCGAATGATGGCACACAGCAGTTGGCAGAAACCAACAAACAACGCCGCCCGTTCAGCCAGGCCCATGCTGGCAGCCGAATGCGAAGAAGGGCAGATGGCCGGTAGAATAAGGTTCGGGCAGGCGAGGCCCAGGCTGACGTGGCCTGCCCGGAAAGGGAAAATAGCGCTCCGGGCAGCGAGAGTAGTGAGTGCTGAAAGGCTGTGACGGCAAATAGTGAAAAAACTGGCCGAAGTGGGCGAGGGAGAGAGTGAGGGTATGGCAGGAGAAGGGAAGAGGTAGGAAAGGAAGAAGGGTTGGATTGACGAGGAAAGAGAGAGTGTGTCAGTGTGAGGGAGAGAGTGAGGGAGTGTGTGCAGGGTGATGGCTTTGAAGAGCAGCGAGGAGAGGAGGGGCGCTCGAGCAGCGATGAAGTGAAGCGAGTGGCCGCCAGGGCAGCTGCGAATGAGCTTGTCCGCCATCACTGCCACCGCATCCAACCCTATTTGACCGTTTGACTTTGATGAGCTCTCAAACCCTATTGTACTGTCTCTTTCAGTGGGCTCACTCCCCTGGATACACCCCTCTTGGCCATAGCCCCTCTCTCCATCACCCTCCCCTCCCCGCCCTCCACTTCTCCCCACTCCCTTCTCTCCACTCCCCTCCCCTCCCCACCCTCCTCCGCCTCCCTCCTGCACCTGCCACGTCAGCTCGTGTCGGCAGATGCGGAAGATAACAGCCACCCACCCGTGCGACGCCGACTGCACGAACCGCTTCAGCGCGCGGTCAGTGGATTGCTGGAGAGACGCCACCACACGCCTTGCTGCTTCCGCTGCTGCTGCTGCTGATGGCGATGTTGCTGATGGTGATGTTGCTGCTCCTCCTGCGGCTGCTGCTGCTGCTGCTGCTGCCATTGCTGCTGCTGGTGCTGCTCTTGTTGCTGATTGCACCAGTGACTGTGACAGTGATTGTGACTGTAACGAGAGGGCGGAGAGGAACGCCAGGTGGGCGTGCACGATTCGTCGGAAGGCGGAGGCGGGGGGGTGGGGGGAGACGCATAGCAGCATGCGGGTGCCGGCCACCTGTGTGTACTGTAGCACCCCTAGGAGAAGAGGGGCAGCAGACAGGACAACAGAGGGGATGGGAGCGGATCCCGGCCCAGCACCTGCTGCTTTCGATCTCAGTGCTGCTGCTGATGGTGCAAACGGTGCTGCTGCGAGCGTCGATAGGGCGCCTTCTCGCAGCAGCAGGGAGGCCTGCTCGAGAATGAAGAGGGCGGACGCCAGGCGTGGCTGCACAACTCTCCCCACAAACGAGCGGGAGAGAGTGTATCGAGAAGCAAGGGCACATTCTGGTGCGACCCGACTCACCCCGGCAACACTCTGTTGCCCCTCATCCTGCTCCTCCTCCTCATCCTGCTCCTCCTCCTCATCCTGCTCCTCCTTTGCACCGCGCCTCACTTGCATCTCCTTCCCCCCTCTTCTCCCCTTTTGCCGTGGCCCCTTCTCGCCTCGACTCTCACTGCCGCGGGAGGCATTATGTGCTCCCACATCCTCATCCCCCTTGGGCATTATCACCTCTTCGCCTCCCTTGGACCTCATCACCTCTTCACCTCCTCCCTTGGTAGTAACCAGCGCGCATCTGAGGTGCAGGGAAGCGGCAGCTGCAGAGAACAGGTGGCCAGCTGTGACGCAATCGGATGTGCTTGTAAGGAGGGAAACGAGGGTTTGTTTCTGTGAGTCTGAGAGGTCATAACTGCGAGACCAGCTCTCCTCCCACTCCGCTGCTGCTGCTGCTGCTCCTCCTGCTGCTGCTCCTGATCCTGCTGCGGCATCTGCTGCTGCTGTTGAGTGCAAGCCTGGCTTCTTCCTTTTCCTACTGCCATCCCTGCCTCCATCCACCTCCATGTCATCTCCCTCACTCTCCTCCTCCCCTCCTCCCTCACTCTCCTCCTCCCCTCCTCCCTCACTCTCCTCCTCCCCTCCTCCCTCACTCTCCTCCTCCCCTCCTCCCTCACTCTCTTCTTCTCCTTTCTCACTCTCCTCCTTTTCAACTTCCTCCTCCTCTCCTTCACTTTCTCCTCCCTCCTTCTCCTCTCCCTCCCTCTCCTCTTCCTCACTCTCCTCTCCCTCACTCTCCTCTCCCTCCCTCTCCTCTCCCTCACTCTCCTCTCCCTCCCTCTCCTCTCCCTCACTCTCCTCTCCCTCACTCTCCTCTTCCTCACTCTCCACCTTCTCAACCTCCTCGTCCTCCTCCTCCACTCTCTTCCTGCGGTTTCCTCTGACCATGCCAGACCATTCCCCATCACCCCCATCACCATCCCTAGCCACATCAAATCCGACAGCACGCAATGACATCCAATCTAAACCATCAACCCCGCTTCCTCGCTCTCCACTAACCACCTCTCTCCCCTCCGTTCTCCCCTTGTCTCTCCCCCCCTCTCTCCCCTTCTCACTCCCCTCCTCGCTCTCCCCCAGCATCCCTCTTAACGCCCCTTCAACAGCAGGCTCCAGGCAGCCAATCAGGGCACGCCATGTGGCCGGGATCTGGCCACCCCAGCGTGCCAGCAGCGGCCGTTCAGTCGCCTCCGCGCCAACAGCTGTAGCTGCATCTACTGTGGCACGTGCTACAGCCGGTGCTGACTCATCGCCAGCCTGGCTCAAGCCATCTGCTACAGCTGCCATCTCCCACAGGGCTCCCGAGCACACAGCTGCTGCTACAGCCGCTGCAGGTGCTACAGATGATGATAATGATGATGATGATGGTGCTACAGCTGCTGCAGGTGCTGCAGGTGCTACGGCGTTGGCGGGAGTGGGGTTGCAGTGTGGGAGGGATGCAAGGGCCTGAGCAGAGGCGATGAGAACAGTGGCAGTCTCGGGATGGGAGAGAGTCAGATGAACGATGGCTGTGCTCACATCTGTGCTCACATCTGTAGCTGCACCACCCTCATGACCCTTAGGATTCGCTGCACCAACCCCAAGAGCATGCACGCCTCCCTCCTCGCCCTTCTCCCTGCTTCTCTCCGTGTCCCCATCCATCATGACCCCATGCACAGCCATGCCAACTGCTGCCCCGCTCGCTGCCACCAACGCCTCCCATGCCTCCTTCTCATCATCCCATGCCATCTCCTCCTTTTCCCCACCATCCTGCTTCCCCCATCGGTTCACCACACCTGCTCCCACCGAGCCTACCACCAGCCACGGCAGCAGCTTCGGCACCGAACCAAAACCAGGCTCCAGAGAAGTTGTTTTGGAAAGGGAGGCATGGGAGAGGGATTGGTGGAGAGAGAGAAAGCTGAGAAGGGCCTTCCGACAGGCAAGGGATGCTTGGAAGAGGAGGGAGGAAGAGGAGTAGGGGGAGGAGGAGGAGGAGGGACAAGGGTGCTGATGCTCTTGCTGGTGGTTCACTAGAGTGTGACTGTAACGAGAGGTAGGGATGGGTGAGAGGGAAGGGAGGAGCAGAGGGGCCATGTAGCACCGCTCCACGTCAGCGATGCATTCGACCAATCGCAGCGCGTCTGCAGCCGACCAGCAGTCAGGGGGAACGGCCTGTAGCAGCTGTAGCAGCACCATCACCAGATCCACCTCCCCCGCATCCACCCTCCACTCCCCTTCCCCTTTCCCGTTCCCGTTCCCCTTCCCCTCCCCCTTCTTTTCTCTCCCTTTTCCTCCGTCCTCCTCCTCCTCGTCTTCTTCTTCTGATGAGTCGGCGTCCGTACCTGCTGAGTCAGCTTCGGGATTGTGAATGAGCTGGCGGACCGAAGCTGCCAGCTCAGCAGCTGCTTGGTCAGCCAACACAGCGATCATGCTCTCAGGAAACTTTTCCTCATAAGAATCACTCCTGGTACAATCACCTCCACTACCCACCACACTAGAACCATCTCCTCCCTTCCCTTTCTCCTTACTTCCCTTCTTTTTTTTCAAACCACTCCCCGGAATTTCGGTTGGCATGGGCTCTTCTCTTTGTGCGTGCTCATTGGTCGGGATAGATTGGTCTGACAGCAAGGCAGTCAAGCCAGCCATGCAATTTGATGCCATGGCTGATGGCGGGCAGGCAGTGGAAAGTTTCAAGCTGCCCTTCACAGCTGCTCGCAGGCTAGTCACATAAGACTTTGCCAAGACGTGGCGGACATTCTGCAATCACGTGCAGGGATTGGGGAAAATGAAGGGATGCGGGCGGAGAGTAAGAGGAGAGGAGGAATAAACAAAGTTGGGTTTTGAATATAAAACGATCAGTAATCAGAAGAGCAATAGCAATTAGGCAAAAGCCATTTAAGACAGTGCAGGCCACGACATTCATGCAGGCCATGACATTTAAGCAGGCCACGATATTCAAGCTGGGCACAAGTTCGAGAACTTTCAACAAACGCAGCGACTCACTTCAATCTCGTAGAACACAGGGCTTCGCAGAGCCGCGACAGCCATACCACCCAATACCACTCCTGCTCCTCCTCCATCCTCCCTTCCCTCCTCTCTCTCACCTCCACCCTCACTCCACACACTCCCTCTCGCCCTTGCTCCACTCCCCACCCCACTCTCAGCAACCTCCCAGGCAGGAAGGGTATTGAGCTCTTTGGCAGCCAGGGCGACCAGCAGGAGCACGAACTCGCGGACCACAGGGCGGGGGGCTGCGGGCAGCCAGAGGGGGAGAGCGGACGACGCAGCGAGGGAGAGGTACGCCGCATTGAGGGACCCACGGCTGGCAATGCTGCCTGCTGTGCCGTCCCAGTGGCACTCCCTGCTCGTATACCCCTCCCTGCTCTCCTGTCCCTCCATTCCGTGCTGCCCCTGCTTTCTGTCTGCGCCTGCTGCCCTTCCCCCCCGTGCTCCTGCCCCCATGACCACCCACCTGCTTCGCCTGCCCTCCCGCTCCCCCTCTCTCCCCCCAACACACCCAAAAGAGAGCTCGTGCGCCACAGCACCAGCCAGTGCGTCAACACCACTCCCTCTCAACCCATCCTCCCCCACACCCCCCCGTCTCTCTGCTCCCCGCCTGTTCAACTTCTTCCTCCCCTTACCCCCCTCCGCTGCCTCCCCCTCTCCCCCCAGGTCTCCCCCCTTGCCTGCACCGCCTGCCCCCAGTGGGAGCACCGGGGAGAGGGAGGAGAGAGCGGTGGTGGCGGCACAGAGAGCAAGGAAGCGCAGCCGAAGCAACTCACTGCTTTCCTCCTCTTCCTCCTCCTGCTGCTTCTTCACTGCGAGCCCATTCATAACTTCATTCAGCCAGCCAATCACAAACCGCCACCTGGAAGCAGGCTGCTCAGAAGCAGACCCCCCGGTCGCTTCCCCTGCCAAACCTGTTCCTGCCGAACCTAAATCTGCCGAGCCAGTTCCTGCAGAGCCTGAGGTGCTGACAGCAGGGTCGAGGGGGAGCGGGAAGGAGAGGCTGAAGCGGTGGCCCATTTTGGACTCTTCTGAGGGAGGTGCGTTGTACAGACACCGCAGGTGCAGCTCATGGGCAGCCAAAAACATTTCGAAACCTGCCCCAATGCTTGCAGTCGCGCGCCGAAGAAGAGAAAGAGCAAGATCAGCAATACCATTATTCCCCTCCCCTTGCATGCTTGGCACAACAGCAGCCAACCACTTGCCAACCGCAGATCGCCCAAGGGCCTGCACTAGAAGACAAACGTTGCCATCCACCTGGATGGCTGTCCCCACAGCAATTGGCAGGCTGCGGAGCACTGTAGCCACAAAGCTGGCAGCCGCCCAAGTGAGCCTGTCCTGTGCCTGCTGCATCTGGGTTTTCACCTGAGGAACCACCTGATTATCCACCTGGCCAACCCGCCCCTTCTTAGTCTTCCCCCCCTTCTTTCTCCCCCCCTCGTCTCCTCCCCTCCCTCCCCCCCCCTCCTCATCTTGCTTCCCTTTCTCCGCGTCACCCTCCCCGCCAACCATCAGCCTGACTTGTTCCTCGCCGAAGCTGAGCAGCAGGCTCGGCACCTGGCCTGGAGGGACCGAACCAGCAGCCTCCCGGACCACGGAGAGGAGGTCCGGCGAGGAGAGGAGCGCCGCTGCTGCTGCCACTGCTGCTGGCGATGCTGCTGCTGATGGTGATGATGGTGCTGATGGTGCTGATGGTGCTGATGGTGCTGATGGTGCTGATGGTGATGATGGCGAGGAGGGGGATGGGGCACTAGCTTCAAAAAGTGGTGAGTTGACAGCTTGTCTGGAGGCGAGGGCGGCGGAGAGAAGGGCTCTCATCACAACCACTAGCTGAGTGCAACCAGTGGGGGGAGGGGACGGGCAGGGTGAAGACAAGAGATGGGCTGAGTGGAGAACACGTTCAAGGAACAGCACACACACTTGCACACAAGCATGCACCCATGCACGCACACATGCACGCACACACGCACACACACATGCACGCGCACATGGCCGCACACCTGCACACACCGACACACACTGCCCCCCCTCCTTATCCCCCACCCCACACACACCTGTCTCATATCTTTCCACGTCACCACAAGCTGGCTTGCAATCTTGACTGCTGCCGCCCACACTGCCGCCCATGCTGCCGGCCCCTGCTTTGCCACCTGCTGCTGGGACAAGGGCTGCCGTCCACATGTGATGAATTCTCGTTCCCGTGCCTGCTCACACGCAGTGCAGGCGCCTATCACAAGCTGCCACGTGGCGTCATGCAGGCCATCTATGAGCACGACCACCCTGGGCTCCAACCGAACCAACCCCCAAAGCAGCTGGAGAAGCTCGGCCCAAACCTGTGCTCCTGCTGCCTCCTGACCCCCGTCACCACCACCAGACGCACCAGCAGCAGCAGCACCACCACCAGTAGCAGCAGCACCCCCCTTCCTGCCACTGCCTTTGCCAGCACCCCCATGACTGCCGCATACGCCTCCACTCGCCTGCTTCCGTTCCTCCTCCCACATGCGCCACGCGCTGCCAACATCCCCTGCCAGTCCCGCCAAGTGCAGCAATCGCCCCAATCTCGTGCCCCCTGCTGCTGCCCCAGTCCTCCCTTCCTCCCTCCCTCCCCTCCTCCTCCCACCCCCACCACCACCCCCACCCCCCCCACCACCCCCCCCACCACCACCCCAGTCACTCACGTCTGACAGCCCGTCATAGATCCCCTCCTCTATCCCAGCGTCCACCAGTGCCCTTGCGCCATGTAGCACGGCTGCCAGGCTGGCAGGCTCCACAGCACCGCTGGGTGCTGGCATCTGCACACCCTCTCTAGCTCTTCCCTGCCTTTCCTTTCCTTGCCAGCCCTGCTGCTGCTTCTGCCCTTGCACACCTCCCGCCACGCCCGCTCCCAAACCCCCTCCCACGCCCCTGTGCGTGAGCGCCTCAAGCTGCGACTGTAGCTCGCCCTCCAATGGCCCCAGCAGGTGCGCAAACAGATGAAACCGTGACTGTAACAGATGTGACACTTCCAGATCGTCAGCCCCCAACACCCCTCCCACCGCTCCTCCCTGCCCTCCCCCTCCTCCTCTTCCTCCCCCCACCTCCAAACCCCCCTCCCCCACCTTCTCCTCTCCTTCCCCGTCCCCCCTTCCCCACCCCCACTCCCCCCTCCCCCTTTCCCCCCCTGTCCTGCTCCCTTCCTCCTCTTACCCCTCCCTCCCACCCCCCCCACTCTCTCTCTCGCAATCTCCACCACACTCCGGGAGTAAATGCCAAACAACCATCCGAGGCTGTGCAGGATCGGCACGTTCCCCGACCTGATCCCAGCCTCGAGAAACGCCAGGAACTGCCGGTGGTAGCTGCCGAGCCTGCCTTCCTCCCCTAACCCTCCCACGTCCCCATCCCCCTCAAGCAGCTTTTCAGGCTTCGCTTTAGTCATACCCCTGTTGGAAGCCGCCTTACCACCAGCCACACGTGCTGCCATACCAGCACACTGTGACACATACCCCTCGGCATGCACGCGCCCAAACAACGACTCCTTTACAATCACATACATCGCAGATAAGACGACACCCACCGCCTCCTGCCGAAGCTCTCCACCTGCCTCCCCCAGTCGCCCCTGCTCTTGCGCCGATTCCCCCCCTTCCCCCACCCCCCCCTGCACCTGCACCAGGTGTGTTCTGAGCGCCAGCATGGGCGGCAGCAGGCGGGAGAGCACGGCGAGGAACACCTTCTTGCCCTGCGGATGGGCCGATGCCAACACACCAAAGCCCTGCATGGATAGGCCGCATACCCTCCCCCACTCTGCTGCTGCTGCTGTGGATGCTGCTGCTGCTGCTGCTGTGGATGCTGCTGCTGCTGCTGCTGCTGCTGCTGCTGCTGACGGTGGTGTTGATGCTCTTTCTCCTGTAATGTTGCTGTCTCGAAGCCTGCACGTGCTCTGCAGAAGCTGCAAGGAGGCACGGGCCAGACCGACCCAGTGCTCCAGGCTCGGATGAAACTCCACCGGATTAGAGGTTCTGACGCCCACGCCTGAAGCTCCCAAGCCTTTCAGCTCGGAGGCGCCGAGCCTGCCTGCCAGGCTCGGCATCAACAGAACAGTGAGCAGGGCGTGGAGGCTCCTCCCTATAGACGGCACCCCTGCTGCTGCTGCTGGTGCTGCTGGTGTTGCTGCTGCTGCTGCTGCTTCTGCTGCTGCTGCTTCGTGAGACCTTAAGTGAAGGGTGTTCGCTTGGTTGTCTTGAGCTAAAGCGGTGAGCAGCGCTGTGATTGGCTGGAAGAGGTTGGAGGAGACGGCTAGCCATCCCGGGTGGTGCTGCAGCAGGGAGAGAGACGCGGAAAGAACGAACCAATAGCGTGCGTCCATGTGTGCAGGGGGAGAATCTTCTTTGTTCCCGATTCCCCCTTCCCCTACCTCTACCCCTTCCCCTTCCCCTTCTCCCTGCTTCATCCTTATCTTCCGCCTCTTCCCCGACTTCTCCCCACCGAGCTTCTCTGCCAAGCCTGGAGGTTCGGCCGAGCCTGCCGTTCCCGAGCCAGGCCTGGCTCGTTTGGAGCCAGCAGATCCGGCGCGGATGGACCTGAGGAGGGACAGCTGCGCAAACTCGAAAACGGCGCGCAGTGCGTGCAGGCGCGCCTGTGGGCCCCACTCCCCCCACATGCCCGCGGAACCCGCGGGGGGACAAAACCGTTGCTCTTCTGTAGATTCCGCAACGGGAGCATTTTCTCCGTCCGTACAAACCGTGCTACCAGCAATCTTCTTACTCTTCTTTTTCCGCTTGCCTGCTGTGGCTTCCGCCTGGGAGGGTTCCCTACTGGTTGTGTCACCAGAAGGTGGGTGTTTTCCATTTTCGCCCTGCGCACCCTGCTGCGGCTGCTGAACGGAACGTGCCACGTGGCGCTGTCTCTCCTCTTCCGCGAGGAATTGAAGAAGATCGACGGCGCACGATAGCACTCTGCGAGGCGGTTTAAGAAGCACAGGGGTTAGGGTGTAACAGACGGAAGATTCGGGGTTTAGGAATCTGCGAACGTCAATGGCTAGAGTTCATGAACCGACGTACCTTTCTGGCGGTTCTCTCGTGGATACAGCAATTTGCGCGACGGCCAAAGGCGACAGCGGCTTGTCAGCTGCCGCCATAATTCCCTCTTAGTGGTTCTCTGCTGATCACCAGCGAGCTGGACAGCTGAGTTGTGGAGTTTGCCTGGGTAAACTCGATTCACACAGATCCAGTTCAATGTAAATGCATGTAAATGTCTTTCACCACACAAAAAAAGATGGAGATTCTTAGCTAATGCTGGTAGACAATTAAAACAAAAGAAGGTTGTGCAAATGCAATGAAATGTATTTGTGATTTTTCTCTACCTTTGTTTTATCCAAAAGTAGATGGATCAAACCGTACCAACTTCTTAATAAATATAATCTAGCACCTTGAAGTCTCGCTTTCATACCGGTATATGCGTCACTCATTTCAACATAAATTACAGGGTTTCAGATTTACCGGTATATGAAATGAAAATCACTAGAAATGAATTTGAGGACCTTCATGAAAAGTGAAAGTGCGTTGAGCTCTATATGAACCTCATTGTTTCTCTATAGCATTCTCGCCCCACAAACGGGTCTGGTCTGGCGCTCTGACATATCCCGCCTATTTCAAGGTGCCATGAAAAGCGCGGGAACCCAAACCAAACCATTCCCAAGGCTGACAACGAGGCACACACCAACACCACTGCCTCCCTCCCTGCCCGCCCGCCTCCATCTTCAGTACAGCACGTGAATCCAACTTCTGCTGTGCTGTCTATTCCGGTTGGTCTGTCCTGAGAACTTCGCAACATCCTCTGAATCCCATCTTCCAGGCGATCGGTCCATGATGGATTCTCCCGACCTCATCAGAATCATTAGGCATTAGTTTCAACGATCGGTCGTTCCTGTCAGGTGAAATCTAGGGTCCTTGTTCTAGTTAGGAGGTTCAGGAGGCTGCATTATAGTGTCGTGGTGACTAAGTGCAGGGAGGCCGGGAAAGCCTCCGACAGACTCTGAAATCCGGCAGCTGTTCAATCAGCTCGGAGAAAGAACACACACTGAAATAGGCAAGAGTGCTCGGCTAGGAATAAGCATATTTCTTCACCAAACAACCTGCTCTGGCAGCCATGTCGATCTCAGAGGAGCTAGCGTCGTCGCTGGGAGTGGCTCCTTCCCTGATCACCCTCTTGCTCTGCCTCTTCTCGTCCGTCCCCGCGGCTTTAGTCGTTCGCTTCTTCTCGGGACCATCTCTGAAGCATCTCTACAGCATTGCTGCTGGAGGAGCTCTCTGCTGGGTGGCGTACGGCGGCCTTCATGGCAAGTATTCCTGTCACTGGCTTAGTTTATTAGGCTCGTTACGGCGAGTGTTGTTTGTGTGACTAACCTTAGTTTATAATCTCGTTGTGGAGTGTGATTTCTGTGATAGTAAGCAGCACAGGCTCATGGATTCTTACGGTTTCCCTTTTGTGCTTATGGAGAACAGCCGGATTGCCGGATTTGGACGTTACTGGTCTCTACGAGCCAGTTCGACCGGTTTGCCAGTACCGCCTCGTTGCTCCCTTATATCGGAAACCCTATTCCACTGCGTTCTTTCGCCAATGCAGCGAGCCTCAACTTCTGGGGCCTCACGCTCGCGTCCTACGCGATCATGCTCGCTCTTCCTCGCAAGTGGAGCGGCTACGGCGTTCTCTTCGGCTCCTTCACCTACCTCACCTACTGGTACGGCTGCATTCCTTCACGTACATCACCTACTTGAACGCTCCATCCCTACACCTGCCTCACCTACTGGTGCGCCTCCGTTCCTTCGCGACCTCACCAACTGGAGCGTTTCCAGTGTCAGTCTCGTGTCTTCAGCTACGGCCGCATTCCCTGTTGCATGGTTCCCACTCTCTTATGGACCTTCTTTATGAATGATACTCTAAAAACTAGCCGTCTTGGACCCGCGCCTTATAAACGCGAACTCCCTTGAACCGGAATCTGTCATCTTACCTGATTTCATTCGGCAGCCACATCAGCAATCTGGGGGCGGACGTATGGAGGCAGGGAGGCGTCGACTTTACGGGCACGCTCATGGTGTTCACGCTGAAGATCGCAGGCTGCGCCATGGACTACCAGGATGGCGCCCTTCGTGATGATAAGGTATGCTTTGCATGTACAGTAACAAAATGTCAAGGTTGGACTTCACGGGCAGGCTCATGGTGTTCACGCTGAAGATCGCAGGCTGCGCCATGGACCACCAGGGTGGCGCCCTGCCGGAGGATAAGGTGGATTTCGCGATCATGGTAACATTGTAACATAGTGTTACTCCTGCTAAAATTTGTCTACCCACATATTGACTCTCCGTCCCCGTTCATCTTTCCTTCCGCAACTCTCACAGTCGCCCCAGGGTAGCATCGCATACGCCAACAAGCTGCAGCGGCTGCCGTCCCTGCTGGAATTTGTGTCCTTCGTGTTCTTCCTGGCGCGGTGCTGGTGAGGCTGGCCGTCAACCAACAAATGAGCCTTTTTCCTCTTCTTCCCACTCCCCACCCCTCCGTGCCTTCCCAGGCGCAGCATCGCATGTACGCCAACAGGCTGCAGGGCCTGCCGTCCCTGCTGGAGTTCGTTTCCTTCGTGTTCTTCCCAGGCGCCGTGCTGGTGGGGCCTGTTTTCAACTTCAAACAGTACCAGGCGTACGCTGCCGGGCAAGGGGTGAGTGCGAGTAAGAGAGGGAGGGAAATGAGAGTGCGAGAGAGGGGGACGCCAGAGAGTAGGCGTGTTCTTCCCAAGCGCGGTTCTGGTGGGGCCTGTGTTTAACTTCAAATAGTACCAGGCGTACGCCGCCGGCCAAGGGGTGAGTGAGAGAGGGGGTGCGAGTAATTAGGTGTGTGCTTCCCAGGAGCAGTGCTGGTGGTGCCGCCTGTCTTCCACTTCAACCAGTACCAGGCGAATGCCGCTGGAATTGTGTGATTAAGGGGGCCATTGAACTGTGAGAGTGTGATTGGGGCGAGGATGTGTGAGAATGAGCTCCCACGTGAGTTGTTACATGAGTTTGTTGGGAATAAGTTTGCTGGGTTGGGAGGAAGTGGATGGAAGCGTGGGTGAGGAACAGCCAGTGACAGTATGCTACCCGTCTCCTCCTTCGCCATCTGCTCCTCTTCATAAGCTCCTCCCTTCCTTCTCCCTCCCCTCCCCTCTCTCTTCTCTCCTCTCTCATACAGCTCTGGTCCCCCTCTGGCGGCATCACGTCAAAGGGGGCAGCACAGAACGGCAGTGCGAGCAGGCAAGGGGAGGAGGGGCAGCAGCTGTTGGCCAATGGAAACGGGGAGGCCGACAAGGCGCAGGGCAAACCCCAGGTGGCTCGGCCGATGCCGGAGCCGCTGCCATATGCGGCTCGATCGCTGGGGAAAGCGATTATCTGCCTGGCGCTGCACCACTTTCTCTCGCAGTACTTCGGCCCTGCCATGCTCTTCAAGCCGGGCTTCCTTGACTTTAGCTTTGCGCACAAGTGAGTGAACGCAGAGTAGCATTAACGTCCGTGTATCAGGTGTGTGCCAGACCCGATGTCGAATGCGGCTCAAGGAATAAGAAAGGCGATCATCTGCCTGGCACTGAACCACTTCCTCTCACAGTACTTCGGCCCCGCCTTTCATTTCAAGCCGGGCTTCCTTGACTTGGGCTTTGCACACAAGTGAGTGGATGTTGAGCGAGGCAGTCTCCCTGTGCGTTGGGGTTGCTGCCGTATGCGGCGCAGGCGCTAGGAAAGACAATCGACTGCCTGGCGCTGCACCACTTCCTTCTCCCAGCACTTTGGGCCCGCCTTTCTTTTTGAGCCAGGCTTGCTAAAAATGGGCTTTGCACTCAAGTGAGTTGAGTACCAGTGGTCCTTGGTCCGTCTTTGCGTGCTTCTCTGCCCCCTCGTCTCACACCAGACCACAAGGAAAGGCATGGTTCCCCTCGTACTTCGCCCTGGCTTCCCATATCTTCCCGTACCTGCTTCTGCTCCTTGACCTTGCACCCCACCCCCACCCCACCCCACCCCTCTCCTCTCCCTCCCTCCCCTCTCCCACGACCTCTTGTCACCACACTCCCCGCCTTTTCCCCCTTCGCCCCGCAGGTGGGGCTATCTGGTGATGGCGGGGATCTGCTACCGCTCCTCCTACTACTTCATCTGGAGTGTGGCAGAGGCCGCAGTGATTCTCTCTGGCTTTGGCTTCTCTGGCTGGAGCGACACCTTCCCCTCTCGCCCGGACTGGTGAGTTTAGATGCTGCTTTGGCTGTCAAGTTCTTGAGGCTGCCTCTGGTGTGAAGCCCTGGTAGCTACTGGAGGTGTGGAGCTTTTTGAGGAGTAGTCGTAGGCATTGATTTTCTATAGCTAAAACGTTTAGGGCTCTGGTGTGTACTGGTAAGCATCGTTAGTCTGTCTGGCTCGTTGCTGTGCCTGGGTTAGCGGTGTCTACCTACCTACAAGCACTGGTTTTTAAGAATTCTCAAAATGTCTGGCTCGTTGCTGTACCTGGGTTAACGGGGCTGACTACCTACAAGCGCTGCAACTCGGTTGGTTCTACTTCAGCTTTTCCTCTTCCTTCCTCTACTCCGTTCGCACTTTCACATTCACTCCACGTGCCACATATCCACCCTTTCCGCCGCATCACTACCCACCCACCCACCCACTGAGAGCTCCCATTTCGTCGCTTGCCAGTTGAGCGTGACTGTTGAGTCATTTGAGCGCACCTTATCACATCCCCACCCTATCACATCCCCGCCCTCCCACATCCCCAACCACCACCAGGAGCCGTGCCGAGAACGCGCACTTCATCAAGGTCGAGATCACGACCAGCATGGCGCAGATGCCCGCGTACTGGAACATGGGGGTTGGCACCTGGCTCCGAACATGTGAGTGGGGCTTTGGGTGGAATTTTCAAGGCTTCGGGTCTAGAGTGACAGGTTGAGGACATGGGAGTAGGAGCAGGCAGTGGTGGGGTAGTGGGTGAGAAGACGAGGGTGACAGCAGGCAGTGGAGCAAACAAGCTGAGGCTGAGGCATCTAGGCTCTAATTATCCCCCCCCCTGCTGGCTGCTGGGTCTTGAATCAAACGGCCTTATCTCGCTCTTTTCTGTTCTTCTGATTGGGTATTTATTTATTTCCCTCGAGTTTCTCTCTTCACCCCCACCCTTCAACACCCCCCTCCCTCCCTCAGACGTGTATGACCGCGTCACCCCTCGCTCCGGCAAGCCCACCATGTGGACGCTCATCCTCACTCAAGTCGTCTCCGCCCTCTGGCATGTGAGTCGTCTCCGCCCTCTGGCATGTGAGTCGTCTCCGCCCTCTGGCATGTGAGTCGTCTCTGCCCTCTGGCATGTGAGTTGTCTCTGCCCTCTGGCATGTGAGTTGTCTCTGCCCTCTGGCATGTGAGTTGTCTCTGCCCTCTGGCTTGTGAGTTGTCTCTGCCCTCTGGCATGTGAGTTATCTCTGCCCTCTGGCATGTGAGTTGTCTCTGCCCTCTGGCATGTGAGTTGTCTCTGCCCTCTGGCATGTGAGTTGTCTCTGCCCTCTGGCATGTGAGTTGTCTCTGCCCTCTGGCATGTGAGTTGTCTCTGCCCTCTGGCATGTGAGTTGTCTCTGCCCTCTGGCATGTGAGTTGTCTCTGCCCTCTGGCATGTGAGTTGTCTCTGCCCTCTGGCATGTGAGTTGTCTCTGCCCTCTGGCATGTGAGTTGTCTCTGCCCTCTGGCATGTGAGTTGTCTCTGCCCTCTGGCATGTGAGTTGTCTCTGCCCTCTGGCATGTGAGTTGTCTGCGCCTTCTGGCGTGTGAGTCACTCGGGACAGTGCATTAGGGCTTTAGACCTCTGGCATGTGAGTCGTCTCCACCCTCTGGCATGTGAGTCACTCGAGGTCGATACCATAGGGCTTTAGACCTCTGGCATGCAAGTCGTCTCGCTGCTACCAGGTTTTGTAAAACCTCATTATGTAAAATCACTGTCCACCTCAATCGTTTACCCCTCCTTTGCCTCTCACCCCCGTTCACCTCCTCCCAGGGTTTGCACCCCGGCTACTACCTCTTCTTTGTCAACGCTGCCATCGGCCAGCACACCTCCAAGCGTACGTGTGCTGGCATGCATGCATGCATGAACCACATCACATGCAGATTCTGGCTCTTTTTTCAAAGCCCTTGCTCGTGTCACTCACAAGACTGTCTTAAAGCCCAGATCCCAAATTAGTTCCACAAAGTCAACGCAAGGTAGGTGGGCTGAGCAGGTGGCGAAAACAAATAGAATGATTGGGTGCGAGAAATTGCACCTTTGTTCATTTCGCGAGTGGTTTGGTAAGGAAACTGGGCCTAGTTGTTTTGGGACTTCAAATTGGGCCCAGTTTGAATCTGACGGCTGGGATGCAGGGGCACATGAAGTCCCAGAATGGAAGCACAAGTACAGCCGTAGATGAAAAAATGCAACCCAACTTCACTGACTCTCAAGAGCCTGGGTTGGAAAGGCCGATCGATGGCTGGGACTTAATGACACATTGAGTTCCATTTTACCAAGTACGATTTCAACCGTAGATTCAGCAAGAGCACCTTCCCGTCACTTCTGTGGCGAAGCCAGGGTTGGGGCACTTTTTTTTGGCAAAAAAGCATATCAAACTGGGCCCAGTTTGGTCCCAAGCTGACTAATTTGGGACCTGGGCTTTAAGCTATCCGAAGCTTGACCATCTGCCAGCATTGCATGTCTCTGCCTTGGAAGTTGGAACCCTCACACGCCACGTTGGTCGTGTGTCTGCCTTGGCACCTCCATGCACCATGATCCTCACGCGCACTCTTCTTTTCCCAGCCCCACTTCCCACATGCCCGCTCATGTGTCCGTGCAAGCTTGCATGCCCACTCATAGCTCTTGTTTCTCCATATGTGCGCTTGATTGTGGGGGCATGGCATGGGTATGGGCATGGGCATTGGTATGGGCATGATCATGGCATTGCATATGGGCCGCATCACCACAGAGGCCTTCCGCCACACGGCAGCGGCCTTCCCCAAGCCATCAGCAGCAGTGCAGCTCACCATCGACGTGCTTCAGGCAGCATTCAAGCAGCTCATTGTGGGCTGTGCCATGGCTGGCTTCCTGGTATGCATCCCATGCATACTTTCTTGTATGCATCCCATGCATACTTTCTTTTATGCATCCCATGCATGCTTTCTGGTATGCATCCCATGCATGCTTTCTGGTGTGCATCCCATGCATGCTTCCTGGTATGCATCCCATGCATGCTTTCTGGTATGCATCCCATGCATGCTTATTGGTACAGCTCTCACTAGAGGTCTCTCAAAGCTCACTCCAAGCTGTCTTTAAGGAGCTCATTGTGAACTACTCCATGGCTGGCTTCCTGGTGTGCATTTCTGCCTTCATTGAATAGCATATATGGCTTGCTTGCCTTTGGATGGCTGGCAGCTATCTAGCAGCTCAAATTGAACTTCTCCATTCCTGGCTCTTTGGTACGCGCGCTCTCCTCTGTTCCATCCCTCTGCTCCGTCCGTCTGCTCCGTCCGTCTGCTCCGTCCCTCTGCTCCATCCCTCTGCTCCATCCATCTGCTTTCACCCCTGTGCTCCCCTCACAGGTGCTCCAAGCCGGCCAGACAATAGTAGTGTGGCGATCACTTTTCTTCATGGGTACAATCGTACCCGTTTTACTCAATGTGCTGCTCTCAGTCATGCCCACTCGCTCTCGGCGGCACAAGAAGGCCGAGTGATTGTCAAAATGGTATTATCCTCCAATTCAAGTGTGCTGCAATCAGCACTGCCCATTCGCTCACGACGGTGCAGGGAGGCCGAGCAATTCAAGAGCACACACACCAGGTGTAAACATTTTGCTCAACGTATTTCTCGTTCACGCTCATTTTCTAGGTAACCGCTCCGTGCCCCTCTGCTGGTCGTTAGTTAGGGTGATTCTGAGTGGTACATGTATTTGGACAGATGGAACCTTAACGTGGTGACCAGGGCCTCAGAAGTCAGGCCAAAAAGGCCTGGAAGCCTGTATATCAGGGTGTTTTCTAGGGCATACCCTGATTTTTCAGGTTTTGATTTTTATCAAACCTGAAATTTATGTGTTCCCATTTTCTAAGGCCTGAAAAATAGTATGTTCTTGTTTTACCGAGCCTGACGAATCAGCCTTACTCGAAATTCGCCCTGAATCTGAATCTTATCTGCCAAGGCGAGCTAGAGCACGTGTGAGGGGCATGGCTGGTCCTTGACCAGAATCACGCAAGTTCGAGGCGAGGTGGGGCAGGTGTGAGGGGCGTGATTGGTCCTTGACCACAATCACGGAACTTCAAGGCGAGCTACAACAGGTGTGGGGGGCGTGATTGGTCCTTGACCAGAATCACACAAGTTCCAGGCGAGCTGGAGGAGGTGTGAGGGGGTTGATTGGTCCTTCGTTAGAATCAGGCATGAATCTGACGAGAAGAATTGTACGCAGTGAAGTCTGATCCGACGTAAGAATCAGAAACTACAAAAATGTAGGCCTGATAAGTCAGACTAAAAAAAACAATTGGCCTGAAAAAGCATGCCACGCCCAAAACCCGACCCTGAAAAACATGGGCTCTCACATGGGCGACCCTGAGCAATCAGCCTCCCTAAAACCAATCTGAGGGCCTGGTGGTGACTTATAGGTTTGTAGGGCCAGCAAGTGAACGAGCTTAGGTTTGCTACTTGATTATCATTCCTTCCTCCCATCCGTTTCCCTCCATACTGGAGCCCTTGGATGTTTAATGCCCTTGGAGCCTCGTGAGAATGGTTGAAACGAATGGTATGTCATGATTGCTCTAGTGTGTTGCAGCAATAAAATACTCTGTATGAAGCTCATAACGAGTATGGGCTCTCAGAGTAATGAATTAGCTAGAATGAGTGATACAGGGTGGTTTTTTGTCCTAAGGTGTTGTACTCTCTATGAGCATGCACCTATCTAGCCTATAACATATACATTTATATCCGGACACCCCCCCTAGGCTAGGCAAGGGGCAACGACAAGCACGAGACACACAGCTCAGGGTTGCACTACTACCGTAAAAGCCCGGAAATAAGACCCCCTAGTAATAGAAGACCATGGGTCTTCTATTAGGCGCTTATCGTGTGGTAACCCGATTTTTTGCCCCTAGATCTGGGACCATTTGGATGATTTCTGAATGGTATGTGAAGACCCATGGGTCTTATATCCGGGCTAATACGGTAGTCCAACCTTTGAGGCAAGGGTCTGAAGAGCACTCTGCAAGTACAAAGGAAACACGAGTAAACCAGGGTGGCACTACTACCGTAATCCCCGCAGCTGCATGTGTTTCGCTCTGCCCTCCAGTCGAGGCTCCTGATACAGGAGAATCATGGCCATGTTGTCAGCGTATAGGACCGGGGCAGAGCTAGGCCGCACACCTAAGTTTGTGAGCAAGAAAGTCAGCCAGCGGAGCTCCTGTGCCGCCATGGCACCAGCTCATATCTCAACCTCACAACTAGACTGTGCAACGGACGACGAGCGGGTGGACCTCCATGAGATGGTGCCTGCACCAAGGCTAAAGAAGTAGCCCTGAGAGGACCTGAGCGCCCCAGCGTCGTCTACCCACGAAGCGTCTATTTGCCCTGTAAGGACCACTGGCCTGCGTCCTCCTAGCACTAGCCCCATGCCCGATGTACTTGCTAGATAACGTAAAGCCCTCTTAGCGGCCGACCTGCTGTGGTCGGTGTCTGCCTGTGCCCACAAAGTGTGCCGAGATGCTGAGAGGGTATGCGAGATCTGGACGAGTGCAGGTCATCAGATACATGAGGCAACCAACCAAGTCTACGTAAGGACCCCTAGGCTCTACAGACACCTCAAGGACTTGAGTCGAGAGGCTGTAATCTACTGGCAGAGGTGTGGACAGTGCGGAGGAGAACTGAAGACCGAAACTCTGAACGACCTGGCGCACCAAGTGTAACTGTCTAAGAGTGATGGCGCGCGCTGCTCTGTCCCTGGAGATCTGCAGGCCAAGGAAGTCGCGCAGCTCTCATAGGTCAGTGCAGGTATGTCTCCTCAGCAGCTCGGCCTTCACCGAGGCCAATGCGTCTCTGTCTGCAGTCGCGAAGACCAGGACGTCTACGTAGACTAGGATGTCGAACGGAGTCAGGCCTGAGCGAACGAAGAGCGAGGGGTCTAGAGACGACGGGAAGAACAGCACGTCAGCTAACGTAGCACGCACCGTGTCGTGCCACTCGCGGGGCGCCTGCCGCATGCCGTAAACTGGGCACCGGAGGAGCCACTGGGTCCCAGGGGCAAAGGTGCCGGTGAAGCCTTACAGGCAGCGCAGGTAGACCTGCTCCTGCAGACTGCCCTGGAGAAACGTTGTAGAGAAGTCGAGGGAGTACAGCTCGTATTCAAGCTGTGCTGCTACGTGTAGCAGGGCCCGAAGAGTGGTCATCTTCGGGGTCAGGGTGAAGGTCTGAAAGAAGTCAACAGCCTCGCGCTGGTTGAAGCCTCTAGCACCGTAGAGCGCCTTGAACACCGGCGGCTCTCTAGGAGGGCGCTTCATATTGAAGAGCCACCGGCCATCGACTACGTTCACCCCAGGTGTGGGAACTACGTCAACGTAGGTACTGGTGGATCTCCAAGTGCCATCTCCGCGTCCATGGCAGCTATCCACTGAGTGGCTCAGGGTCCAAAGGTCGCTTCAGCGTAAGTGCGACAAGTTGGGATATCAAAGACGTGTAGGTTACCCGGAGGGACTAGCAGTATGGAGCAGAGATAAGGAGCGGCCTCGGACAGGAAAGCGAGCTCGTACTACCAGTCCTCCAGGACGTCACTACTAAGGGCAAGAGCACCCCCGACAAATGGAGGATGGGCAAGGTCAGAGACCAGAGCGGTGGCGTAGTTAAGGCGGCGAGTAGAGGCGAAGTCTGCGATGGCAGCGAGAAGAGCAGAGAGACTAGAGACAGGAACAGATGGGTCGGTAACTAGAGAGGCAAGGACCCGAGGAACAAGAGGACTAGCAGCACGAACGAAGTCAGACAAAGGAGGAGGAGCGACAGCAAGCGACGACGGAGGAGGCGACAGGAGGAGGGGAGGACGAGACGCGTGGGAACGAAGCAACATAGGGTGATAACGCGGAGTAAGAGAGACATGACGAGCACGAGAGGCACGGCGAGACCACCAGCGGGAGGGTGGGGTTGGGTCAGGAGACAAAGATGGAGAAACAGGACGAGAACAAGGGGGGAAGCTAGTCAGAGACGAGTCCGGCGGAGGAAACACAGGGCCGTAGACAGACGCGGAAGGCGACGACTGAGGAGGCGCAGGCGGGTGGTCAGGGGAGGGAAGACCGAGGAGGCGAAGGGCGGACACCAACGGCGATTGCTGCTGCTATGCTTCGACACCAGAACCTCCAATTGCACCACTGCTACCTCCGGGATGCTCGACGCCAACACCTCCAGAACGAGAAACCTCTCCAGTACCGGTGCCACCCCCAGGACCACCACGATGAGCCATGACAGTAACCCCAGGACTAGCACCTTCCTCAACGCCCACACCCCCAAAGCTCGCGGACCCCTGCGGCGGCTGTAGCTGCGGCGACAGCAACTACGGCTGCTGCTGCGGCGGCGACGGCGACGACGGCGGCTGCTGCGACGGAGGAGGAGGAGACATCAGGGTGGAGACAGGCGGCGAGAACGGAGCCGCAGGGTCCCCAAAGTCAGCCGACTCCTCTATCTGGACAACAGACGGGAGGGGAGTGACGTGCGAGATAGAGACGGGCCTGAACGGAGAAGAAGAAGAGCAGGGGCTACCAGGAGAGTGAGAACCAGGAACATGGGCCGGGTAAACGGGAGACATCGGTGGGGAAAGCGGGTGTAGAAGGAGACATGATCGTCAAATGTGACGTCACGAGAGTGTAAGACACGGTGAGACGGCGGGTAGTAAAGGTGCTAGGTAGACGCATCCCGGGGGAAACCAAGGAAGACATAAGGGAGGGTGCGGGCAGTGAACTTGTCTGTGCAGAGGCACAAACTTGACCAAGGAAGCCCCAAACGTGGAATGCAGATGCGTCACCAGGGGATCCGGTCCAGAGGAGGGTCGGCAAAACCTGCGGCCGCTGGGAGTGGGGCCACAGAAAATGGGGTACACCGGCATGGATCATGGAGGTAGGAGCCACCTCCATGACCAAACCTATGCATCGCTCAGCGACCCTATTCTACTGAGGAGAGTTCGGCAAGATAGACGAATGGGTGATGCCCTCCGCACGACAGAACTGTCCAAGCCGACTAGAGGCGAACTCGCCACCACGGTCGGAGTGGAGACGCAGCACGGAGAGGCCGCGGTGTACTCGCGCAGCTATGACCCATGGGATAAGACTTTTAGGCACGTCAGCCTTACGCTCCAGCGGCAGCACCCTGTAGTAGCGCGTGTATTCGTCGAGAAGCACTAGAAAGTAGCGCTCTTGATGCGGCCCGGGGACGGGGGCTGGGCCCCAGACGTCCAGGTGCAGGGTCTGGAGTGGCATAGTGGTAGAGGGTAGCGAGGAGGAGTGAGTAGCATGGCGCAGCCAGCCCTCGACGCAGGGCGTGCACGGCGGCGCAGGCGAGGGAGAAAGGGCAGGGAGCGATGCAGAGAGACCTAAGACAAGACCGTGATGGGACATGTAACGTAGGCGCGGGAGTACGGGGTGACCTAAACGGTGGTGCCACAGCCGCGACGGGTGGGTGAGCGACCGAGACGAGCAAGCTGTAGCAACTTGGGAGGGCGCGTCGACCGGGGTGGACGCTCCCATGGGAGGGGACGCGGTGTCTAGGGTGAACAGGCCAGACACAGTGTCCCAGGGGAACGTGGTGAGATGGGCACCAGTGTCGGCCTCGATTCAGACTGCGTACCGCTCGTGTCCAAGAAACGTAGTGGTGACGCCGAGGTCCTGAATACAACCGACACCAACTAGGTTCCTGGAGAACGAGGGGATGTGCAAGCCTGTAAGAGAGCCCGAGGGAACCGCTAGACAGGGAAGGGTGGTGGAGCTACGTGCAACTACCGGACTCGAGGAGGGGTTAGCAAGCGCGACAGCGGCAGGGGCGGCTAGCGTCGTGAGCGCAGTGTGGTCGCAAAAGAAGCAGGCGGACGCACCAGAGTCTAGCGTGAAAGAGAGCGTGGCAGAAGCGGCCACAGGCGGAGGAGCTAGAGTGGAGCCGAGGCTAGACAAGGCAGGTGATCCTACACTTCACGCAGCAAGGGAACCTAGGCTACACACGGGGGACACGCCTACACTAGGCAACATCGGGTAATGTGGTCCAGTCACACTAGAGTCATCAGCATACATGATATACATAGAAGACCTAATCTGATCCATGTCAAGCTCAAAGACAGGCACACGACGACGCACCAGGCTGTACCAGTCGGAGGGGTCCGACGTGGGCCGAAGTGGAGACAGAATTAGCTAGAATGAGTGATAGCATCTCAGAGTAATAAATTTGCTAGAATGAGTGATACAATGTGGTTTTGTCCTAAGGTCTTGTACTCTCTACGAGCATGGACCTATCTAGCCTATAATATGTACAAATATATGTTGCCATGGGCGTGTCCCGCAATTCGCTAAAATAGTTTCGCAACCCTTTTCCCTTGCCGGCCTAGTGCACTGAAATCAACTGTCCCATAATCAGTCGCTTACAGTACACCCAAGTATTCGTTTAAATAACTCATACATAAGAGTCGCATATTTGGTTCCATTCCAATACATGTCATCTTCTATTAACGCAAGCTCCAAGGATATAGGAAATTACGCGTGCCGAATATTGCTGTGCGACCGAGACAAAATTGTTTATATCGTTTCCGAGGTTGTGGGAGCTTTGGCGTATGCGTGCTGTAGAGGGGCGGGGAGCCTGTCTTTTGTGCCGACCATTTCCACGTAGGCACGTCGCCTAATTTTTGCAATGTGTCGCACACCCAAGTTTTAATTGTTTACATTATTAGTGGCGTTGCAACAAGAGGAACACAACAGCAACTGAACAAACTTAGTCGTATCCTGTTCGGACAGAAGCATGGTCGAGTGCTTTCAACAGTAGTCGCAGTTGGCAAATTTCGGGGCCACTGTAAAGGCGACCCAACGAAGGGAAACTATTTCCCTAATAGCCTGTGTGCTGTGGAGATTGAAACTCACAAATAGTAAATACGCTCACCATTGGGCTTACCACTTTCGCGTGGCTGACGTTGCGAACGTGGCCACTTTGTAACGCTCCTAGCTTGCCTTATGTTTCACGTGTAATTACATGAAAGTCATTGTCTTTACGAGTGCTCGCAGAGAAACCTGTCTTGTAGGCACTGTACCGGTAAACGTGCCAGACGGTTGTCACACCGATGCTGTAAAGCCGACGCATAGAGTAAATCGTAATGTCCATGGAACCTTTGAAATTTGGGATGCGGGTTCGGAAAATACAAATTCTGGCAGGTAAAGACAAAATCTAATGGGAGAATCTGGAGTCGTCGCACCTGGCGCGTTCCGACTTGCTAGTGTGCTGCGCCAGGGTCAGGTCATCGACCCTAAACCTCCTGCGATCCATGTGGGTCGTCGGCCTCTCCATGAGCACCATTACTTCCAGGAATGTCGTGCATGGGTTCGGCTCGGCTCGGAGTGGGGCTTCACTGAAACCGAAACTGAAGCCGAAGCCGAAGCCGAGCCGAGCCGAGCTGAAGCCCGGCTCGATCCGGTTCGGCTTCAGCGCGACATTAGCGCTGCGATATAACCTTGTAAAAACGTGGGTTCTAGGCTAGGATGTGGCAGTGTGCTTAGCTAGGTGACAAGATACGGTTTAGGACGGGGTACATGACCCCTATGGACGGGTTCGAGGCAAGGTTCGCGGAGGCAAACTTCGCGCTACAGTAATCCCATGTACCACAGACAACAGCACCCCATCCCCAGGGTTGCAATGTGATTTTTTTGGCAGCTCCAACCGCATGCAACTCTGGGGCAAATTTGCCTCTAGAGTTGCCTGCTTCTGGTACATGAGGGTTGCGGGAAACCTCCAAGCCTCGAAATCAGTGCCGGCCCCGGCTGCCCAACTGTGAGGGCTGGCCTTTTGGCCGCAAACCCCCAAAACGGGGTCGCGTACTTCGCCCTTAGGGCTGTTACGTCGTCCCAAAACGGTAATGTAGGTGAGGGGGGGAGAGAGGAGCATTTGTGAGGAAATGTTAGAGTTTGTAGACGGAGAGGAGTTCAGTGCGGTGGAAGGGAGGGAGTATGGTTGGAAATGTTGGAGTTTGTAGATAGTGAGGAGTTCAGTGCAGTGAAAGGGACGGAGTTTGGTTGGAAAAGTTGGAGTTTGTAGACGGGGAGGAGTTACGTGCGGTGAAAGGGAGGGAGTTGGGTGGTCATTTTGAGACTCGAGTTTTTGAAACCCTAGCCTAGCCACCCCCAAACGAGCTGCGGGGCTTAAAAAACGAGCCGAGCCGAGCCAGCTCGTTTTACGGTTCGGCTTCGGCTCGTAGCCGGCTCTACCGAGCCGCGCCGGCCTTCAGCTGAAGCAAGCCGAAGCCGGCTCGGCTCGGCTCGGCTCAGCTCGACTGAAGCCCGGCTCGGCTCGGCTCGGAGCATCATGGCAACGAGCCACTCGTTCGAGGCCACCCGACCGCCGACAGGTTCTGAGATCTAGCTGCTGTTTTACGAGCCAGCGAAAATTACACACTAAATTAATGAAGTATGTCGCGGGCTTTTCGACTCGCATTACCATCAGGCAGACATGTCGATCTCGGAGGACTTATCGCCGGCTCTGGGGATCGCGCTGACCTGGTCAGCTTCTTGCTCTGCCTCTTCGCGTCCGTCCCCGCGGCTCTCGTCGTTCGCTTCTTCTCGGGACCAACTCTGAAGCATCTCTACAGCATTGCCGCCGGAGGGACTATCTGCTGGGTGGCGTACGGCGGCCTTCACGGCAAGTGATTTCTGTGATAAACGTGGACTGCAGTGCACTTTAAAGGGATTTTTACGAGTGAAGTAAACTCATTAGGGCTCTAGCCGGCAAAGTGGTATTTGGTTTTCGACTGGAACGATACAACCAGAGGATTGTCAGATTTGGGACGCTATTCTGTCCTAAAAGTTGGACTTCAAGTCGCAATTTCTTAAATTCCTTCGTTGCTTGGCGTTCTTTCGCTACCGCAGCGAGCCTTAGCTTCCAAGTTTCCTTGACCGCCTTGCTAGTTATACCGTGCTTCGTTACTCAAGGCCAGAGCGGTTCAGAGCTCTGCGCGTCTTATTAGAGCGGTTTAGACCTCTGAGCGGCCCAGCTGACTAGACTAGAAGCTTGACTAGAGGCTAAGAAATTTCCCTTTCTTTTCTTTCGCCGCTGCAGCGAGCCTCAACTTCTAAGTTTCCATGACCGACTTGCTGGTTACCTTGCTTCTTCGTTACTCAAGGATTTTATCTATTCTTTCGCCAATGCAGCGAGCCTCAACTTCTGGGGCCTCACTCTCGCGTCCTACGCGATCATGCTCGCTCTTCCTCGCAAGTGGAGCGGCTACGGCGTTCTCCTCGGCTCCTTCACCTACCTCACCTACTGGTGCGCCTTCAGTCCTTCACGTACCTTACCCACTGGTACGCTTACAGAGATTCCTCAGTCTCCATCCCAAAGACCGGGAGCCGAAATACGGAAGTATACAGTAGCTACAGGGTAGGCTCGTCAGCCATGGAGTAGGCTTGCTATACGAACAACTATAGCTGCTATGTAGGGAGTTGACTTTTGAGTCGAATCAAAAGTCATCTCGAACAACTATAGCTACTATACAGGTGTGCCACATTTTAAAGACGTATCTCCGTCCCGTCGTCTGCCCCTGTCTCACTCCCTGGTGCGTCTCCTTTCCTTCGCCTACCTAACCTACTGGTACCCTCCATTCCTTCACGTACCGTTCCTATGGGCCGGCGTTTCTAGTAGTCATCCTTGTGCCTTGCCTTCACCAGTGGTGCCAAGGCGCATTAGTACGGCGTTTCCCCCTTTTTGTTACCATACGGTACGGTACCGAATTATACGGTTGTATAATATGGGAAAATATGGCCGAGGTTGGTATTTTTGGTTTAGTCAAGAACACATTCGTTTTTTTCGGCCGTATCGTCCAAGCAGCTGGCAAAAAGAACGATCGTTTTGTGCGCATCTGACGTTTCGGCGGGCAAAATGCACGGGTCTGGCGGGCGAGATTGTGTCACTGTACGACTGGACTGGGGGAGTCAGAGAGGTGTGTGTGAATGAGATTGTGGAGGGGGGGAAGAGCTAATCTTTCGGCCTGAAATCTTTCTTTGACCCTTTCCTTGCCTTTCCTGAATTTCCTCTCAACCGGCACGATCTTTCTTGGCCCTCAACCGTCCTCGCAGCAACATGAGCAGTCCGGGGACAGAAGCCGTGGACTTCACTTACACGCTCAAGGGGCTCGCTTTTGAGACGTCTCAAAACCTGCACACTCTCTCTTGGCTCACTCTCTTGGCTCTCTCTTGGCTCTCTCTTGGCTCTCTCTTGGCTCTCTCTTGGCTCTCTCTTCTGTTCCCTTTCCCTCTTGTCCCCGAACCACCACCCCCCCTCGCAGCAACATGAGCAGTCCAGGGACGGAAGCCGTGGACTTCACGTACACGCTGAGGGCGCTCGTGCTCAAGATGGCCAGCTGCTCCATGGACTACCAGGACGGCGCTCTCCCTCATGATAAGGTAGCTCTGTGATTACGGTAACACAGTTACAAGCTGGGTACCGTTCATGGGGTTCACATTGCAGATGGCCAGCTGCGCCATGGACTACCAGGACGGTGCTCTCCCTGTTGATAAGGTATGCTCTGCAGTTACGTAACATGGTTACAAGCTGGGCACGTTCGTGGGGTTCAAATTGAAGATCGACGGCTGCGCCATGGGCCACCAGTACCAGGACGGCGCTCTTCCTGCTGAGAAGGTGCTACGATTGGAGGCGTGGAGATGGATGACAAGTGGGCTGTGTTAACCTCGTCCACGGCTTACAACATTTCACGGGCATGGCTGCACGCCGCTCATGAGGGGTTCACGTTAAATTGAGCTGTTTTTTGCCTGCGCCTGCGCCATGGGCTACCAGTGCCAGGAAGGCTCTCTCTAGGAACCCCAGAGGATGCGGTGTGTGCTGCCTGCAGATGGGGCTGGGCTGGTAGTCAGTCAACCCCTCCCTCTACTCTCTTCCCTCACCCGAAGGCGCAGCATCGCATGTACGCCAACAGGCTGCAGCGCCTGCCATCCGTGCTAAATTTTGTCTACTTGCATAGTGACTCGCCTCTCCAATCATCCTCATTTTTTTCTTCCTCTTCCCAGGCGCAGCATCGCATGTACGCCAACAGGCTGCAACACCTGCCGTCCCTGCTGGAGTTCGTTTCCTTCGTGTTCTTCCCAGGCTGATGGGGCCTGTCTTCAACTTCAAGCAGTACCAGGCGTACGCTGCCGGGCAAGGGGTGAGTATGGGCGAAGGAGTTAAAATGAGTGTGTGAGAGAGTGGGGGAAATGAGTGTGCGAGAGAGTGGGGTGCAAGAGAGTAGGTGTGTTCTTCCCTGGCGCAGTACTGATGGGGCCTGTATTTAACTTCAAGCAGTAACAGGCGTACGCTGCTGGGACAAGGGTGGGTGTGGGAGAGTGGCGGCTAGGAAGTAGGCATGAGCGAGAGTCGAGTCGAGTTTTCTTTTTTGGCTCTTCCGACTCGACAGGAATCGGTGCGAGTCAAGTCAGCTGAGTCACGAGTTTTGCATTAGTCTGTGCAAGAAGGCTTGCCCAATATCCTGCCCCATGTCCTGCTCCCGTGTCTTGCTCCCTCCCGTGTCCTGTCTCCCTCCATCCCTATCCTCTGCTCCCTCTCTCCGTACCCTGTGTCTTCTTGCTAGCCCCTCTTCCTCCTATCTGCCCCCAATTTTCCTCATCCCCATCACCCCTCCATCCCTTCCCCTGTCCCCCCTCCCGCCTGTGCCCTCCCGCCTGTGCCCTCCCGCCTATGCCCTCCCGCCTGTGCCCTCCCGCCTGTGCCCTCCCGCCTGTGCCCTCCCGCCTGTGCCCTCCCGCCTGTCCCCTCCCGCCTGTCCCCTTCCGCCTGTCCCCTCCCGCCTGTGCCCTCCCGCCTGTGCCCTCCCGCCTGTGCCCTCCCGCCTATGCCCTCCCGCCTGTGCCCTCCCGCCTGTGCCCTCCCGCCTGTGCCCTCCCGCCTGTCCCCTCCCGCCTGTGCCCTCCCGCCTGTCCCCTCCCGCCTGTGCCCTGGTCCCCTGATTCCGGTCCTCGCCCGTGCCTCACGCAGCTCTGGCCCCCCTCCGGGGCCGTCACGCCACCCAAGGCAGCACAGAGCGAGCGCCAGTGGAGTCATTTTCTAGAATTCTGCAAAATATCCCATCCCTCCTGTCCCATGTCCCGCGCGCCTTGCCCCCTGTTCCCCCTATCCTGTGTTCGCCCGTGCCTCTCGCAGCTCTGGTCCCCCTCCGGCACCGTCACGCCAACCAAGAAAACACAGAACGGCAGTGCGGGCAGTGGGGGGTTGACAAACGGAATCGGAATCGGAAATTCCTGGGAGGAGGGGCAGCACCTGCTGCTGAATGGACGCGGGGAGGTGGACAAGGTGCGGGGCAATCCCCAGGTGCCTCGCCGCATGCCGGAGCCGCTGCCGTATGCGGCGCAGGCGCTGGGGACTGCAATGATCTTTGTGGCGCTGCACCTTTTCCTGAAGCAGTACTTCAGCCCCGACCTGCTGCTCCACCCGGGATTCTTCAGCATGGGCTTCGCGGGCAAGTGAGTAAATGGTGAGAGTGGCATTCTTCCCATGTGTTGGCGCCTCTGCCGTTTGACTTTTGGGGCGCCTCAAAAGGCGCCTCTGCCGTTTGACTTCTGGGGCGCCTCAAAAGGCGCCTCTGCCGTTTGACTTTTGGGGCGCCTCAAAAGGTGCCTCTGCCGTTTGACTTTTGGGGCGCCTCAAAAGGCGCCTCTGCCGTTTGACTTTTGCAGCACAGACGCTCCACCTTTTCCTCTCGCAGCATTTCGTCCCTTTCCGCTTTTCCGCCTTGCAGTTCCGGCCGGGTTTCATCGAAATGGGCTTCGCACACAAATGAGCGAGCAGGATGGCGGCTGGCACTGGTCCGTGTACCAGCAGTTTGTGCATGCACTTGTTCCAAGGAGGCTGGCACTGGTCCCAAGGAGGCTGGCACTGGTTCCTTTCTACGAGACCCTAAGGAGAGCCATAAACGCTCTAGAGTGGAATCATTCTTTAGCATTCTAATAACTGACTGCACAGGCCTTCGCCCTCTTCTCCACGCTCCCCTATTCTCGCGCACCCTCTTCTGTGACCTACCTGCTCTGCCCCATCCCACCCTCTCTCTGTTTCCCCCTTCCTTCCAATACTTCTATCCACAATAGTCCTTTCACCAACACTCCTTTCACCAACACTCCTATCCCCAACACTCCTATCCCCAATAATCCTATCCCCAATAATCCTATCCCCAATAATCCTATCCCCAATAATCCTATCCCCAATAATCCTATCCCCAATAATCCAATCCCCAATAATCCTATCCCCAATAATCCTATCCCCAATAATCCTATCCCCAATACTCCTATCCCCAATAATCCTATCCCCAATAATCCTATCCCCAATAATCCTATCCCCAATAATCCCAACACTCACTCCCTTCTGCACATGGGCATGCTTGGTGATGGCGAGGATCTGCCACCGCTGATCTCTGCACACTCCTATTCCCAATACTCACTCCCCCCGGCAGGTGGGGCTATCTGGTCATGGCGGGGATCTGCTACCGCTGCTCCTTCTTCTTCATCTGGGGTGTGGCAGAGGCCGCCGTGATTCTCTCAGGCTTTGGCTTCTCTGGCTGGAGCAATGCGGTCCCCTCTCGCCCGGACTGGTGAGTTCCTAGATATTCACCAGCAGGTGTGAATCCCTGTGAATATCTGATGGCAGTTGCGTGCTGTATCAGGCGTGGAGATCAAGTTGGCTGATATCAGGCGTGGAGATCAAGTTGGCTGCCGAATGCCCAAGCCAAATACCTGCTGGCTGGCGGTTCCTGTGCGCTGATTGGCCAACTCCACTTGCTCCTCACACTCACTTTCTGCGCTTGCTTCAGTCCGTCTTCACCATGCCTGGCAGTCTGGCTTTTCCGTCTTTGCTCCCACTTTGCAGCGCGTGGCCGCGCATCCTGCCTGCCCTTCCAGGAGGCTTTTGAGTCGACTCAAAAATCTCCTGCCTGCCCTTCCAGGAGGCTTTTGAGTCGACTCAAAAATCTCCTGCCTGCCCTTCCAGGAGGCTTTTGAGTCGACTAAAAAATCTCCTGCCTGCCCTTCCAGGAGGCTTTTGAGTCGATTCAAAAATCTCCTGCCTGCCCTTCCAGGAGGCTTTTGAGTCGACTCAAAAATCTCCTGCCTGCCCTTCCAGGAGGCTTTTGAGTCGACTCAAAAGTCACCTGGTCACTATGTCACACGACACTTGCAGCGCGTGGCCGGGCCGCGCATCCTGCCTGCCCTTCCCCAACCGCACCCCCCACCCACTTACGGCCAGGAGCTGCGCTGAGAGCGAGGAATCTCATGCTTTGCCTGTTGAGGGGGATGAATGAACGGCTCTCAGTTGAGGGTGACTGTTGCGTCGATTGAGAGTCGTTCCTCCCACCCCACCACGCCCCCCACCCCACGGCCAGGAGCCGCGCTGAGAACGTGAGTCCCATTAAGTGCGAGGTCACGTCCAGCTTGGCCCAGATGCCTGCCTACTGGAACATCGGGGTCGGCGTCTGGCTCCGGACATGTGAGCTGGGTTCCAGGTTTGGATTTCAGGTTTGGATTTGGGGTTTTTGGCTTCTCCATGGTTGTCCTTGTCTACTCCGCACCTTCGACCACTCTTGCCCCGGGTGTCCTACAACCAGGTCAGGCCATCTCCTCATCTTATGCCGTCCCTTCACCTTCCTCTTTTCCTCTTCCTCTTTTCCTCTGTTCTTCTTCCTTCCCCACCCTCAACCCCCCCCACCCTTCAACACCCCCCTCCCTCCCTCAGACGTGTATGACCGCATCACCCCTCGCTCCGGCAAGCCCACCATGTGGACGCTCATCCTCACTCAAGTCGTCTGCGCCTTCTGGCATGTGAGTCACTCAAGGTCAATACTCCAGGGCTTAGACCTGCCCCTGTGACTCGTGTCCGCTCTCTGGCATATCTGTCCCATATCTTACACCTGGGCCAGGCATGCGAGCCTTGAAAGCTCGGGCCTGTGCGTCCGGTCAACGGTATACTTTCATGTGTACAAGGGGGCAGCACTCTTGCCGGTCCGGCCACTCTCTTCAGAGGGACCGAGCGACATCCGCCCGTTCATTCGCCATTCTGCTCTAACCTTCTCGCTCTGCCTGCCCTTCCCTCCCTCCATGGCCCCACTTCTCTCACGGTCGGCCTGCTATAGTCCCTTCTTTGTCGACTCTGCTAGTGATTCTCTTTTGTGGAATTCCATTATATGAATACGCTGTCCACCTCAATTTTAACTTTTTGCACCGGGTTCACTGTCGCTTCTTTGTCAGTTCTGGGTCACTATCTACTATCTCGTCGGTGATTTTTTAGTCAACTCAAAACCATCTACTATCTCGTCAGTGATTTTTGAGTCAACTCAAAACTATCTATTATCTCGTCGGTGATTTTTGAGTCAACTCAAAACTATCTACTATCTCGTCAATGCTGCCGTCGGCTTGCCGGGTCTCACCACTCTCCTCTCCCTCACCCCTTTGCCTCTCACTCCCAACCCGTGCCCCTCCTCCCAGGGTCTGCACCCAGGTCACTATCTCTTCTTTGTCAACGCCGCCATTGGGCAACACACCTCCAAGCGTGCGTGTGTTGGTGGGCGCCAGCTGTTTTATTGAACCACCATGAATGCAGCACCATCCTACTGAACCACCATGCATGCAGCACCATCCTATTGAACCACCATGCATGCAGCACCGTCCTATTGAACCACCATGCATGCAGCACCATCCTACTGAACCACCATGCATGCAGCACCGTCCTATTGAACCACCATGCATGCAGCACCATCCTACTGAACCACCATGAATGCAGCACCATCCTTTTGAACCACCATGCATGCAGCACCATCCTATTGAACCACCATGCATGCAGCACCATCCTATTGAACCACCATGCATGCAGCACCATCCTACTGAACCACCATGCATGCAGCACCATCCTACTGAACCACCATGCATGCAGCACCGTCCTATTGAACCACCATGCATGCAGCACCATCCTATTGAACCACCATGCATGCAGCACCGTCCTATTGAACCACCATGCATGCAGCACCATCCTATTGAACCACCATGCATGCAGCACCATCCTATTGAACCACCATGCATGCAGCACCATCCTATTGAACCACCATGCATGCAGCACCATCCTATTGAACCACCATGCATGCAGCACCATCCTATTGAACCACCATGCATGCAGCACCATCCTATTGAACCACCATGCATGCAGCACCGTCCTATTGAACCACCATGCATGCAGCACCATCCTACTGAACCACCATGCATGCAGCACCATCCTATTGAACCACCATGCATGCAGCACCATCCTATTGAACCACCATGCATGCAGCACCATCCTATTGAACCACCATGCATGCAGCACCATCCTATTGAACCACCATGCATGCAGCACCATCCTATTGAACCACCATGCATGCAGCACCATCCTATTGAACCACCATGCATGCAGCACCGTCCTATTGAACCACCATGCATGCAGCACCATCCTACTGAACCACCATGCATGCAGCACCATCCTACTGAACCACCATGCATGCAGCACCGTCCTATTGAACCACCATGCATGCAGCACCATCCTATTGAACCACCATGCATGCAGCACCATCCTACTGAACCACCATGCATGCAGCACCGTCCTATTCCACTGTTTTAGAGCGTCTCAAAAGGAGTCCTCACGCACACATGGCTTGGGCCTATCATCGCACTTCCCACATGTCCGTCCGTGTGTGCGTGCATGCTTGCACGCCCATTTGTGATGGTTGCCCCTCCATTAATGGACTTGTGTGGATTCATGGGCATGGGTGTGGGCATGGGTGTGGGCATGGGTGTGGGCATGGGTGTGGACATAGGCATATGAACATGGCATGGCATGGCATGGCATGGCATGGCATCATGGGATGGTGCGCACGACCACAGTGACATTCCGCCACACAGCAGCCGCCTTCCCCAAGCCATCAGCAGCAGTGAAGCTCACCATTGAGGTGCTTCAGGCCGTGTTCAAGCAGCTCATCATGAGTTACTCCGTCGTTGGCTTCCTGGTGAGTCGCACTTGCTCTCTTGGTATGTCTCACTTGCCGTCTCATCAGAGGTGACTCAAAGGTCGCTTCAGGGCGTGTTCAAGCAGCTTGTCATGAGTTACTCCGTCGTTGGCTTCCTGGTATGCCATGAGCATCTTCTTGGTATGCCATACACGCCTCATTGGTATGGTACAGCTCGCATTAGAGGTGACTCATCAAGCTGTGGCCTGGCAGCTCAGTAGGAAATACTCCATCCTGGCTGCCTGGTACATTGCCACCCTGCTCCCCCTCTCTGCTCTTGCCCCTCTGCTCCTATCAATGAAAGCCCGTGACGATACTTTCCCCTTCGTTTCTGCCGTCTCCCCTCGCAGGTGCTCCAAGCGGGGCCGACCATAGCCGTGTGGCGCTCGCTCTTCTTCATGGGGACGATCGTACCCATTCTGCTCAGTGTGCTGCTGTCTGTTCTCCCCACGCGCTCTCTGCGGCACAAGAAGGCGGAGTGATTTCCAGGAAGCATCCTTCCCATTCTACTCAGCATTCTGCTCTCAGTGCTGCCCAATGCCCATGCGCTCACAGCAGCACAGGGAGGCCGAGGGATTCAAGAGCACACACCTGCCTTTACCATTCCGCTCAACGTGCTTCTCGGTCATGTCGTCTCACTCAAGAAGACCAAGTAATTATTGGCCTAGTAGTGACAATCCCCTTCGTTGTGTTTGAATCAGCCGCAATCAATCGTATTGGCTTCCAATGTAGTGGATTTCGTGGTAATATATTTTTGTTTTGCGAATAAACCCTTGAATTTGTTGATAAACTAGAGACGAGCCTCATAACGTTGGTGGAAACAAAACAATGGTATACATGCTACGAGAGTGTTATCCACTTCATGATTTTGGGACCTTCAACTTTTACTCGCTTGGCATGTTGTCGTGTGATACAGAAACACCCACTCGGTATGAATCTCATAACGAGTATGAGGTTGCTGCCCGCCCATCCCTGCACCAATATCGAGGCTATGGCTACTCTTGCCTGCTAGGTCTTTTAGGAGGGTCGCGTCGGTGCCTCATAAACCATCGCAGCTGCTCCCTCGCTGTTCCCTAGCGTGCATCTTAAAGCAGACTAAAGAGGTAGCACCATGCTCTCGCGCCATTTGGGCCGCAAGGCCGCGGATTTCGGGGCTGCGAGGGCGCCGGCGCTGCTGCGATCGATCGCCGTCCCCGTCGCCGACCGCCATGCGTTCACGTCGTCGCCGCTCCTCACGCCCGTTCCATCCGCCAACGTAGACTCGCCCGCAGCGATCCCTTCTCCTCTGCACGTCAGCTTCTCCAGAGGTTCGTTTTCTTTAGAGTCGGGTCGACGGCGTTGTGCTGGTGCTGCCTCACTAAGGGTTTCGTGGTCGCACATGGGAGAGATTCAGTTTCAACCTTCTTTTGGCACTCTCGAAGACTACATTAAGCGGATTCGCCGTGCTCCGTCTGTGTGCCGGGATGGATCTGGTGTAGACTAGCGAATCGATCTTCAAGAAGATGGTTGGCGTGGGAAAGACCAGCGCATTCCTAGGAGCCTTCCTGGTGTTTCGCCGTGCTCCGTTCGTCGGCTCGCGGTATGTCCGACGTAGTGAATACTGGCGGAATCTTGTGTGCCGTACGATAGACCCTGGGAGTCCCTGGTGCCGTACGATAGACCCTGGGAATCCCTGGTGCCGCACGATCGACCCTGGGAATCCCTGGCGCCGTACGATAGACCCTGGGAATCCCTGGTGCCGCACGATCGACCCTGGGAATCCCTGGCGCCGTACGATCGACCCTGGGAATCTCTGGCGCCTTACGATCGTCCCTGGGAATTCCTGGCGCCGTACGATCGTCCCTGGAAATCCCTGGTGCCGTACGATCGACCCTGGGAATCCCTGGCACCGTACGATCGACCCTGGGAATCCCTGGTGCCGTACGAGCGACCCTGGGAATCCCTGGCACCGTACGATCGACCCTGGGAATCCCTGGTGCCGTACGATCGACCCTGGGAATCCCTGGCGCCGTACGATCGACCATGGGAATCCCTGGCGCCGTACGATCGACCATGGGAATCCCTGATGCCGTACGATACCTTCCCGCTTGGAGATCAAATCTGTCTGTCCCATTCCCGTTTTCTTTCTTTCTCTCTCTCTCTCTCTCTCTCTCTCTCTCTCTCTCTCTCTCTCTCTCTCTCTCTCTCTCTCTCTCTCTCTCTCTCTCTCTCTCTCGTTCTCCCTCTCTCTCTCTTCCATGTTCGACCTTCACCTGCATGGCTGCATGGCACATGAGAGCGATGACATGAGTGCATGGCACATGCGAGCGTTGACATGCACACATGGCACATGAGAGCGTTGACATGCGTGCATGGCACATGAGTCCGTTGACATGCATACATGGCACGTGAGAGTTTTGACATGCATGCATGGCACATGAGAGCGTTGACATGGCTGCATGGCACATGCGAGCGTTGACATGGCTGCATGGCACATGCGAACGTTGACATGCACGCATGGCACATGCGAGCGTTGACATGCACGCATGGCACGTGAGAGCGTTGGCATGCACGCATGGCACATGAGAGCGTTACATGCACACATGGCACATGCGAGCGTTGACATGCACGCATTGCACATGAGACTGTTGACATGCATACATGGCACATGAGAGTTTTGACATGCATGCATGCATGGCACATGAGGGCGTTGACATGCATGCATGACAGATGAGAGCGTTGATATGCATGCCTGGCACATGAGAGCGTTTACATGCACGCATGGCACATGCGAGCGTTGACATGCACGCATGGCACATGAGAGGGAGTGTTGACATGCCTGGTCGTTTGCTCATGAGACAAGCTATGTGCCTGCTCGCCCACTCATCGTGCGTCACTTCCTTGGTCTGTGAAATCCTTGCCGCGTTCGGGGTCCTCGATTCGTTTCCTATCATCCCTCGCCGCTCCCTTGTCTCCACATTCCTGTTCGTTTTGCCAGTCTTTCTCCTACTTGTGTCATGTGTGTCGGTACCCCTGGTACCCATGCACTGCCCCTCCCATCCCTGCATTCTCCTCCCATCCCTGCTCCATCCCTCCCACTCAGCACTCCCACCCCTGCACTCCCGCCCCTGCACTCCCACCCCTGCACTACCAACCCTGCACTCCCACCCCTGCACTCCCACCCCTGCACTCCCACCCCTGCACTACCACCCCTCACAGTGTTGGCAGCAGATGCAGCTTTGACCACTCTACCCATTTTCCAACGGGGCTCGTTGTCAAGACGCCCACCGCCACCGTCGCCTGCGACCAAACCATCCACCAACTCCCCATGCATGCTCTGCACCTCCCATCCCTGCACTATTTCCTTCACCCCTCACAGGGTTCGCAGCAGACGCAGCGCTGACCACAGATCCGCCCATCACCCCCACGGAGCTCGCGCTCAAGACGCCCACCGCCACCATCACCTACGACACAACCATCCACGAGCGCCTGCCGCCCGGCGACCCCTCCAAGCGCGCCTTCACCTACCTCGTCCTCACGGGCGGCCGCTTCATCTACGCCTCCGCGCTGCGCCTGCTGGTGCTCAAATTCATTCTGAGCATGAGTGCGAGCAAGGACGTGCTTGCTCTGGCCTCGCTGGAAGTTGACCTGGCGAACATCGAGCCTGGTAACACGGTTACCGTGAAGTGGCGCGGCAAGCCAGTGTTCATCCGTCGCCGCACGCCTGCTGACGTGGCAAAGGCCAATGACGTGAACCTGGCAGAGCTTCGGGACCCCGAGCCTGACTCGGCCCGGGCGCCGAACCCCGAGTGGCTGGTTGTGATTGGCGTGTGCACGCACCTGGGGTGTGTGCCGCTGCCAAATGCTGGGGACTACGGTGGCTGGTTCTGCCCGTGCCACGGGTCGCACTATGACATCTCGGGGCGTATTCGCAAGGGGCCGGCTCCCACCAATCTTGAGGTGCCGACTTACAAGTTCCTGGAGGAGACCAAGGTGCTCGTTGGCTGAGCAGTGAGCAGAGCTATGACACAGAAGAGTGTGATACGCTTGATCCTTTTGTCATAGTGCTGTGCTGTGATGTGTTTCTGACTAGGTACGGTAGTTCTGCCAGTGCCAGGTCAGGGAATGACAATATGTTGTGTTGGTTGGTGGTTGACCACATGGTATGTGAGTGTTGGCAGGCTGAGCGTACAGATTGGAATGGAAACTGCTGTTAGGATTACGAAGTGAACTCAAGCAAGGGATACAAGGGAACTATATTTTATCAGAGCAGGTAGATCCCACCCACCCGCGCTTCTGCCCTAACCTACTGTAGTGCGCCCCGCCGTGCCGCTGCGCCGCGCTGGCCCTAGCTCGTCGCGCTCGCCCTAGCTCGTCGCGCTGGCCCTAGCTTGCCGCGCTGGCCCTAGCTCGTCGTGCTGGCCCTAGCTCGCCGCGCTGGCCCTAGCTCGTCGTGCTGGCCTTCGCTCGCCCCACCCCTTAGAACGCGACCCGCCCTTTTCGCGCCCCTGCCCTAGCTTGCCGCGCTGGCCCTAGCTCGCTGCGCTGGCCCTAGCTCGTCGCACTGGCCCTAGCTCGCCGCGCTGGCCCTAGCTCGCTGCACTGGCCTAGCTCGCCGCGCTGACCCTAGCTCGTCGTGCTGGCCCTAGCTCGTCGTGCTGGCCCTAGCTCGCCGCGCTGGCCCTAGCTCGCCCTGCCGGTCCTAGCTCGCCCCGCAGGCCCCTGCTCGCCGCGTCGGCCCCAGCTCGCCGCGACGGCCCCAGCTCGTCGCGCTATCACAGCTCGCCGCGTCAGCCCCTGCCAGCCGCGCCCTACGTGACACTGGCGCCCTGCGTCGTGACTTCCCCCTTCTCCTGCACTCGCTCTCCTCTCCCCAAGCACGTGTCTCCGCTACTCCTGCTCATGCTCTCTCGTCCATCGCCCAATCCTTTGGATACCCCTCAGTAAGTCGCCCTTTGGATACCATTCCCTATTTTTCACGAGTAATTTACTTCGATTTTCTGATTTCAGAGTTGATTTTGCATACCACCCTTATGCGTCTGGGTAAAGTTTTTGAGATAAAATGTTTCTCTTTGATTAGCCAGGGATTTCTTTTGTACCACCCTGTTGGTTTCTATACAGGGGGGATACCTCCAAAATTTTCTTGTACCCCCCTTGTCTACATACGTGGACCCGATGTCGTTGCTCCCTATTCCACTCCCTCCTCCGCCTCTGCTGGCCGCCTCCTCCTGCCCCTGCTCTTTCCTGATCTCGCGCCCTTTTCCACTGTCGCTGATCTTGCCACTCATCTGTACGTGCTTGAGACTAGCTACCGCGTTGTTAGCACTGAGGCTCAGCTCACTGTACTTCCTCCCCCCCTCGGCGCTACGCTTAACTTCCTAGCCACGCGCCTCCCCGACCACCTAGCCACTGCCTGCGACACCTTCCTTAGCCTCCACCTCGCTGACCTCACCCTTAGCGACTTCGTCGCCACTCTGTCGACGATAGAGACCCGCTAGCGCACTATCGCCAAGTCTATCGGTACTGCGGCGGTCCCTATCTTCCAGGGTTGTGCTCCCTCCCAATGCACTTACTCTGACGTTTCCGCTGATGTCGCTGAGATAGTCCCTGTCGCTGAGATTGCCGCGACGGCCTCAGCGCAGTCTCGTCAGAGTAGAGCCTCCCGTCGCCCCAGAGGGGGGCCTAAGGCAGGGAAGGGTGCTCGGGGTGGTGGGGGTGGTGGGGGAGGTGGCGGTGGTGGGAGTGCTGGGAGTGGAGACGAGAGGGTGGGAGCAGACGCCACAGAGCAGTAGCAGGAGCGGCAGCAGCAGCAGCAGCAGCAGCAGCAGTGGGGGGCCCGACCGCCATGATGGCCGGGCGACTTCGATGGAGGCGGCCCTCGCAGCTCGACGCCAGGTGGCGGCTCCTGTTATGTGAGTTGCCAATACCAGATCCAGTCTGCCCGCTGATACCGCCGCCTCGATGACCTCTTCCGTTTCCGCTCCGGGCCCACGCCGTCCCTCCCGGACTGGCACAGCCTGGTACATCGTCGTGTGCCGGTCTTTGAGCTAGATGTGGATCATGCTCGCTCTGGTACCATGTTAGGCTTACAAAGTGAGCTCAAACAAGGGATACAAGGAAACTATATGGTTGGGAGTTGCACTATCTAAGAGCACATACCCATCTAGCCTATAAGTGCTACATATACAATATATGTATAAGTTGACAACTGTTGCCAGTGGCCACGGGGTGCTACTACCTCTTACCAATGATTAGCACAACATATCATATGCATGTCTCTAGCTCTGACTACACAAACCCTGCTGTGGTCATCCGTACTTTGGTGCAGTAAAGGGTTTTGCCCAACTGTAGGAGACAGTGTTCAAGTAAGAACACCAATAGACAGTCTGTCAGAAACCAGATTGTACCCTGAGGCACTAAAGTGCACCAAAGTGGAGATCAATATTTCAATGAGGCACCCTAAAGTGATAATATTTCAATGAGGCACCCTTACAAGTGTATTTGAAGAAGTATCGAATATGATGTTCGATTGAGGCTGATAGTTTTAGAGTAGCGGGAAAAGGTGTGATTAGGAAGAGGGGAGGGGAGATACAAGAACAAGAATATTGTCCCCTCTAAGAACTGACATGGCTAGGCTATAACAAACATATCTAAACTAACTATTTAAATATACTCTGTTAGATTATATATTTTGTTATAAAATTGGTAGGCTTGATAGGTTTATCGAACTATACTGTAGAGGATACAACTCCCTCCTTGTATGCCTCTCTCTCTTCTAGTTCACACTCTTTTCTCTCGTCAACTTTCCCTCCTAGTTCCTAGCTCCTAAACCCTTACGCAATTCCATGGCTTCCTTCCTTTCCTCCTAGCCTAGTCTTCTAATATGGTATCAGAGCAGGCTCCCCTTCCCGGGCCTGCTCCCCACGCTTCCGCCGCGCACTCCTTTCTTTCCCTCGCGCGCTGCCATGGCGGCCGCGTCGTGCTGCTGTGGCGGCGTCGTCGTGCCACTGGCCGCGTCGTGCCGCGGCCGTCTCGACGCGCTGACGTGGCGTCGCGCTGTAGTGGCGTCGCCGTCCAGCCGTGGGGGCGACGGCGTCGTGCCGCTGGCCGCGTCGTGCCGCGGCCGTCTCGACGCGCTGCCGTAGCGTCACGCCGTAGTGGCGTCGCCGTCCAGCCGTGGCGGAGCCGCCGTCGTGCTGCGGCCGTCTCCACGCGCTACCGTGGAATCGCGCCGTTGTGGCGTCGACGTTCATCTGTCGCGGCGCCGCCGCCGTCTAGCCGTGGGGGCGTGACGGCGCCGTCGTGCTGCAGTCACAGCGTCGACGTCCCGCCGCCGCATCGATGCCGCTCAATGACGGCGTCGTCAGGCTGCAGCCAGCCGCGCCACGCCTGTGGCGCCGCTAGACCTGCCGCCCGCACGCCAGCCGCGAGCGTGATGCTGGACCACGCACCCCCCCCCCCCCCTCCCCCCCCCTCCCTCCCTCCTTCCCCTGCGTCCCCTCCTCCTCGCCAGTAAGCGCCGCGGCATGCATGGCGCGTCGCTGAAGATTCGCCGCCGCCATGTTAGTGCGGCCGTTCCGCCGTCCCGCCAGTAAGCGCCGCGCCATCCACGGCGCGTCGCTGAATACTCGTCGCCGCCACGTCAGTGCAGTCGTTCCACCATCCCGCCAGTAAGCGCCGTGCCATCCATGCCGCATCGCTGAAGACTCGCCCCCCCTCCACCTAGGGGGTGTGACTACCAAGCCTAGGGGGTGTATTAAATTATATATTTTATCATATAACAGGTAGGCTTGGTAGGTTTATCGAACTCTAATGTTGAGGGTACAACTCGCTCCTTGTATGCCTCTCTCTCTTCTAGTTCACACTCTTTTATTTCGTCAACTTTCCCTCATAGTTCCTAGCTTCTAAACCCTCACGCCATTCCATGGCTTCCTTCTTTTCCTCCTAGCCTAGTCTTCTGACATACTCGACCGAGTTTATTTATGCATTCCTGATGTAACATTTAGATTGTACTAGTAGCGCGATACCTCATATGGAAGGACCGCATGATGACGTCATCTGTAGCAAGTCAACACGTTAATAGTAGTTTCTTGCGTATAGTCATCCGAAGGGTCACGCCACTCTCAGTCCCACGAACAGTCACTAGTCATATTACGCGAACAGTCGCGATACACTACGAACAAGTTCATCCCGAATAAGTACTTCCGATCTTATAAATATGCCTGTATTACCCAATATTTGTATCCTTGTCATTTCAGACATTTCCAATACAGTCCATCCAATATTCTACCTCGATTCCCCTCGATTTCCCCTGCTTCTCTCACCCCCTTCAGTGACTCGTACAGAATTTGGCTTTGCAGCAACGCCTATGGGAATTCTGCTGCACCAATTATGACAAATTCTCCTACCGCAGCTGCTGTCTTCTATCCGGTCATCGCCTCGCCGTGCCACACCGCCGAGAGCCTTCAGCCATGGCTGTTGCCCGCACTGCCTCTCGCCGGGGGATGTCACCATGCCAAGTTCGAGGGGTAGATGCCCGGCTGATCTCGAGCATGGGGGTGTACGGGGTTAGTGGGTGTGTGTGTTGGGTGGGCTTGTGACTACCAAGCATTAGGGGTGTGTTAAATTATATATTGTGTTATATAATTGGTATGTTAGAGGGTACAATCCCCTCCTTGTATCCCTCTCTCTTTCTAATTTAACCCCTTTTTTCTCTCAACACTCTCGCCTACCTCCTAGCTAAACCGCGCCGCTATCATGGCCGCCTTTCCCACACGGATCAACCATCAAATACTCTGTGTAAAGTCTTCCGCTGAATTGTATTCGTGGTTCCACCAAATCTAGATCTTGGCCACCCTAAACACGTGGTTCACTTCTACACTAACTAGATACGTATAGCCTAACTATATGTTTGTTTGTCAGATAGACCCTACAAACCCGCTTGCTAAAAAATGCAAAGATTCGTTGTGCTCATGGCATGACCAGCTATATAGAAAATGGGTTAATATTATTTCAGGATGGATTTTTTCGTCAATCCCATTGGAATCAAGAGAGGGAGTGGGTAAGCTGGTAATTGAAGATCGCATGTTTTCCTACTCACATTGCAATACGAATGAAAGAACAACCTTGGGAGACGTGTTATATGAAGCATCGAGCTGATAGCAGAATCTACGTTACAGAGTATGGACATAAAAGTGCGTGGTTGGCTAAAGATGAGCCCGTGCTAGCCCACCTAAAGAATTGCCGAGTGGGCACCGGACACGTTGACGTAATGCCGATGTGGGACAGCGCTTTGTGTTTGCGGCTGACCAATCCGCGACTACGAACCCCCTTAGTTGGAGCAGCCAAAGATAATCACCCGGTTCCCGCCAAGCCTCGCTTGTGCAACATGTCGAAGCCGAACGAGATCCGTGGAGATGTTCCCAGTGGCGGATGTGAACAATCTCCAACGGAAAGTGAACCTCAACAGGCTCGGAAAAAAACCGAAGAAGCCCAATTGGTCCAGATGAAGCTCGACAAGCATGATATTCGGGCAGCTTGTCAGAAGCAAAAGCTAGGCGCCTTTCATCCAATCGAAACACTTCAAGGTAGGCCGCGTTTGCGCCGCTAAGCCGAACCTAGCCCGAACTAATCGGCTCGAGTCAAGGTAGGAGGTGTTGGAGCCGAAGCATCTGCCCAATGGATGGGTTTGGTGCAGGGAGTGCCCCATGCCAAGCCAGCCCGCCACACGCACGGGACGAGGTGGCATGCAGCAAGAGGGGGAAAAGAACCTCCAAGTCGGGGTCTGGCTCGGAGTTTGGCTCGGGTTGTTGGCTGGTGTGTGCGTGGCATCCGTGGATGGACGGATGGATTGTCTGGGGAAAGCCTGGAGAAGAGAAACAGTGCCCTTGCTCGAGAGAGAGCACAGCCACCCCCCCAGACAGAACAGCAGAGCAGAGCTGAGGTTCCGACCGAGTTATGAATCCAGTTCTGAGACTCTCATCTCACTTTCATCTGTGAGCTTCTCTTGCGAGGAAGCATTTACGAAGAGGACCCTAAAGGCCTCCGAACTTGGTGGTGTTCTCCCCCATTCACCTTGACTGGTTTAGGGTTTCTCTATCCGGTTTGTCAGAGCTAAGCAGTAGCCATGGCGGCTGTCCGTGCGCTGTCACTATCGCTGCCATCAGCGGTAGTGTCAGGCTCAGGCCTCACCGTGTCCGCGTGCCAGCAGGGCTCCTCAACCCCTGGCGTGGCTCCTTTCCAGCAGCGCAGTGCGTTTCTCAAGTTCAATGGCCTCAAGAGCGCCGCCGGCCTGCCGTCGTCGAAGCAGGCTGTGCGATCCCCTGCGATGTCGCGCAAGGCGTCCAACGACCCCGTGCGACGCCTCGTGACGACGGCCGAGTTCTCCAAGGTTCCCCAGGAGCCCATGGGCCTGTACGACCCTGCATTGGACAGCGACGCCTGTGGTGTCGGTTTCGTCGCTGAGCTCTCCAAGATCCCCACTCGCAAAACTGTAAGCTGCTCACAACTTTTACGATTTGTGCTACAGTATCTTGCCAGCAGGCTAGCCTCACTTCCCCGATTACGCCTGTTTTTCTCAGTGGTTCTTAATGTTGCTCAGATCCCGCGGGTGCTTGTTAAATGCAGTGCACACGGCTGGTAGATTTGACCTTGGAAAATGTGTTTTTTCTCATTTTCAGGTGACTGACGCGCTCGAGATGTTGATTCGCATGGCTCATCGCGGTGCGTGCGGCTGCGAGGTCAACACCGGCGATGGCGCCGGCATCATGGTGGCTCTGCCGCACGACTTCTTCGTCAAGGTGACTGCCATCAGCCTGGCGGCTCCTTCTTCGGGATTTGACTGAAAATCTGTTGGCTCGGTTGAATGCAACCACTAGAGCTCCGCAATACCACTTGTCCTAGATTTGACCGAGTTTCCCCTGCATTCGCCGTGCTTGTTTCTCATATTTGTCGTTTTTCCTTAATTCCTTTTTCCTCTTTTTTTTGGCGTTCGATCCATCCGTGCAGGTCGCGAAGGTGGACGCTGGAGTGACTCTTCCTCCCCTGGGGGAGTACGGAGTTGGAATGTGCTTCCTGCCCACGGAGAAGAAGAGGAGGCACCGCGGCAAGGACGCCTTCAACAAGGTCAGATCCTAGGCACGGCAGATCGATGCTCCCAGACCACCTCGTACTTACGCCTTAACATCTAGTTCTCGTGTTTCCTAGCTGTTGGCGGCTTGAATGGTTGCCCTAGCCTTTTTTCTCTCTCTCCCGCTTCGGTTGACTTACATTATTTTCTTTCCGTCATGGTGGTTTGTCTTACTCGGCATGGCACGGCAGGTGGCGGAGGCGATGGGGTGCAAGGTGCTGGGGTGGCGGCGCGTGCTGACGGACAACGCGGATCTGGGGAAGGCGGCGCTGGACACGGAGCCCATTGTGGAGCAGGTCTTCCTCACCGTCAACCCCGACTCTCACCTCGAGGCCGAGCAGCAGGTCAGTGCCGCACCAGCTTCTCCAGTGCCTGACTCGACTCTATAACGCGGAAATGGGCCTGGCCGCTCTGGACAATATCTGGGCGTCCTCGGCACTTGTTTCAGCCGTGCTTGAGGCGGCTCCGCAATACCACAGCACATAAGTACTTCGTGGTTTTGAGCGTTAGAACCGCTCCAGACAGCCGTGAGCGCATCAACAACGCTGATCCTTTCAGCGGCTAAAATGCTTTACTAGCCGTTCCGTTGTGCGTTTTCTCCGCATAATTCGCAGCTCACCTGGCGTTCCATGCTGTTCCTCCCCCTCCCTCCCCCACCACCCTCTCGTTTCCCCCGCTCCTTGTGCGTGCGCCAGATGTGGCTGCTGCGGCGCACGGCCATGAAGGCCGTCCGCGAGGCTCTCAACCTCAAGGTCGGCGGCACCCGCGACTTCTACATCTGCTCGCTCTCCACCAGGTGCGGCTTCGCCTCCTCGATCCCCCCTCGTCCAGGGCATTCCTTGGCTTAACCTTCTGGTGAGAAGTCGGCAAGTGTTTTTATGTTATCAAGCGGCTGCCTTTTCTGTGTGTGTCTCACATTGTGTTAGCGCGTGCGTGCGTGCGGCGGTGCAGGACGATCGTGTACAAAGGGCAGCTGAAGCCGGAGCAGTTGCAGGGCTACTACCACGCGGATCTCGACGACGACCGCTTCACGTCCTACATGGGCCTCGTGAGTCGCTCGCACACTCGCTCGTGCCGTTCAACGGCGGATGTAGAAGTCGTAGAAGTCGTAGCGCGCTTAGTCTCACGGCTCCCCCTCCCCTCCCTCAGAGTGCCCACTTCCACTCTCCCCCCCCCCCCCCCCCCCCTCCCCCCTTCCCCTCCCCCAGGTGCACTCGCGGTTTTCGACCAACACGTTCCCCAGCTGGGAGCGCGCACAGCCCATGCGCATCCTGGGGCACAACGGCGAGATCAACACGCTGCAGGGCAACGTCAACTGGATGCGCGCGCGCGAGGGGCTGATGAAGTGCCCCGGGCTCGGCATTTCCAAGGAGGATCTCGACGCCGTGCTGCCCGTGATCGACGCTAACTCGTCGGATTCCGGCGCGTTCGACGGCGTGCTGGAGATGCTGGTGCGCGCGGGGCGCACGCTGCCCGAGGCCGTCATGATGATGATTCCCGAAGCGTGGCAGAACGACAAGAACATGTACCCCGAGAAGAAGGCGCTCTACGAGTATCTGTCGGCGCTCATGGAGCCGTGGGATGGCCCCGCTCTTATTGCTTGTGAGTCGTCACCACCCTCGTTGGTCGTGAGTTGTTGCTGGTAACCCGAGGGCTGATCGTCATCCCCCGGGGCGTGGCAGGACGACAAGAAAATGTACCTTGTGATAATAATCGTGTTTTGAGACGTCTTGGAACGCGAAAAGAAGGCGCTGTCGGCGCTGATGGAGCCCTGAGACGGGCGTGCTCTCAGTGCCTGTGAGTCGTTAGTGGCCACGTGTTTCGTCGCCTGTCTGGGAAGGCAAATCCACTGGGCTACATTGCGTCATAGCAGTCTCTGAACCTGCTATGGTTCTCCGTCTCACTTCCCCTCCTCCCCCCCCACTCTCTCGCCCTCCCACCCCGCCTTCCCAACCTCTCCCTCTCCCTCCCCACCTCCCCCCACCCAGTCTCTGACGGCAAGTATGTCGGAGCCACGCTGGACCGTAACGGTCTGCGTCCCGGCCGTTACTACGTCACTCACAGCGGCCGCGTCATCATGGCCAGCGAGGTGGGCGTCGTCGACGTGGACCCTGCTGACGTGGCGCGCAAGGGCCGCCTGAACCCCGGAATGATGCTATTGGTCGACTTCGAGAAGCACGAGGTGGTGGACGACGAGGCGCTCAAGCGCCAGTACTCCAGCCAGCGGCCCTACGGCGAGTGGCTGGCCAATCAGAAGTTGACGCTTGGCGATATCGTGGCTTCGGTCCCGGCGGAGGACCGCGTCCCGCCCAAGATCGCGGGCGCGTCGGAAGTGGACACGTCCGCGGACGAGACCATGGAGACGATGGGCATCAGCGGGCTCACCACGCCGCTCAAGGCCTTCGGATACACCATCGAAGCTCTCGAAATGCTGCTCCTCCCCATGGCGCAAACCGGCTCGGAAGCCCTGGGATCCATGGGCAATGACACCCCCCTGGCGTGCATGTCGTCCCGCCCCAAGCTCATGTCCGAGTATTTCAAGCAGCTGTTCGCGCAGGTGACCAACCCCCCCATCGACCCTATCCGCGAGGCCGTGGTGACGTCCACCGAGTGCATGGTGGGGCCGGAGGGGGATCTGACGGAGACCACTGAGGCGCAGGCGCACCGGCTGTCGCTCAAGGGCCCGCTGCTGACGCCGGAGGAGACGGAGGCGCTGAAGAAGATGGACCACAGGGGGTGGAGAACCGCCGTGGTGGACATCACCTTTGAGCGGAGCGAGGGGCCGGACGGGCTTGAGAAGGCGCTGGACCGCATCTGTGCTGAAGCGAGCCTTGCGATCGAGGCTGGGTACAAGATGCTCGTGCTGTCGGATCGAGGTGAGGTTTCAGGGTTTTCGGGGTTTTGCAGTTGTTGGGGGTTTGGCAGGTGTGGTTTTGCCGGATCTACCTCAGAGCAGGCTAGAGCGTCGTGCACCCAGTGAAGGACCCGCACCATTGTTGTGCTGAGGTGGTGTCGTGCTGTCATCTCGGCTCCCCAACCTTTCCCGTTGGTTCTTTACCCCGTGTGCTTGACGTCCGCGTGGCTGCTCCTGCGCCGAGCGTGGAGGTCGCTCACACGGGTTCAGAATATATGGAACCCGTGTGAGCGACCTCCTCGCTTGGCGCAGCACTAAACTGGCAGCAGCACTTACCCGTGAGAGCTGGTATCAACCATGACATGCCGCACACACGCACTGCTCAACTCAAGTCACTGTCCTCCAACCCCCCCCACCCCCCCTCCGCGTTCCCCACCCCACCCTTCCCACACACGTCATTCCCCTCCAGCCACATCCCCCTCCCGCGTGCCCGTCAGTACCCTCCTGGCCGTGGGCGCAGTCCACCTCTCCCTGCAGCGCACGCACTCAAATCCCCCCGTTTTTCCCCCTCCCAACCCCCACTTCCCCCTTGCTGCAGCCACCTCGCCTTCCCGCGTGCCCGTGAGCGCCCTCTTGGCCGTGGGCGCGGTGCACCAGCACCTGGTGCGCACGCTGCAGCGCACGCAGATCGGCATCGTGGTGGAGTCCGGCGAGCCCCGCGAGGTGCACCACTTCTGCACGCTCGTCGGCTTCGGCGCGGACGCCATCTCCCCCTACGTCGCCACTGAGGCCATCTGGCGGCTGCAGGTGGACGGCAAGATCCCGCCCAAGCCCGACGGCTCCCTGCGCACCAAGGACGAGCTCATCCGCACGTATTTCAACGCCAGCAACGCCGGCATGCTCAAGGTGCTGGCCAAGATGGGGATCTCGACCCTGGCGTCTTACAAGGGCGCGCAGATCTTTGAGGCCCTGGGGCTGTCGAGCGACGTGGTGGACCGCTGCTTCCGGGGGACTGCGAGCAGGATCCAGGGCGTGTCGTTCGACGTGCTGGCGGCTGACGCCATCAGGATGCACGACCAGGCGTTCCCGCTGGGGACGGAGAAGAACCTCGCTGAGGAGTCCGCTGACGCTATCGCTGTGCCCAACCCCGGGGAGTACCACTACCGCAAGGGCGGGGAGGTGCATTTGAATGATCCCGTGGCGATCTCGCGGCTCCAGGAGGCGGCGAGGACCAACAGCCCGGCGGCTTATAAGGAGTACGCGGCCATCACCAACACGCTGAACCAGCAGTGCAACCTGCGCGGCATGCTCAAGTTCAAGCCCGCGCCAGGTGGCGCGATCCCATTGGACGAGGTGGAGCCGGCGAGCGAGATCGTGAAGCGGTTCTGCACGGGCGCCATGAGCTACGGGTCCATCTCCCTGGAGGCTCACCAGAGCCTGGCTGTTGCTATGAACACCATCGGAGGAAAGTCCAACACGGGCGAGGGAGGCGAGAACCCGACCCGCCTGGTCCCGAACCCCGATGGGAGCAACAACATCCTGCGGTCTTCGATCAAGCAGATTGCCAGTGGGCGGTTTGGGGTGTCGGCGTACTACCTTACGAACGCGGACGAGCTGCAGATCAAGATGGCCCAAGGGGCGAAGCCCGGGGAGGGAGGCGAGTTGCCCGGGCACAAGGTGATTGGGGACATCGCTATCACGAGGAACAGCACGCCGGGCGTGGGGCTGATCAGCCCGCCCCCGCACCACGACATCTACTCCATTGAGGATCTGGCGCAGCTGATCTATGACCTCAAGGTGAGCGAGTGTAAGGGCAGGGGACTGAATGGAACCAGTGAGATTCCAGTGCTCCAGGCAGGCCATACCCCTCACCACACTAGCGCTCCTACATCCATGATGATCTATCTCCTGCATGTCATTTTCCATCCTGTCTTTCTCATTTGCCTTCAGCTTCCCCGCCCTCCCTCCCCCCTGCCCTCGCCTTCTACCTGCACCTGTCTCCCTTACGGCCCCTACCCAGAACTCCAACCCCCGTGCGCGTGTCAGTGTGAAGCTTGTCTCCAAGGCGGGCGTGGGCGTGATTGCAAGCGGCGTGGTGAAGGGCCACGCGGACCACGTGCTCATCTCGGGCCACGATGGCGGCACGGGCGCGTCCCGCTGGACGGGCATCAAGAGTGCGGGCCTCCCCTGGGAGCTGGGCCTCGCTGAGACCCACCAGACGCTGGTTGCCAACGACCTGAGAGGCCGCACCGTGCTCCAGGCGGACGGGCAGATGAAGACTGGGAAGGACATCACGGTTGCGGCGCTGCTCGGCGCTGAGGAGTTTGGGTTCTCCACCGCGCCGCTGATCACCCTGGGGTGCATCATGATGAGGAAGTGCCACAAGAACGTGTGCCCCGTGGGCATTGCCACGCAGGACCCCGTGCTGCGTGCCAAGTTCAACGGCCAGCCGGAGCACGTGATCAACTACTTCTTCATGGTGGCCGAGGAGGCGCGCGAGTACATGGCGCAGATGGGCTTTAAGACCATGGACGAGATGATCGGCCGCGCGGACATGTTGGAGCAGGACATGGAGCTCTGCAACTCCAACCTCAAGCTGCGGAACATCGACCTCTCCGTGCTGCTCACCCCTGCGGCGACTCTCCGTCCGGGGGCGGCGCAGCGGTGCGTGCAGAAGCAGGACCATGCGCTGGAGCTGGCTCTGGACCAGACGCTGATCCAGCTGGCGCAGCCAGCGATTAACCAGAAGATCCCGGTGTTCGCCGAGGTGCCGATTGTGAATGTGAACCGTGCGGTGGGCACCATGCTGTCGCACGAGGTGACCAAGGTGCATCGGCTGGAGGGGCTCCCGGCCGACATGATTCACTTCAAGCTCACTGGCAGCGCTGGGCAGAGCTTCGGCGCTTTTACTTGCAAGGGGATTACCCTGGAGTTGGAGGGGGATAGCAACGACTATGTGGGGAAGGGTTTGTCTGGCGGTAAGCTGGTCGTCTACCCTCCGGCTGCGTCCACGTTTGATCCCAAGGAGAATATCATCATTGGGAATGTGGCTCTGTATGGTGCTACTTCTGGCGAGGCGTATTTCTGCGGTATGGCTGCAGAGCGGTTTGCTGTGAGGAACTCGGGAGCCCGGGCAGTGGTTGAGGGGGTGGGCGACCACGGGTGCGAGTACATGACGGGCGGCACGGTGGTCATTCTGGGCGGCACTGGGAAGAACTTCGCGGCGGGAATGAGCGGCGGGACGGCCTACATTCTCGACCGGGCTGGCGACTTCCGCACGCGCTGCAACACAGGCCTGGTGGACCTGGACCCAGTGGTAGAGGAAGCCGACGTCCTTCTCCTCCGGTCCATGATTCAGCAGCACCAGCGGTACACCAAGAGCAAGCTGGCTGGGGAGGTGCTGGCACAGTTTGAGGAGCTGCTGCCGAGCTTTGTGAAGGTGTTCCCGAGGGACTTCAAGAGGGTGCTGGAGGAGGAGCGGGTCAAGAAGGAGAAGGAGGCCAAGGCGCTCGAGGAGAAGGACGCGTTTGAGGAGCTCAAGAGGCTCGCCGCGGAGAGCGGCAAGGTGGAGCCCAATGGCTCTGCTGTTATGGTGAGTCGCGGATACCCCCCCTCCTGAATGCATGCTACGCTTTGCCCACCATTTGCACCCCCTCTCTACCAAGGACCTCTGGTGATTGTTTATCGTCTGCACGGAACACGTGGCTGACATGCCTACCTTCAGCTGTAAGTTCGGTGGGTTTATGAAGTACGAGAGGGATCCGCTGCCTGGCAGGTGAGCAAGCAGGCCACCTCATTCGCATGCTTGGCGGCAAGTGCTGTAATGCTCATGCCATTCCCTTGCCATCCCACCTGTGTGGTCCCCTGCAGGAGACCCCCAAGCGCCCCACGCGCCTGTCCTCTGCAGTCAAGTTCGGCGGGTTCATGAAGTACGAGCGCGAGCCGCTGCCCTACCGCCCCGCAGAGGAGCGCCTCACCGACTGGGGCGAGGTGCTGGCCACCGACCCCGGACGCTCTGAACTCCTCAAAACCCAGTCCGCCCGCTGCATGGACTGCGGCACGCCCTTCTGCAACCAGGACAAGTCGGGCTGCCCGCTGGGAAACAAAATCCCTGAGTTCAACGAGCTGGTGTACCAGGGCAGGTGGAAGGAGGCGCTTGATAGGCTCCTGGAGACGAATAACTTCCCCGAGTTTACGGGCAGGGTGTGCCCGGCGCCGTGCGAGGGCGCGTGCGTGCTGGGGATCATAGAGAACCCGGTGTCGATCAAGACGATGGAGCTGAGCATCATTGACAAGGCGTACGAGAACGGGTGGATGGTGCCTCGCCCGCCTGCCAAGAGGACTGGGTAAGAAAAGGGGAAGATTCGGAGATGGGTTGGTAAGATGGGATGGGACGGGACGGGATGGGACGGGATGGGATGGGACGGGATGGGATGGCATGGGATGGGTGTGCGTGCTGGGGAGCATAGAGAACCCGGTGTCGATCAAGACGATGGAGCTGAGCATCATTGACGAGGTGTATGAAAACGGGTGGAAGCTGCCCCGCCCACCCGCCAAGAGGACCGGGTAAGCAAAAAGGGGATATTGGCCCGATGGACGTGTGGGAAGGGGTGAGGACACGTCATCGCTGTGAATGGCGCGGGGCAATGCTTGGCAGGTGTTTCCAGTGCAGCAATCCCAAACCCAACCTCCTACCAATCTAAGATTACCAATGTAAGACAACATTCTTGGTCCAACTCCACCCTCCTTATGCTCATCACAACGCCCCCCCACCACATGTCCTTCCCCTCCTCTCCCCACCATCAGCAAGAAGGTGGCTGTGATCGGTCTGGCAGCGGCCGATCAGCTGAACAAGCGCGGGCACAGCGTCACGGTGTACAAGCGTGCGGACTGCATCGGCGGAAGCATGCTGTGCGGTGTGCCCAACCTTTATTCAAACCCCCCCCCCCCCCCCCCCCCCCTTGCTCTTTACTCCCTGCCACCACCGTTCCCCGACAACCAGCAAGAAGGTGGCAATCATCGGCAGTGGGCCGGCAGGTCTGGCAGCAGCGGACCAGCTGAACAAGCGTGGGCACTCGGTGACTGTGTACGAGCGCGCGGACCGCATCGGAGGGCTGATGATGTACGGCGTTCCCAACATGAAGACGGACAAGACGCATGTGGTGCAGCGCCGCGTGGACCTCATGGCCGCCGAGGGCGTGACTTTTGTGACCAACGCGCATGTGGGCATGGACGAGCAGTACTCAGTGGAGAAGCTGCGTGCCGACAATGACGCGATGCTGCTGGCCTGCGGGTCCACCAAGCCCCGCGATCTGCCGGTGCCAGGGCGAGAGCTCAAGGGGGTGCACTTTGCCATGGACTTCCTCGCGGCGAACACCAAGTCGCTGCTGGACAGTGGGCTGAAGGATGGGCGGTTTATCTCGGCGGAGGGCAAGAGGGTGGTGGTGATTGGAGGGGGAGATACTGGCACGGACTGCATTGGCACGAGCCTGAGGCACGGGTGCGAGTCGCTGGTGAACCTGGAGCTGCTGCCGCAGCCGCCGCCCTCCAGGGCTGATGGCAACCCCTGGCCCCAGGTAAGGCGGTTATTGCCGGTGTGCACGAGTAGGCTTGTATGCATGACTATGCTTAGCTGCGCTTCTCCCCTTGCTCCTCCCTTTCCCCTTTTAAAGATACCGAGGCCATACACCTCCCATGCGCACTGTTTACGATCAGGCCAAGCAGCAGTTCGCACCCATTGTTCTTCCACGGTTCTCTCACCTTATCTTCCCCTTGTCACAATCACCCCTCCATCCACTTTCAGTGGCCGCGCATCTTCCGCGTGGACTACGGCCACGAGGAGGCCCGGAAGAAGTTTGGCGCCGACCCGCGCTCGTATGAGGTGCTGACCAAGCGCTTCATCGGGAACGATGCGGGCGAGCTCACGGGCATTGAGACGGTGCGCGTGCAGTGGGCCAAGGATGCCAGCGGCCGCTTCCAGATGAGCGAGGTGGCGGGGAGCGAGGAGGTGATCCCCGTCGACCTGGCGCTGCTGGCTATGGGCTTCCTGGGTCCCGAGCAGGTCAGTGCCTGGGAAATGTTCGTTCCCCTACTTCAGGCTTTTTTCTCCCCCCCTTCCTATCCGACGCTTTTCCTTGAGAGCCCTGCGGAGTGTGCCCATTGTGCGCCGCTTCATCCCACCCATGATCCCTCTTCTCCTCCCCCCTCCCTCCCCCATTCACACATGCACAGAACGTGGCGGAGAAACTGGGTCTGAAGACAGACGCACGCAGCAACTTCCAGGCGGACTATGGGCAGTTCGCCACCAACCTCGAGGGCGTCTTCGCTGCTGGCGACTGCAGGCGCGGACAGGTACTGCTCCCCTTTTCATGGTTCCTTATCCTCGGAATCCTTACATGAGGCCCCCATGAATTTGCTCCTGATGCGTACTGTGTCTTGCTGCACGCACTGGTATACTTTGTGTGTCTCCATCTCCGTCTTCGCCACCTGATCCTTCGTTTGCCTTCCATCAACCCCCCTGCAGTCTCTTGTGGTGTGGGCCATCGCCGAGGGCCGTGGGGCAGCAGCCAACATCGACTCGTACGTGATGCGCAACGAGGAGGTGGACATGCCGCAGGAGGAGCAGGAGCTCATCCAGGCGGCTGTCAGGAGCGCCGCTGCTGTGGCTGCTGCTGAGCAGGGCACTGCTGCTACCAACGGCAGTGCGACAAACGGGAGTGCTAGTAATGGGAGTGCTACCAACGGGAGAGCGTACCCGGAGGGCGTGGAGGAGGCTCGGGCCGAGGCTGCTGATGTGAGTTGAGAGGTGTCTAATATGAGGGGGAATGGGGGATGATGGGTGGAGGTTGGGAGGTTTGGGGTTGCAGGTGTTGCGGAATGAGAGTTCCTGTCTTTTATGTGCCAACCCACAGTGTACCTTTCGATGCCCTTGATTATCTACCTCGCGCACCACCCCAATCTCCACCCAACAGGCGTTTCTGATGGTGGGTGGTGAGGACGACCCAAAGCACATTGAGGCGGGTGTGCTCTGGGCTTTACATCCTTGCTGTGTTTCTAACTCACCAACCTCACCCTTCCCCCTCCCTATGATCTCCCCCTCCCCACTCCCTCCCCCCCCCACCGACTGTGCCACAGGCATGTCTGATGGTGGAGGGTGAGGATGATACGGAGCACATTGAGGCATGTGTGGAGAAGAGTGTGGAGGCTGCTGCGCTGGGAGATGGCACCCCTGTGTCGGAGCAGAGCTACTAGAGCCCATGTGGGCCCCACACATTGGGGTCCTGGATGTGGAGTATTTTCATGTGATTGAGATGCATTGTGGCATAGAAATGCTGTAATATTAGGATACATTATTGCAGTAAAGGGGATTTGGACGTAAGTTGTGCAGCTCACGAGAGTGTTGGCAAGGATAGCGCACGAGAAGCGACGTTATATTTTTGACAACGGTGATTGGGTAGTGTTGACATGGTAGCGTTGACTTTTGACACACATAAATAGTGCTTTTCCTGTCTAAAACGCTTCCATTTCACCTATAACATGGTGTAACAAGTGTAATGATTGGGCTGTGATCGGCTTGTGGGGGACGAGCCACGGAGAGATTGTAGGAGCCTCCCTGGTCTTTGTGGGGCAACCGAGTGACTCTGATTGGACAACGAGGCGATGGGGGCGAAATATATTGGCGATAGTTTCCATCGCCAGGCTGGTACACGTACACACACAGAAAAGCGAGGCTAACGGAACTTGGCTGGGCTGCCAGGTCTGCTACGTTTCTGCTGGACTTGGCTTCCGAGGGGTTGGATTAACTCCCGCGAGCCTGTAGCTTGACAATACGAGCTGACAGGCTTCAGTAGCTCGCTACTAGTTGGGAGCTTCGAAGGTGCTGCATCTCGTTAGGTATAGTACACATGCAATCTGCCGATCCGGCTTTCTTGTGGTCATACGGTATTGACGCGTCGTTCTTGTGGGCCCCTTGTGGGTGGCATGCACGACGCCGCACGACAGTTACCACGGTTTCAGTTTGAGCCACGACGGTTACTTAGCTGTCTCTAGTTGCTACAGTGTTCAGCGGATCTGTCTTTAACGGAGCGGCGCACGGGATTGTACAACAGGAGTCCGGATTTCTGACGGTTCAGGCATCATGTGGCTGTCCACACGCAGGTGACTCGGACCAAACCTTCTCGGTCCAGCTGTCTCCCTCGCCGGCTAATCTTGTCGCAGCCTTCCTTGACCTAGCGAACGAAACCTGCCCATGTGCTCTAGGTTGTAGTAGTGTCGCATCAGCACTCGCTCGCCGAGCGAGTGCACTCACTACTGTGATGCGTAGCACTAGTACTGCCTCTCACTACACTCGCTGCACGCGTCCATCAGAATGACGTTATCCGTCCAATCCGTAGGCCGCAGAGCATTGCCGTCGAAGCCTGGGGTTTGTCGTCGGTCGCCGCTATGCGACGAACCCTCATCGCTGGGGCATCACCGATTCCCTCCTCCACACGGGTCCTGGCTACGACCTACCATTGCCCTGCTACTACCACTGCCCTGCTACTACCATTACCCTGCTACTACCACTGCCCTGCTACACATTACCGTGGTGTCTCTGCCGGGCCATCACGCGGGACTCTCGAGTCTGGCATGGGGCGACGGCGTCGCGACGGCGGCGGCGGCGGGCAGTCATCGACTCGAAGCTCCGAAGCTCCACTCAACTCGGCCTCTCTTTCTACTCTCCCAAGGAGTATATATACTCGCTCGTCGGCCCCCGTCACTTCATCCCGCCGTTTCTCTCCACCAACAACTGGTGACTAGTACCAGACGACTAGCTCTCTCCGACAGGACCCCTCTCTGCTACCCCTCGTAGCAGCTCCTAGAGCTATCGCTGGATCGCGGTTCGCTAGTAGCCGCCTATCCAGTCCCCTGCGGAAGCAGCAGCGGCAGCGCAATGGCCTCGCGACGGGCGGGGACCGTCAATGAAAGCCGCGGTACTGTGTTCTCCGCGCGGCTTCTCCCCCTCCTCGTCCTCGCCTTGGCGCTCCAAGCGGCGCCCACCGCGTCCGCGCGCCACTGGTTCTGGAACCACGGCCTCTTCCCCGTCGTTGCGGACCCTGCGCCGGTCGCCGCCATTCCGCCGGGCTCCGCGGCCGTGGCGGGCTCCGCCGGGACGGTCGCTGCCGCCGCAGGCGATGGGTCGTCCGAGACGATCCCTGTGACAATACTTTCGAATGAGACGATGCCTCCTAGTACGCGGACGGTTCCGCCATCGCCGCCCCACCAGCTTACAGCAGCCCCGCTGGCGCCGGTGCCGACAACCCCGCGTGAGCCAGCCGCGCCGGCACCGGCCCCTGCCCCGCTCGAGGCAGCTCCGCCGGCGGCATCCCCCCCGGCGGCAGTTCCTTCCGCGGATCTGTGCTACGATGTGGCCCCTGTGGACCCGCGGATCGTGTCGGGGGCTAAGCCCGACCCGTGCGCTGCGCTGGCGGCGGAGCTGAAGCGCACTGGCTTGAAGAAAATGGGGGGCAAGACCGACGGGATGGGATTCGCGGCGCCTTCCTTGTTCCGCGCGTGCTACGCCACATTTCTGTTCAGGTACTGCTCTGCTAGTGTACTAGTAGTACAGTATATCAACCTGTTGAGTTGAATTTTGTAGCGTTTTCTTATGCCTTGAGGACCTCCCATGTTCCGAATTTACCGCTGGTTCCGCGCTACCTGTACCTGATTTGCAGTGCTACGATCGCCACGCACTGAAACCCTAATCTGCCAGGAAGGACTGCGACGTGGAGGACCTTCTGTCGATCGCGAACACGTTCGACAATCACTACGTGTACAAGCACATCGCCGTGGACTCGCCGGACCAGACCAACCTGCCGAGCAGCATCGATATTGTCGCGGATCTGAGGAAAATCGTCGCGCGCGCCGAGGCGGGGAAATACGTGAAGCTGGTGGATGCACATATGGCGGCTTACAGGGCCACGTCGGCGCTCAACGACGGGCACAGCTCTTACACGCCGGACTGCTTTGCCGGGGAGTTCAACCTGCCCCTGCCGCTGATGGCTGTCGTCGAGAATGGGCAGCAGATCATTCGCGTGGCTCCGCGCCGATGTGAGTGTTACACTCGCTGGTTACAAAAGCGGATGTTTCATCAGCTTATTTAGATTCCTTGACAGGTTTACGGCACTTGCTGTTCAAAATACTTACCAAAGTTGCCTCTCTCTTATTCCCTAATGCATCAGACATCACTCCGAAGGGGATGAATACGGTCGCAAAGGTTCTGCACAATTTTGACTTCGACCTTTACGAGGGCCGACAGGTAACTGGAATGAATGCGTGTGTTGTTTGAGCAACCTGCTAGTCAAATGCGAACTGTTAGTATCCTAATTGCTTTACAAATCCATCTTCGTGCTTCATGTGTGCTCCATGTGTGGTGTGCTTCGTGTGTGCACCATGTGTGCTTCGTGTGTGCTCCATGTATGCTCCATGTGTGCTATATGTGTGCTTGATGTGTGCTCCATGTGTGCTCCATGTGTGCTCCATGTGTGCTCCATGTGTGCTCCTGTGTGCTTCAGGTGGTGGCTATTAACGGGGACAAAGCCAAAGATTACATTTTGAAGTGGGCAGACAAGGAGGTCGGAACCTTTCGCAACCGGGCAGCTCGATTCAACAAGGCGTTCGCGAGGAACGAAGTGGAGAAGTCGCTCATGGGGACCGACATCCTTCAGGTGCCAGGCGACTTCGCCAGGCGTGGCTTTGCTCCTGGGAACGACACCTTGCTAGTATCCTTTGCAACCAAGTGAGTCACACCGCTAACCACGTGAGTCACACCGCTAACCACGTGAGTCAAACCGCTAGCTACTGTGTTACTGTGAGGATTTTTTTTGTGTCCCTTGCACTTTATGTGTGTCTTTTACTTCCCCATTCCTTGCTTGCCGCTTTCACCATACCCGTTTCTTCAGGCATCGATCACGTTCCATTCTTGAGGCGCCTCAAACATAGACTGCTCACGTTCCACGCTTTTTCTTCGACCGCCGGGGTTAATCTTCTGTTGTTGTGCTGTACCCTTTGTAACTTGCAGCGATGGAGCTTCAACCGAGGATGTCCAGGTGCCATGGATTGGCGCCAAAAAAATTGATTCATTTGGGAACGCCACGGACTACTGGGCCAAGTTTTGTGCTGCGCAGAAGCCATCGGGGGCAGCCGCTGGCGGTACCAGCGCTCAAACAACCACCGTTGGCAGGCACGCTGACACCCCGGTGATTGACAGGATTCTCCCGCGCCATCCCCGACCTGTTTACTATGAAGATATCAGTGATAGCAGGGATTCCAGTGATAGCAGGGATTCCAGTGATAGCAGGGATTCCAGTGATAGCAGGGATTCCAGTGATAGCAGGGATTCCAGTGATACTGGTGATGCCAGTGATGCCAGTGATGCCAGCCACACTAGTGATGCTACAGATGGGCTTACCGTGGAGATTGCATCTGTTGCTCCTGCAGCAGACGGCGCTGCTGGTGCAGCAGCGGGGCCCACTGTAGAGAGGATATCGCCAGCGACAGATCATTTCCTGGTGAGCGAGTGGGCACCAACGCCATGTTAGACTCGCTCAGTCGTTGGGGTGAGTGCTGGCGGCTGGCACGATGCGTGTTTGGCTTGTACTTGCTGCATAATGGCACTTGGGGCACTCCGCTTCAGGCTCACCACTCCGGGCTCACCACTCCGGGCTCACCACTCCGGGCTCACCTCTCCGGGCTCACCACTCCGGGCTCACCACTCCGGGCTCACCACTCGGGGCTCACCTCTCCGGGCTCACCTCTCCTGGCTCACCTCTCCGGGCTCACCACTCCGGGCTCACCACTCCGGGCTCACCTCTCCGGGCTCACCTCTCCGGGCTCACCACTCCGGGCTCACCACTCCGGGCTCACCACTCCGGGCTCACCTCTCCGGGCTCACCACTCCGGGCTCACCTCTCCGGGCTCACCACTCCGGGCTCACCTCTCCGGGCTCACCACTCCGGGCTCACCACTCCGGGCTCACCTCTCCGGGCTCACCACTCCGGGCTCACCTCTCCGGGCTCACCTCTCGGGGCTCACCTCTCGGGGCTCACCTCTCCGGGCTCACCTCTCCGGGCTCACCTCTCCGGGCTCACCTCTCCGGGCTCACCTCTCCGGGCTCACCTCTCCGGGCTCACCTCTCCGGGCTCACCTCTCCGGGCTCACCTCTCCGGGCTCACCTCTCCGGGCTCACCTCTCCGGGCTCACCTCTCCGGGCTCACCTCTCCGGGTTCACCTCTCCGGGCTCACCTCTCCGGGCTCACCTCTCCGGGCTCACCTCTTCGGGCTCACTGTCTGTGCCAGCTGGCTTGCGTCATCATGCGGCTTGCATGTGGCAGCTGGATCGTATCATCATGTGCCTAACCCCGCCCAACTCTCGCGCCTCCAACTCACGTGCATGCGTGCATGCATGCAGGTGTACCTGGTGGGCGGCACCACGGCCGTGATCTGGCTGGCTGCATGAGTACATCCCCAACAACCAGCTTTTGAGTCGATTAGAAAACCTAACTCACCTGTGTGCGTGCGTGCATGCAGGTGTACCTGGTGGGCGGCAGCACGGCTGTCATCTGGCTGCATGAGTACATCCCCAGCAACCAGGAAGTGATGGATGAGCTGGATGCCAGCAAGGTCGATGTGGTGGACTACATGCTGCACCACATCACCAAGGCTCTCCAGACAGCAGCACAGTGAGTCTGAGTCCCCCCCCCCCCCCCCCCCCCCCACCCAACCCTCCCCTTCTCTTTTGTTGGCCTTGCTCACGCGCTCTGGTTCTCCAATACTGTTCGGATCATCATTCACCTGTGATCTCATTGCACCTCCCCTCCCAACCTCTCATCACTTGCCCACCCCCCCATCCCCCCATACCCATCCCTGCATACCCATCCCTGCATACCCATCCCTGCATACCCATCCCTGCATACCCATCCCCCATACCTATCCCCCCATACCCATCCCCCCATACCCATCCCCCCATACCCATCCCCCCATACCCATCCCCCCATACCCATCCCCCCATACCCATCCCCCCATGCCACCCCCACATGCCACCCCCACATGCCTCCCCCAAATGCCACCCCCACATGCCTCCCCCACATGCCTCCCCCACATGCCACCCCCACATGCCACCCCCACATGCCACCCCCACATGCCTCCCCCACATGCCACCCCCACATGCCACCCCCACATGCCACCCCCACATGCCTCCCCCACATGCCACCCCCACATGCCTCCCCCACATGCCTCCCCCACAAGCCACCCCCACATGCCTCCCCCAACATGCCTCCCCCACATGCCTCCCCCACATGCTTCCCCCACATGCCTTCCCCACATGCCTCCCCCACATGCCACCCCCACATGCCTTCCCCACATGCCAACCCCACATGCCTCCCCCACAAGCCACCCCCACATGCCTCCCCCAACATGCCTCCCCCACATGCCACCCCCACATGCCACCCCCACATGCCACCCCCACATGCCTCCCCCACATGCCACCCCCACATGCCTCCCCCAACATGCCTCCCCCACATGCTTCCCCCACATGCCTCCCCCACATGCCTCCTCCACATGCCTCCCCCACATGCCTCCCCCACATGCCTCCCCCACATGCCTCCCCCACATGCCTCCCCCACATGCTTACCCCAGGTCCAACGCGTCTCAGATCATCATTGACGTGCGGGACAACATGGGTGGGTCCACTGTAGCAGCCTTCGCAACCATCCGCCTGCTCATGGGGGCCAAGAAGGTGCCGCCTTCCGACTTCACACTGCCCATGGACTTCATCGTCGGCACCAACTACACCGAGAATGCCATCGCTGTCCTTTCTGTCGACCCAACAACGCTCTACTTGGTCAAATACACCGACCTTAATGGGACGCCCCTCACCAGCGCCTTCGGCTACGCTCCGTTCCGCACGCTCAACTTCTCTGCGGACGGCCCTGCTGGCACCTACACTGCGCTGTTCAAGTCTCCTGACGAACCAAGCTCTGCCAATCTCACGGCAGAGCAGCAGCAGCCGGTGTTTGGCGACCGCCCGTTCCTCGTGCTCTCGGACGGGAACTGCTTTTCCGCATGCGCCATTCTCACGCATGTCCTGGGGAAACGCCACAAAGTACCCATGGTGACCGTGGGTGGTTTGCCCAACCAGCCCCCAGATGTGGGCTCCTCATGCCTTGGGTTTACGCAGATGGACATGACACCCATCTCAACGGCTCTGAGCGCGCTCGCTAGACTTTACCCAGAGCAGGCGTCGAAGCCGCTCAAAGTGAAAGGGGTGATCGGGATGGCGCTTACGAATGGGTACGTGGATTCGGAGATTCCGTGCGAGTTTGAGTTCCTGCCCAGCCAGCACCACATTGACTACACTGTGGATCTCATTGACAAGCCATGGGCCATTTGGAGCGAGGTTGCCAAGCTCTTGGCCACTGCAGCAGCCTAATGTGGTTATTCTCTTCACCTCATGCTATGATCTCCACCTGATGGTGGCTATTTATCACGCTGATTGTGGCCTTGTAACACGCTGATTGTGGCTTTGTAACACGCTGATTGCGGCTTTGTGTCATACTGATAGTGGATTTTTATCATGCGGATTGTGGCTTTATCATGCTGATTGTGGCTTTTTGCAATGCTGATGGCAGGGTTTCAGGTAGGATTTGTTGAAGTATACTCGACAGAGGTAGACTGATACAACAGTTAGACTGTAATAGTAGCGCTACGCTAACAGGGTAAATGCCCGTTCTTGACTGATTTTCAGGGGTATTCTGGACGCAGCCCTTAAGAAAAAGAGTTGAAATTTTGCTCGCCCGTTGGTTTTCAGGGGACTTTTGGGTGCCAGCCTTTTCGTCCGAGAGAAGTTTGAGGCTACCCGTAACCAGCCAACCCCCACGACACCCCCCCCCCCCCCCCCCCCCCCCCGAGAGAACTTCCTCCTCTCCTCCTCACCTCACCTCACGCGCGCTGCCCTGCCAATCTAGTCAGCGCGCGCTGCCCTGCCAATCTAGTGTCTAGTCATCTCGCTCGTCCACCAGCCATGTCATTTGAACTCCTCCAATTAGATCGACCCTTCTCAACTCGAAGTTCAGGCGTTGTGTATGGCTGGCTGCTAGCTAACCAACCTGAATCCAACTTAAGGAAAAATCCTTCGCTCCAGCAGATTCTACATTAGCTTGCTCTCTCCTCTCCTAGCAACCTAAGGACCAGCTCAACCGATCAGCGATCTCCCATGGAATAGATTTAGAGAAATAGTTACAAAAGGGTGTTGGGTTTGTAGTAGAACTGCTGCACCTCACAAAACGCTCTAGATTGTGAACGCTCTGCTATGGCGGGAGAAGATCCGCCTCATCTAGATCTGACCTTAGGCATGGAGCAAAGGCCTGTTTTTGACCTGAACGCTGGGCATGAGGCTTCAAGCCCTAGTGTAGCACATAGTGGTGAGCCACGCGTAGAGTCGGTTGCTCTCAATTTCTACCCTCCAGGCACCTCCGATGGGCGTCCTACTATACATCGTCGCCCCTCAGATCCAACGATCTCTCCAGTGCTCCCCTCGTCTTCCTCTGGATCTCGGGCTGTGCGGCAGCACATGCACAAGCAACAGCGACTCTCTTTCGCTCCTCCACCCGTACGAAAGAGAAAGCCGACTGCACCAGCTGAGCCCTCCCAACCTGAAGACCCCGAGATCCCAAAAGAAGAAAGGGTTCTCAAGGAGAAGTTTCGTGTCTCATGGAAGGCAACGTACCCGTGGCTAAGGCTGGTGTATAACAAGGAGGCACAGATGTATGGCATGAAGTGTGATGTTTGTGAGGTTTGGGCCAAGGAGAAACACTCTCCATTTGCTTCAACCGGAGTAGGTGCACGGGACATTCAGAGCTCAAGCATCAAAGGCCATGATGAGAGCAATGCTCACAAAGCGGCAGTAGATAGGAAGGTCAGGGATGAAAAGAAGGAGCTCATGAAGCAGAAATGGAGGGATTTCGAGCACTCAGATGGGCTGATACGGCGCGTAGTGCGGCTCATGAAAATAGCTTACTTTATCGGTCGCCATGATATCCCGATATCATTGTACCCAGTCATCGCACATTGGCTTGCGGACCAGGGCCTTAACGACATGCCCCGCGAGGAGACAAGTTCCCGATACTACACAATGTAAGTGCCATAGTTGATTGTCACACTGTTCAAATAATTTGGTTTTCTTCTGATGTTTATTTATGCATATCTCAAACCTTAAAGCATACAGTGCATGCCCTTTCTGACTCCTCTCCTACAGGTGGGCAGCCGGTCAGTTTATCACTGCTCTTGCAACCTACCTGCATAGGCTGCAGCATGCCCACATCAAAAGCAGCCCATGGTATGGGATCTCGCTAGACGAGTCGACGGATCGTGCACACGGGAAACACCTCATTGTCTATTGCACCTTTGAGCGAGAAAGCGCAATAGTCAACGAGTTCCTTGCTCACCTTCCTTTAGACAAGTGTGATGCAGCCACTCTCTATACTGTGATAACGACATATCTTGACAGCAATGGCTTTGATGTTCAGCGGCTAGTTGGTATTAGCACGGATGGGGCCTCTGTGATGACCGGTGCACAGAACGGGCTTGTAGCCAGGCTGCGGGAGCGTTGCAAGTGGCTGGTCTCGGTCCACTGCATTGCTCACAGGTGGGTGGGGGAGCCTATCGCTACAAAATTGGTGATTCATTCATGTTGTCCCTCTGAAAAAACATCTCATTTGATGTGCAACTTCCCTTGCTACCTCATACTCATATGTTATCTTGTTTTTCTTTGTTCACCCACTCTACACCAGAGAAGCTCTTGCTGCAAAGGATGCGGCAGCCAAGGTGCCTGATCTAGCAATTGTGGACGTTGTCATCAAGGCGACGGCCGAACACTTGGGCCGTTCAAACGTCAGGTGGCAGCGTTTCCTGCAGCTCCAACTAGCCATTCGTGAGACCGATCTTGAGGTCCTAGGGATCATTAACATACGCTGGCTTGCACGACGGGAGGCAGTTTCTCGCTTTTGTGATGTCTTGCCAGTGCTACTGTGGTTGTGGAAAGAGGAGAAGCACCCCTCCTCGACGACGTGTTGCAGTTATTGAACAAGCTGAACCGGAAGTTCCAACAGCAATTGGTATGTGATTCCCATTATGGGGCTTAGCCTGATGTGAAGAATTGATGCCATTGCTTGTAACAACCCTTCTGTTACATTGCACATTGATTTCTTCAATCCTTCCAAGTGTTTAGGAGATTGCTTTCGCTCATACAGCCTTATAATCATTTAAACAATGCTGCCATTTTACAGTTCCATAAACTTTGTGTAATTATTCCCAGCTGGACATGACGACAGTTTCTGCTGAGGTGGAGGACGTGCGGGAGTTGCTAAAGCTACGCTACATCAATCCAGTGAACGGGTTCGGTGAATGTCGTGAGGGGAGGTTGGCTCCATTTCTGCGTGAGCATGGCAGCACTGGTGCTCGTAAGATGGTAATTGAAGGACTGGATTGCGATGGAAACATCATCACTGACACTATAGACATACACGAGGCAGATATTGGTGGAACATACGGCTGCGACTTGGAGTCATGCCTTGCCCTTGGCAAGGAACTAGCCGAGCAGCTGGACAAGGCCCTTGAGCAGCGGCTCGGCGACCTTGAAAAGTTGCAGGGTGCCAATCTCTTCAAGGGGTCCACCTATCCACCTCGAACGTCCAACAGAAGGAACGAGGTGTTCAACGGATGGCTGGACCAGCTGCTCATTTTGTTCCGCAACGAACTGCCAGGTGATGATTTAACCAAACTTACTTGTGCACCTGCTACACTCAATGCTATGTATTAAGACACTAACGACCCTACATGTTTCCCTCAGGTGTCAGCAAGGCAGGCTGCGAGTTGGATCTGTCGCTGCTGATTGCAACGCTGGAGAGGCGTCACAGAGAGGAGGGGTTCACACAAAGCATATTCAATCTTCTAAAGACCACAGGGTGCAATGAGAACTATGGCAACATCATGAAGCTTTGGCGTGCGCTCGCTGTGCTTCCCCTCAGCACAGTAGCATGTGAGAGGGGGTTTTCGAGGCAGAATGTGATCAAGAGCTGGGACAGGACCTGCCTGTCCAACGTAAGGCTTGCAAAACTCATGGCGGTGAAGATGCTTGATTATGAGATTGACTGGCTGGACGTGTATGAGGAGTGGGATAAGGCGTTGGACAGGAGGCCGTTTCGCATCCCTGCAGATAATGAGTGAGGTTGGTGTGATGTGAGTTCTTGGCTAGCATACCTCTAAACATTTTTAAGACATTGCATGCATTAATAAGTTGAATTATATGGACACGTCATACATGCGATTTGTAATGCTAGATTGCTAGACAGATAAAAGAGCGTCTTTTAAGCCAGCTCGGATTTGGCCGAGCGGATCTGGTGGGAGCCCTTTTCGTAAGGATACGATTTTGCCGTGCCGTTTTTTTTCAGGGTAAGTTTCGAGGGGCACCCTGAACGTCCGAGCGGCGCAGGAACCTAGCATAAGCCCTGAGCGCGATACCTCGGAACGACGCGCGTAATGACGTCAGCAGTATCGAGTTAACGCGTGAACAGTTGGTTGGCGTGTATATGCACCCGAAGGGTCACGCCACTCTCAGTCACAGAAACAGTCACCAGTCATGTCACGCGAATAATCGCGATACACTACGAACAGATACCTACATTCTGACTAGGTACTTCCTAGACTATAAATATACCTGTATTACTCATTATTTGTATCCTTGTCATTTGGGACATTTCCGATACAAGGTGTAAAGTCTTCCGCTGACTTATACTCGTGGTTCCACCAACTCTAGATCCTGGCCACCCTAAACACGTGGTTCACTTCTACATGGTATTATGAACTAGTGGAGTTACAAGAACCGATACAATGTGATTTCGATTTCGCCCTTAAGCTTGTAATAATTTGACAGGTGTTGCAGGAGACTAAGTAAAGAATCTGCAAACACGAACACTTGGAAAACCTCAAGTGTTGGCCTAGGATCTTTACTGGAATGGTAGACTAGTAAGACAGCGGAAGTCTTGTAAAAGCATGATAGTCAACGTTGAATAACCTGAGCACATGAACTTGTGGATAATCAAAGTTAATAATGGAAAGGCATAACAAGGATTTATAGTTCTAGGAAAGTACCTGTTCGCTAATGTACCTGTTCGTCACTATCACGCTATGCGCCCTAAACGATAACGAAGAGATGCGACTGTTCGCGTGACTGAAACGACTATCCTTGTGACGAGCGCTATTTGCTGACGTCATCCTACGGAATTATCTTCTACAGTAGGATTCGACACTATCTACACATAATCGACTTACAGAAATGCTAAGTATGAATTATATCACAACACTCCACTTCATTTATGGAAGTTCGATAGTGTCACTTCTTGAAGATCCCGCAAAGCTTGTTACAGTACTGAAACTTCTGTCGTGTCAGCTTCTTCGTGAGGAAGTCGGCAGCCATTTCGTTGGTCGAACAATAGACCAATCGCATTCTCCCCTTCTCGACTTTATCATTGAGAAAAAAGTAACGCAGTGAAATATGTTTCGTCCTGTTGACGAAGCCAGGCTGGTGCGCGATGCGAATTGCACTTTAGTTGTCGCAATGCAGAGTAAACTGAGTACTCGTCGTCAACTTCGCTTCTTCCAAGAGTTCCTGCAGGTAAAGTCCTTCGCGTTTTGCTGTGCAGACAACGATAAGTTCAACTTCAGCGGAGGAGAGAGCAAGGCTTCAGAAGTCAGGACAAAATGCCCTGAAATGCTGTATATCAGGGTGTTTTTTTAGGGTCGTCCTGTTCTTTCAGCTTTTGATTTTTCCTAGGCCTGAATTTTAGGGGTTGTCATTTGAGCAGGCCTGAAATATTGTATGTTCTTGTTTTGGTCACCCTGAATTATCAGCCTTAACGGATTTCCAGCCTGAAACAGAATTCTATCTGACTGGTCGAGGCGAGCTGGAGCAGCTGTGAGGGGCGTGTCGTGTCCTTCGCCAAAATGACGCATGTGACACAAGCTGGAGCACATGTGAGGGGCGTGATTGGTCCTTCGCAAAAATCACGCAGGCAGTTTGACGCGAGCTGGAGCAGGTGTGAGGGGCGTGACTGGACCTTAAGCAAAATGACGCATGTAACGCGACTTGGAGCAGATGTGAGGGGCGTGATTGGTCCTTCGCCAAAATCACGCAGGCAGTCTGACGAGAGTTGGAGCAGGTGTGAGGGGCATGACTGGTCCTTGGCTAAAATCACGCAAGTAGTGTGAGAATTTGTACGCAGTGCAGTCCGATCTGGTCTAAGGATAAGAAACCTAAAAAATGTACCTGATGATGAGTCAGGCTTATGTTTTTTGGTCTGACAAAACATGCCCTATCTAACATAATGTGCTAGGTCAAAATCCTACCCACCCTAAAAATTCGTCAAGGTTCAACCTATCATCTCAGCTCTGAAAAATTCCAGTCCAGATTTTTCAGCCTTCGAAAAATTTTACCCTGAAAAAAATTGCAACTTCCAAAACCCGACCCTGAAAAACGGGGGCTCCTTCTTGGGGCACCCTGAGCCAACAGCCCCTCAAAATCCAATCTGAAGCCCTGGGAGAGAGCAATGAGCTCCTGCTTCGTCGAATTCCAAGAAATAGGCCCGATAGGTTCAAGACGGTAGATGAATCCAGTACGCGATCGACGATCAGTAGAGTCAGCAGCGTGATCGGCGTCGACGAAACCGTGTAGGTATAATGTTTTACAGCCGACGACGTTGTAGACTAAACCGACGTCAGGTGTCGATATAAAATACTGAAGCGCGCGGAGAAGATCAAGTTGATGCTCCTCATCAGGATGGCGTAGGTACTGAGCGAGTTGACTAGCCGCATAGGCTGGATCTGGACGGCAAGTAACGGCGGCGAAGAGTAAACAACCTAACTGCTGTTCATAAGTCTCTAAACCGGTTAGACTCAAAGGTACAGTATTCGGTTTGTAGTCAGTCGGTAGGGAACGGTACGGTGTAGAGACTGCAGTAGGAGTAAGGTTGAAGCGGGCAGCAAGTGTCGCTGCGTACTTCGATGCGGTGAGGTGAATAGACGTCGGTGAGCAGGTAATGTTTGAACTGAGAAACTGTAAGACTGTTTCGGAGACGGTAAGCTGTAGATTTTTCTGTAGTTTCAGTATGAAGGTATTGGCGAGCGAATCGGAAGTACTGACGTAGAGAATGTCGTCGACGTAGGCGATGAGTAAAATATAGTTGCTGCCGTCAGTTCGGGTACTCTACCAGGATGAGTGCGTTGACGGGTGCGTAGAGAGATGCGTTTGCCACGTCGATTTGTCGAAGTCGTGGATTGCGAGGCGGCGACACATAGAAAATCCGAACGCTCGTATGTTGACCGACGGGAGCAAAATTCATCTCGTACTCGATGCCGTAAGCCTTTTCGAACCCGCGGACGACCCATCGTGCCTTGAATTTCTCAAACGACCCATCTGCATTAGTCTTGACGCGAAAGACCCACTTTCCGGTAAGTACCTTTCTTCCTTTTACTTATGATGTCGGTATTAACTCCCATGTGCCGCGACTCTTGAGAGCTGCTAGCTCCCTGTCCATGGCTTCGCGCCATTTTTCGCGGTGAGGACTCGTAAGAGCTTGTCGAACGGTTTTCGGTTCAGGTATTTTACTGTCGTTGTACGGTACTGCGACTCCGAATCCAAGTATCTGTAATCCAGTTTGTGTAAAACGAGGGCGTTCTTCGTTTGCACCTGCGAAATTTTCTTCTGACCCTTCTTCCCCCCCAATTTCGTCAAGTGTAACACGGACTGCTTCGTCGGAGACGGCTGGCATCGGCTGCTGTTGACGATCGTGTTCATAATCGAGGTGGACTTCGCGAACATCATCTGGGTCAGCATCTGCGAGTGGAATAAATTCCGGGATGCCAGTCGACGTGACAGGTTCGGGTATATCTGTTGCGGCAGCTTCGGAGGCTTCGGAAACTGATTCGTCCTGTACATCAGCTTCGGCTTCGTGCATGCGAGCCTTCGAACAGCCTGGCGGGGTTGGCAGCTGCTGCCTGGTGGGCACAAAAAACTGGCAAGGTGAGTCGTTCATAGAAGAGACAATCACGTGAAGGGACGATTTGGTTTGAACGAAGATCCAAAATCTTCCATGCATGATACAGTTTTTCGATGCCGAGGTGTACCCCCCATTTTGCCCGCTCTGAAAACTTGCCGAGTGCTGCAGTTGGAGGACGAAACTGCACGACACACCCAAAAACTCGTAATAGTTTTGTACTTCCCACTGTAAGTGTCCACTGCAGGTGTGGTGAAGAAAACTCGGGCAGTAACGTGGAAGACATCAGGTTGTGTAATAGCACAGTGTGGTCCATCGCATATGGCCAAAAGCAAGGAGGAAGGGCTGCCTGCGTCAGCAAGGCACGCATCTTCTCCTGCAGAGTCCGATTCATCCGTTCTACTACCCCCATCTGTTGGTGTGCATGTGGCAGTGACTGCTTCCGTTTGATGCCGAGGGTTTGGAGGTAGTCTGTGAAGGTGTTGCTCGTGTACTCCCCTACGCCATCACTCTGAAATTCTTGCAGTTTCACGCCAGACTCTCTTCCAGCGACGGCGAGCCATGCGACGAAGGCCGGATGGGCGAGATATCGAGCAGGAAGGTTAGCTGTCCAAAAGTAGCGAGTAGATGTTTCAATAAAGGAAATCACGTACTGCTCCTCTTTAGGTCCTGTTTCAGGTAAGTTAAGAATGTTGCTGTAGACTTTCTGCATCAGTTTGTAATGTGTGGAGCCAGGAAAATGACTTGGAAAGGGGTCGTGGATAAGATTGGCGATCGGACACATGGTGCAGACCGTCGGGCGAGACTGTGGTTTCATCTTCGTCCCGTCAGGTAAAAGAAGACTATTTTTATCAAGAACTGCTGCTCGTATTGAATAATTTAAAATCCCTTGCGACGGATGTCCTAACCGCTGATGCCAAATGTCTTCTGCGGCTTTGTGTCCTGATGATCGCAGATAAAAGTCGGCGTTAGTATAAAATGGAGAAATGATGAAAGGAGAAAGGGTTGGAGACATGTCAATCTCCCCTTCAATGAAACGGGTAAGTGGTAACTTGACATTTGATGGTTCTGCTGCAGTTGCAATTGCAACATCTGATACTGCTTCTGTTGATGTGGTGGCAGGTGGTCCTGCGACAACTACTGTGGGAATTGGCTGCTCGGCGACTTCTTCCTTTTCGACTTCCTCGATCACGTCGGGTTCATCAGCTGCAAGTCCACTAATTTCTCCCCAAAGTGGAGCTGGAGTTCCTTGAAGAGCTTCACGCGTGGTATAAAACGTGCGCTAAGCGTTGGCGCCTTCATCAGTGGTAATGAACTCCCAAGTATCCAGTGCGGTAAGTACGGCAGCTGCAGTTCGAGAAGCCGTTGGTACAGTAGTTGCGCGAAAATCAATATCCACGTGTTGATAATCTTTTTCTTCTGGGTGATCCCAGGGACCAAGTGCAAGGACGCGTTCAGAATCACCAGAAGTGCCCTGTGCCGTGAACTGAAGAACTGATACTCCATGTTGAGTGGCAGCACGACCGAGGTAAGTATTTGTTCAACAGTGTCATAAATCCTGATCCATTGTATCAAAGTTCCCTTGTGTGCGGATTTTGTGTGCCAGGAGTTGAGCTGTGGAGAGGAGATTGAAACCAAGGCCGGCGACGATAAGAACGTTGGTAACATGTAAGGAATATCCCGTGTCGAGTGATTCGAGCATTACACTCCCAATGGATCTTGCCATAATAGTCTGTCCATTTGCAATTGTGACAGGTATCGGACGACGAAATTGACGTTGGTTGGTGATGAAGCTTGTTTCAGCAGAGCACATGTGCCAACCGCAATAGCTGTCGAGATACCAAGTATTGGGTCCTAAAATGACTCGAGCAAGGTTAGCGTAAACTTGCGGTAAGGGAAAGCCCTCTGCGCTGGTGTTTTCTTCAAGTTGTGTCTCGAAATCTGTTTCTGAAACATCAACTGTTGTAACACATCCAAAGACCCCTTTCCCTGATGTTGCAGATGCAAAGACCGGAGGACGATGCTGTGACGGCGACGTATTCTGCGGTGGTTTCGGCATCTGCTGCATCTGGGTCGTCGACTGCTGCGTTGGCTGATGTGACTTCGGTAACTGCTGCGAACGATGATGTGGCAGTGAAGTGCTGCGACGGTTTTGATGGCGACTGCGACAAGTCTGGTAAGTGTGTCCCGGTTTCTTGCAGAAATGGCAGAAGGGATATTTCGGGGGAAGCTGTTGCTGAGGTTCTGGATTTGAGTAGAAACTTAAGTGTATCCCCTTCTTCTGATTGCGTTGTGACTGCAGGTCAAGATCTTGCTGTTCTGCTTGAAGATACGAAGAAATTTCAGCTTCGGAAAGATTCGGGTTCATGCGCAGGAAGGCGCGCGTCTGTCGCCACTCGGGACCAAGTCCAGCAAGAAGGACCGTGAGATACATCTCACGAGGGAAGTATCCCCCACTCTTCTCCAGTTGATCTCATAGTGTACTGACGCGATTGACGTAATCCATGACATTCTTGTTTGTCATCATCTGCACACTTGTCAGTTGTGAAAGAATTTTACTCACTGTAATTGTATCCTTTGCCATGTACACCCCCTTTAAATGGTTCCATGCAGTTTCAGCTGGCGTAAAGCTTGAATGAAAAGATCGAACGCCGAGCTGCTCCTTTGGCGGTAAGTTCCGAACAAGAACCGTATATGCCCCGAGAGAGGCGTGCAACAAACTCTGCTGGTCCAGTTGTGTTCCCATAACAGGATACATAAATTCGCCGGTGAAGAGCGGCCATAGCCCAGTGGACTGTGCCAGAAGATCGAACTCGAAGCTCCAGGAGTAAAAATCAACTTCGTTAAAAGGTATGGTTGTCTTGATCTATGTGCTGTAAGTAAATTCGGTGGTTGAAAGATGATACCTTGTTGTTGAGGCTGTTGCTGTTGTTGCTGTTGCTGAAATTGCTGTGGCTGTTGTTGTTGTTGCTGTTGTTGCTGATGTTGCTGTTGCTGCTGCTGTTGTTGTTGCTGAGCAGGGGAAAGCCCGAAAATGTAGAAGAGCTGTTGCTGCTGCGACTGTGGCTGCTTCGCAAAAGGTGAGAAGGCAAATGAGCCAGAGCTTGGAGCTGAAGCTCCTCGCATATAACTTGAGCCGTTCTTGACTGAGTTGGTGGTTGTGCTGTTGCCTGTTGTTGTACTGATGCCTGTTGTTGTGCTGTTGTTTGTGTTTGTTGTTGTTGTTGTTGCTGCATGTGCAGTCGATGAAATCCCTGGAGTACTGACAGAAGGCGGATTTTGCTGCATGCCGATGTGCGCATAAGCCGGTGGAAATGGTCCAGAGGCTGAGAGACTAGTGGCGGTCGTGGAGACAAATACTCCAGTAGTTCCGGAACTAGATCCGGTAGATTGTGCTGTTGACAGTAGTCTTAATTCCAAAAAGCTCTCATACCATGTAATAATTTGACAGGTGTTGCAGGAGACTAAGTATAGAACCTGCAAACACGAACACTTGGAAAACCTCAAGTGTTGGCCTAGGATATTTACTAGAATGGTAGACTAGTAAGACAGCGGAAGTCTTGTAAAAGAATGATAGTCAAGGTTGAATAACTTGAGCACATGAACTTGTGGATAATCAAAGTTAATAATGGAAAGGCATGACAAGGATTTATAGGTACCTATTTGCTAATGTACCTGTTCGTCACTATCGCACTATGCGCCCTAAAAGATAACGAAGAGATGCGACTGTTCGCGTGACTGAAACGACTATCCTCATGACGAGCGCTATTTGCTTATGTCATCCTATGGAATTATCTTCTACAGTAGGATTCGACACTATCTACATATAATTGACTTACAAGTATGAATTATATCACAACAAAGCTTAAGTCATAGATCTATAATTATATCAAAACTACAAATTCACGACAAATAACCCAAGAAATTTAACTACAAACTGCAAATTTCTTTCTGCACGCGAGTACGAAGAAACACTTGCGAAGAAGTTCGCCATCTATTATGAATGGGACTGCCGAGTAGCGCGAAGGGCAATGGCGAAATTGTGAACGAGTGAATGACAATAAAATGAATGATAACACAATACCGTATTCCTCCGTATAAAGCACCCTAGGGTGGTAACCAAAATGCCTCTAAATTTTGAGGAGGGTGTAATCATAGGCTAATTTTGTATAACGCATGGGTGTTGTGGAACATGCGTATGTGATATTGTTTTTCCTCAACAAAGTGCACAGTCGTACTCTGCTGTATTTTGTTTTCCCCCTCGACATCGCGTAGGGAAGTGGGGAAACGCCAAACAGCCAATCCGTAGGAGGCATGGCACGATTTTCTTGGCGGGAAGGCGAGCGCAACCCAAAAGTCAACTAGCGAACATGGAGTTTCGAGGATTTAAGGGAAGGGACACACTAGTTCGGGCAGTCAAAATGGGTCTCAAAATTTTCTGTGTCGCACCCCTTGAACCGCACTATATAGGTTGTTAAATTATACATTGTGTTATATAATTGTTAGGCTTGGTAGGTTACCGAACTCTACTGCAGAGGGTACAATCCCCTCCTTGTATCCTTTCTCTCGTCAACTCTCTCCCCCTAGCTAAACCTCTCGCCATTTTCATGGCGCCCTAGTGTTGCTAGCTTAACATAGGTTCCTTGATAAGTTTCCCACTCGTTCTCACGCTCAGGTGATGGCACAGCAGCAATGGTTGGAAAAGAGGGTAGCGCTCGTCTATGCTACTCAAAATCTAGGTTGAAGGTTTCGGGGGGTGTCCAAATATTTGCAGGCAAAAAAGACGGGTGTTATGTATATCCAGTTTAGTTAAGCACCCATGTCCGCTCAAGCCACCCATGGGCGTTCAATTTGCGGGGTGCTGTATACGGGGGAATACGGTATATAGAAAGCCTAGGGTGATCCTGGACGTAGGATCAGAAGATTGGGGAAAAGTGTCGAAGGGCCTCGATGCGTCGAAGCGAGGTCCGGAAAGGCCCAGGAGGCTCGAACTAAAAGGTTTGGAACCCTCTTGCTGGTTCGGAACTGTTTGAGTCGTACGCCTTGTAGCAAGCCTCAGTAAGGAATTCCTAATTCCTTACACTCTCCCCCCTTCTAGATAAGCACACAAATAAACAAAACTGCACACACTCCAACTGAATCTCGTAGTAGTGAAGCCACCACTATTGAGAATCTCGAGCTTTCTTCAAAGAAACTCCATCCAACGGTCGAAACACGTCGAAACGATCGCAATCGATCGTAGCCGTCGACTCTTGATCGAATTACCCAGAAAACCAAACGGGCAGTAGGGAAACTACCGCACCACAGCTTCCTTGTCTCCAGCGAGTCCTTCGCCGAGAATTACGATTCCCGTCGTCGTGTACTTTATCCGCACAGTAACGTTACGTGATTCACACTGCTTCAAGTTGGCGAGCCGAATCTGTTGCCTGCGCCAAACTTGTCCGTAGTTCCGTAATTGTTGATAGCTCCTGGTTTAATTCCTCGTGAGTCGTGACACTCGCAGAAACACGTGTCCGTATTTCGCAGGTCAACAAACTCTAGCTAATCGTCAAATGCGAGGTCATTCGCGACACATGCGAGATCACGCGTCCGTGTCTCACGAAAGTCAGCGAAGTCCATCACCTCATGGATGAGAGCTCAATCAGTCGAGTAACCGTAGTCGATGTCGCCTCAGGCGGTTAATGTAAACACGCCTCCAACCTTCACAAACACCTGCGAAATTCCCGAAAAGCCAACTCGAATCTGTTCGTCGATTCAGTCGATCAGACAGCATCTATCTGTCGATGCTCATGCAGCGGATGCCAAATTGTCGAGGGAAATCCAAAAAACCACTGCTGCGCAGCTGCTCTCTCCCCCCTCCATGAAAGGAAAATCTTCTGTCATCGATGCCGAAAACACCCTTCTTCAAGTTTCTTCAGACCCAAAAACTTGACGTATCTTCAAACTCGGTTCGTCGGGACCAGTCCCAGCGCGGCCCTATAATGCAGGGCAGTTGCGCCACGTAGAATTTGGCTCTGTCCGACGCCGTAGATAAACATGCAGCTTCTCAAATACTGTCGATCTGCTTCGTGTTGTAAATTTCGAAACTCCTCCTGACCCGTTCGCCGTGCAGACGTTCACCCATCGCGCGGCTACGGGAGGTACCCCAGAAAAACTCGGGTATAGTTCTCAGCTCCGAAAAACGCACCCGGAACCCGCTCGGGACCCGCACCCGGAACGCGCACGGAACCCGCACCGAGAACGCGCACCCGCATCCGGAACGCGCACCCGGAATGCGCTCGGAACCCGCACCCGGAACGCGCTCGGGACCCGCACCCGGAACGCGCTCGGAACCCGCTCAGGTACCCGCCCCCGCACCCGGAACGCGCTCGGAACCCGCACGGGTACTCGCCCTCGCACCCGGTTCACTGCTTCGTGCTCTTGAAGAATACCCACCCGGAAAATACCTGGCGTAAAGCGGAGCGCAGACGGGACCCGCACCGGGGACCCGCACCCGGGACCCACACCCAAAATGCGCACGGAACCCGCACCCGGAACGCGCACGGAACCCGTACCTGGAACGCGCACGGAACCCGCACCCGGAACGCGCAGACGACCCGCACCGAGAACGCTCACGGAACCCGCTTGGGTCCCCGCCCCCGCACCCGGAACGCGCTCGGAACCTGTTCGGGTTCTCGCCCCCACACCAGGTTCTCTGCTTCGTGCTCTTGAAGAATTCCCACACGGAAAATACCCGACGTTTAGCGGCGCGCAGACGTTCACCCATCATTGCGCCCATCCAGGTAAATCCACGAATGAGTCCTCGCAGCCGAATCCCCGATTATAGCCCTGCAACTCAGGAACAATCCTTGAAGACTCCCGCGTGACTCCAAATTTTCCGTGACGGCAACACGTTTTTCCCACTGCAACAGTAACCCTGGTCATCTCAAAGCTCCATTAGATGAATACACTCCAGAGCAGGGGAGAATCCGTTGTGTGCTCGTACTCAGGTAAGCGCAAACGCTATCGTAGTTGGGCGAATTAATCAGTCTAATTTGAGGGCAACTGCTTTGCAGCTTACGTGAGGGATTCTCCTTTCCCTGAAAAATTCGTTTCTGCAAACATCTGCTCCAAACTGCTGCAATTTTCTTCAACTGCTGCTGTACGATAAAACCCCCGCAGGCCGCTGTTCACTCAGCGCCCACTTTTGTTGTTCTACCAACTGTACCGCGCACGTTCTTTCAAAAAGCTCGCAATTCCGTCAATCCCAGCGACAAATCCTCGCCGTTCGTATTGGACTCGAGCTCCGCGTACCGTCCGATTGCTCTCGCAAAACTCCTCCGCAATTTTTGTTAACCTGCTTCACGCGCCTCCCACTGTAGAGCGTCCGATTTTCACCAATCGTTCGCCCGTCGTGTAGCGCCGAAAATATTTCTTCATCAATCCACCAGCACAGAGTGATCCTCTGGCTCACCACCCTTATTCGGCCAGAACCATCAGAGTAGTCTTAAACCCGAACTGGTACCTAGTGATGGTGCTGAAAATTGGGCGACCCAGCCAAGTCAGCCGGGGGATCCATCTGCCGTTGACTCCGTAAAAATTTCCTGGCTGTTCCCAATATTTCTCCTTCTCTGCTTCGCTCTTCGTCGTTGACTTTTAGCGGGTGACACGGTGATGACACTTAAACTCGACCCAAGGGTAGTTGCTGGTCGTCCTCCGTAGATCGTGGGGTGTAATTTCTGACCACGAAAATGGCTTCCTCTACAGGAATCGAGACTCGCCGAGCTCAAAACTCCAGGGCAGACGAATTACACTTCCAGGCGGGCAGATCACGCGAAACAATTTCGAGGTCAGTACTCCTCAAAACTCTTCCGTGCCTGAGCCCCACGTGTGCTGCCGTGCGATCCTTGGTCGTGCCGAAAACTCCAACGCCACGTTGCTGAACAATATCCGAAGTCCCGTCTTCACCTGCGTGTCGCTTGCCGGAAACGCCGAGCCCTTTGACACGAGCTACATTTCACCATGCAGCCACATCTGCTATACGCGCTCCTGACGAAATCCTCTTTGCCTGGGGATATCCGCGAGCTTGTCGTCTCATGACGAGCTCCTCGCTCCATTCGGACACCAATCCGAATCGTCGTTGCTGCTTGCCGAAATTTTCGAAAACTTCAACCGAAACTCCTTTAACGATATGCGAAATGAACAACATACCGGAAACACTCTTCAAAATCTTCGCCATGTCAGGACGGACACAGCTGCCCTCGAGGGGATGGCTCTTCCCCCTCCAAAAAAAAAGTTCTGCCCTCGGAAGCCCAGCGGGTGAGGAAAG